ACCATTTTCAACCCCCCCTCCAATGTCATGTTGNTATCTCCTTTTCGTGATCAGGGTTGTCACTAGAATGAGTTGAGCTGATTTACTTTATAGATGAGTTGTGGTATTGAAATGTTTAATCCGAGCATGGTTGTAATGGGGTCAACACCATTTTCAACCCCCCCTCCAATGTCATGTTGCAGTAATCTCCACTCTGGTTGTAAACTTTGGTTATGAAAAAGTTATGTGGAATTGGAGGAGTCTGATCCCATTATGATACCTTTTAATGGCACTAAATTTCAGATGGTAACTACCATAATAGCATCTTGATGGCTGTTAATCACCTGAGGCCCTTGTTGATTTTAGTCTGTTTTTGGCCAAGAGATCTTCCGTGGGGGCCTAAATGCTTTCCAAACTTCAGATCTTCTTAGTCCATACTCAAATAAATCTTCAAAATTCTAGATCTACAAAATTGTCCAGTAAGACTTCAATGATTATGTATCACTTATTCGACTTGTGCTAATTTAGCAGTGGAAAATGAGAATTTGAGTGTTTCCTTATATTAGCGACTTAAAACATATGGCAAGTTCATTTAAAATGTCAAAATAATGTGTATGATGGACTAAAGGTTATTATAAATCCCGTCATGCTTGTATGTTTTGGAACCTCACCATAAAAGACATTATGATTTTGTAAGCTGAGACGAAAGAACGTCATCATAAAAGATATGCATTCAGGTTGAGGAGAAAGGGAGGGTGTTGACCTTCTGGAAGTTTTTTCAGTGACTTGTTATTAGAAAGATCGCACAGATTGACTTGTAAAGGAAAGATACATACATTGATTCATTAGTAAATTGCTTGAGATGATGGGTTGACAAAGTGATACATTGCCAAAGCTAGATCACTATTTTAACCCATATGTCATTGAAACTGTTCTACTCTCGGAACTTGCTCTGTGGAATTTATTGCTTGAGTTGTTGGATTGACAAAGTTGATGCATGATGGAAGCTAGATTGTCATTACACACTTGAAATTTCTGATATCTTTCTGGATTTATTCCAAGTAATTGTATTGATTAAGTTGACTGAGGACCGATGCTAGAATTTTCAGTACATATAACTGCATTTATTGTTGAGCCCGTGCATTACTGAAGCTCTTTTTCTATATACTTGCTCAAAGGTACTTTATTTGACCTATTTCTGTGCTCTATTAGATGTGTACTGTTTTACTTTTTGATTATGGAAATAGAAAAAAAAGAACGAAAGAAAAGGTGAATACAGAAAAATGTAGTCCGGTGAGGTCTGTCTACCAGCTGGTCACAGCTATTTTGAATTGACTTATCCTTACTTGAAGTGGGGACCGTGACCAACATCTATGTTGTCTTAATGCTTATTTTTGAAACAAGAGTCATTTAGATAGCTAATGTCAATTGGCTAAGAATCAGTTTATATATTGTCTGAATGCTAATTTTTCAACATGTTAGCTTTTTTCAAGTAATATACTTTAAGCATTTAATGAATTAAGCCCGTTTGATAACCTAAAATACATACCACTTAATATTTTTTAAGCACTTTTTAAAAATAAATTAAAATTTTAAGTAGCAAGCTATCTACTTATCATTTAATATTAAAAATATTAGTCAATAATGATTTTATAAATTCTTCATAATGGACAAATATATTCTCAATATATTTTACAACTTTTCAATACTTGCTTTCCACCATCGCCGCCATCACCGTCGCCATTGTGTCGTCGCCGTCGCCGTCGCCGTCGCCATCACCAGCACTACCACCACCCCCACCACAACAATNCCGTCGCCTTTGTGTTGTCGCCGTCGCCATCACCAGCACTACCACCACCACCACAACAACAATCGTCACCACCGCCACCTATACAAATATTGTAATACCATCACCACCATTGCCACCATTATGCTATGGCCACCACCACCATTGTGCCGCCGTCGCCGCCACCACCACTATTGTGTTGTCACCACCATTATTGTGATGGTGGTAGTAGAAATAAGATAATTGCGTTGAGATGGTTAAAAAGAAGGATAAAATTAGAATAATAATAATTTTTATATTTCAGCTCCTTATATTTATCAAATAGTTTCAATTTAATACTTAAATTTTAGTAGATACCAAATAGTCTGTGAATTAAAAAATTCAACTTTAACACTTAAAATTCAGCATTCAATTTTTAGTATTTAGCTTTCAGTTTTATCAAACACTACCTAAATCTTAGACAACAAAATAATTTCTAGTTAATTTTATGGAATAATTAACCAACAAGTGAAAGTTGGTGAGTAGGGATATCTGCCTCTTTTAATTGGTTAGAAGATATTTTCATTGGCCAAATAGGAGACGATTACTAGAGTTGTTTTTATGTTTGTTTGCATTTCTATTTAAATTTCCGTTCTAACATTTTTCAGACTTTTTGATACATAATTCTCAAAATATCTGTTGTGATGGTATTTTTGTAAAAGCCTCATAATAGAATAATTATCTATCTCTTTTTTATAAGACCATGTGATAATTATTTATCCACCAAGGGTCTAAGTGGATTACTCCAAAAATATTTTGATTAGTGGAATTGTCTAGGTGTTAGACTTCAGTTATGGGGGGCCTCGGAGATATTTGGTTTTGGATCTCACAATTGTCACCGATCCATAATTATTATGTATTCTAGTTTTCATTTACTTGCTTACCTTAATCAGATTTTCCTTGATTGTTCTCTAATTTGCCCTTTGTTTAACTGTTATAATCTATGGATCAAGGACACCCTCAAGAATGTGATATATCCACGTTGGACACTCTCGGACACGTGTCCGATATTCTTTTATCCGTCTTCATAATTAAATGATAAATTTTTAATTTTGGACATGTGTCAGACACTTTTGATGACGAATCCGACATTTCTACTAAAAAACAATATACATGTGTTGACACGTGATTAACAAAGTTTAAGAACTTGACTAACAAGTATCTTATACTATGAGAGAACATAGACGTACCAAGACTAAAAATGTTGAAATTTGTAGTAAAAAAATAATAATAAAAATAAAGGATGTATAAAAGTTTAAAGAAAAAAGGAATTGAGAAAGTGAATACAATCATTTAAATTATTTATGTTCAGTACATGTTGTCTACAAAAAAAAATTTGATAATTATTGACTATTAATATTCCCTGGTCCAAAAATTCACGGTAGATAACTAGACATAATATTTACCTATCATATAGTACTGAGTTTTTTTTTATGAATAATGTATCATTATCACTATATTTACGATAAATTATATAGTTTTATATAGAAAACACAATTATTTATGGCGTGTTCCTAACGTGTCTGTGCCCTATTTTTTTGAGAAATATCGTGTCCTTGTTGTGTCATATCTGTGTCCCATGTTCGTGTTTCCCCTGCATTGTGTTTATATGTAATTTGTTTATATGGGATAAAGTAAAGTTCTTAGCTTCCCTTTGGGTGGTGGTATCTAAAGAATTATCATTCTTTTCTCTAAGTATAGATTGAAGCACGGCATGTAGTCCTATGAGTATCGCTGATTGTCTTAGTTTGTATTGCCTTTTATTTCCTTTTTTATTTTTGTTTTTTTATTGGTGGACTTCTTGTTGACCTTTTGTTATCTTTTCTTCTATTTAATGAAAATCTATGTTTCTTATTAAAAAAACATATTTCCTTTTTTTGGGGGTAGGTGGTGGAGAGTTCTTGTGATTTTAATCTAAGTCTTTTCTCATGGAGAGAAGGTTTGATTAAAATCTGAATAGCCAAGAAGGCAAAACATCCTTTTTTACGGGGGCTTTGAATCCTTTGATTTTATGATTACTTCTGCAGAAGTTATCTAGCTTGCCAAGATAAAAAAGTAAGCATAAAGGTACAATTTATACACCACAGGACAATTAATTTGGTTTTTTGTTTTCAGTTCAGCAGTTGAATTATACTGTTTTGCAACCTACTGACAAACTATCGACTAAGATTTTGTCTACTTTAATAATTGTGTTGCACATTCAATGATCTCCTGGAACCAGATAGATCTCAACTTGGTCTCCTTGTGCTCCCTCTGTCACATGCTTTATTCTTTTCTGTTGTGTTATAACTTTGTGGTTATTTTATTTCACATACTTATTAGATGCTTNAGATCTCAACTTGGTCTCCTTGTGCTCCCTCTGTCACATGCTTTATTATTTTCTGTTGTGTTATAACTTTGTGGTTATTTTATTTCACATACTTATTAGATGCTTATTCAAGTTTTAGGTGTGAAACGGCTTTACATGTGCATAGACATGTTGTATAATGGCTTAAAGTAGTCTGGAAAATATTTATATTAACACTCTAGTCTTATACTGTTATGGACATTATGGATGTACATGTTGTGTTTAAAAGAGTATCCACTTAAAGTTACCATCCATTATTGGCATTATAAGACCCTTTTTTAATAGGTATGTAAAAAGAAGGGCCCTCCGATACCTAATTGGACATGTTTAACGGGGGCTACAATCTTTAAGTAATGGCTGGGAGCTGGGGACTGAAACTGCTTTCTGAGGCTTTATAGGCTCGGAGTTCTAGTGGTAGGAATGATGTATTTTTGCAATTGCCTATTTAAGGAAGCAAAGCAAGCAAAAGAGTCTGTTGAGTTGTAGATTGTCTGGTAGTATGTGTATCACGTTGTGCAAAAAACAATTTTTGAATTCAATGTTGCCAGACTCTTTTTTGTCTTTGTCTGTGTGTGTGTGCGTGTTATACTGCAAGCAAGCTTCAGGGTCTTTTTGGTCAANCGTTGTGCAAAAAACAATTTTTGAATTCAATGTTGCCAGACTCTTTTTTGTCTCTGTCTGTGTGTGTGTGCGTGTTATACTGCAAGCAAGCTTCAGGGTCTTTTTGGTCAAGGTAATGAGTTTAATAGACACAAGTTAGCGATTATAGTCAAGGGTCTTTTTGGTCAAGGTAATGAGTCTTTTTGGTCATGTGAGAAGATATTTTACTCTGCTTTTGTGTGTGTGCAAATGAGAATTTATTTTAGTTCATCTACGGGGGCATTTTTGTCATACAGAGCCTTCTGTAATCCTGCTGATGTTGAAGCGTTTACAGAGGAGAAAAAAGAATCCCTTTTGACGAAACGTCATGGAAAAGGTGCTGATTTTGTTCGAGCTGTACAGGATATTGTTGATAGCTATGAGAAGTTGAGAAAACAGGAACAAGTCGTCACTGATAACTCCAGCGATGAAGTCACTATCTCGAATGCGAGTAAGTCAGCAGAATCATTGACTGTTTCTGGATTGAAGGATGAAACTCCTGCAATTATAGTTTGGTCTTGTCCAAAACTGTCATATGCCACTAGAGCTAAAAATGACCCTTGTTTCTTAATTGAAGGTGCCGCTGCTGCAACCCGAAAGGATGCTCTACTTGATGCGGAGATGCTGTCTGGGGATCCTACTGGTAATTGCTTGGCTACAAATATACCACTGTCAACCTCTTTTGCTTTCTCAGGAAAACTTAAATATGTGCAACCAAAGAAGATTGTCACCCGGAAAAGGGCACCATCTGCTCGGAATTCCAGGAGTTCAGCCAGGGTGGAGCCCTCTAGATTCCAGAACTTCTTGGTGCCATCTAGCCATGGTGCTGGGGATAAAGCCACAAATATATCGCGGGATGGATATGTGAGAATGAACAAACATATCAGAAAGCCATCAGATGGGTGTGAAGGGCATGATTCAGATTCACCTGCTTTTGTTCCAAATTGTAGCATCGAAGAGGATGGTTCTGATATTGTCACAGTTGATTCTGATGCCCTTAGTTTTAATGAAGGCAGCACTGTGGAGTCTGGTTACAAACAGCTGCAACCTGAGCCTGTTGTTGAATGTTGTGAGGGAGATGTTGAGTTGGGCCAAAGGCTTGATTTAGCTGGTGTGGTTAAAAAGAAAAGAAAGGCAAATAGAAAACGAGTGAGTAATGATACCAATGAGCTTACTGCTAGTCTAGATAAGGAAGCAGGTTTGGAGATTAAGGTGCAGAAAACTGGGCAACTTTTGCCAAGTTATCAAGACCAATTGAGTGCCAGGTATTCGAAGGAGGACGGTGATGAGCACCTGCCATTAGTTAAACGAGCGAGGGTTCGTAGGGGTAGATCATCCTCTGCAGGGGAGGAACGAGATTCCTTAGCAAGAAGAGAAGATAAATTTTCAGATGCTTCAAATAGCATTTTGGGCCAGGGATGCACGTCCCTTAATAGTGAGGAAGATACTTCTGTTAGAAAATCAACTGCTTCTGAGATATATGCAGATAGTTCATCACCATCAAACAAATGTCCTGTTAACAAGGCTCAACCCTGGGAATTGAAAAAAAATCAACTATTTGGTTGTTCAGTGGATGGTGAAGCTGCTTTACCTCCAACCAAACGCCTTCATCGTGCCCTAGAAGCAATGTCAGCTAATGCTGGCGAAGATGGTGAAACATCTTCCGCAGCACCATCAATCATGAAGACATATGTTAATGAAAGTAGTCTTTCTTCCTTGGGGTACTGCACTAGTAAGTCCATGGAAGGCAAAACAGGGTATGAATCTGGAGCACAAAATGTACAGTTTGGCAGCAGTGCTTCTCAGGAGGGCACCAGTGAGTTCTCCACAAATTTAAACCCATCAGTAGCCCAGGGAAGTACAAAATCTTTTGAAGAAGTGGCAGCTTGCGACAAACCCATCAGTAGTAATGATAGTCCACGGAAAGATGTCTGCACTGATATACTTGTACCTGTGGACTGTGCTGAGGGTAAAGATCTCTGTGTGTCATCTTTAGGTATGCACACTGCTGAAATTGTTGTGGTCCAAGATCCAAAAGCTTTATCACCTAATCTTGGTGAAGAAGAGGCTTGTCTTACATGCAATCAGGTTTCAATGATTCCTAATGGTAACAGCAAAACTCAAATTTCTGAGTTGAGCAAACCTTGTAAAAATGATCCTTTAGAATTTTCCGGGATTAATTCACAGTCAGATGATACCATTCTGCTTCTGCACTCTGCAGAGGGTAAAAGCTGTGGTTCTTCCAAGTTGTTGGAGTTTCCGTCAGATCAGAACAGCGTAGATAATGAAATGTAAGCTCATGTGCTTCTACAATATCATATCTTCTCTTATGCCAAAGTCCATGGACTTAACTGACAACCCCTGGAAATCTATGTTTCTTTTGGTGCTTACTGCTTATTTTTGCTGCTGCAAATTTTTTTCGGTGGAGTTTTAAACTTTCGTAACTCTAATGCATCTTTGTTTTAGGTATGAAGCTTTGAAAGAAACTAAACCAACACCGAAGGATTCAAGTACTACCCAATCCCCAACTCGGGCAAACGTTACGATGGCTGCTGTCCAGGGTCCTGATTTATGTCATCCTATTACTGTTACTGAAGATCATTTGGATGATAAGGCTGTCTCAGATATTCGATCATCTTCATCTCTGTCTGATGGCTTAGACTCTACTGCTCGTGCATCTCCACCTAATACTTCGATTTGCAAAATGTCTACGTCGGATAATGGTAATTCTCTTGAAAATAATGGCTGTTGTAGTCCTGAGGTTCATTTGCAGCATGAGAAACCAAAGCAGGCTAGCAAGTGGAGCAATAGGGTAGAAGCAAATGCTGCTCTGACATCCTTCGAGGTCATTCTTGGAACACTAACAAGGACTAAAGAAAGCATTGGTCGAGCAACACGCATTGCCATTGACTGTGCAAAATTTGGTAGTTCCGCCAAGGTAGGTTTGCATTTTTCTGGGTGTACATAGGATTATATGTGCTAGTTTTCCTTTTTTAGTCTGAATATCTACTGGTTTACCTGGTTCATTGCTTCTTGCTGTTCCTTTTTTATCAGCGATGTGATCAAGGATCATAATGACTTAGTAGTTGTAGGGCAGTTAACTGTTCCATGGCATGTAAAAAAGGGCCTGATGGTGTTTCAATTTAGCTGCAATAGTATATTTTGTCTGGTTGCTGGTAATTTAGCAATCTGGAAACACAGCCAAAAAAAAAAAATCAATATGGAAAAGTTATGGATTGATATTAGTTAATGGATTTATGGTGTAATGGTTACGTTTGGAGATCAAGTTTAGTTGTTCATTAAGTCTATCATGTAGCTATATATGTGTGTGATGTAATAGAAAAATTAGTGAAGATTTTTGGGGGAAATAAATACAGACCAGGTTACCATGGCAGGAGGTNGTTCACTGTCAAATGATACCATTCTGCTTCTGCACTCTGCAGAGGGTAAAAGCTGTGGTTCTTCCAAGTTGTTGGAGTTTCCGTCAGATGAGAACAGCGTAGATAATGAAATGTAAGCTCATGTGCTTCTACAATATCATATCTTCTNATACCATTCTGCTTCTGCACTCTGCAGAGGGTAAAAGCTGTGGTTCTTCCAAGTTGTTGGAGTTTCCGTCAGATCAGAACAGCGTAGATAATGAAATGTAAGCTCATGTGCTTCTACAATATCATATCTTCTCTTATGCCAAAGTCCATGGACTTAACTGACAACCCCTGGAAATCTATGTTTCTTTTGGTGCTTACTGCTTATTTTTGCTGCTGCAAATTTTTTTTGGTGGAGTTTTAAACTTTCGTAACTCTAATGCATCTTTGTTTTAGGTATGAAGCTTTGAAAGAAACTAAACCAACACCGAAGGATTCAAGTACTACCCAATCCCCAACTCGGGCAAACGTTACGATGGCTGCTGTCCAGGGTCCTGATTTATGTCATCCTATTACTGTTACTGAAGATCATTTGGATGATAAGGCTGTCTCAGATATTCGNAGCAAAGGTTACGATGGCTGCTGTCCAGGGTCCTGATTTATCTCATCCTATTACTGTTACTGAAGATCATTTGGATGATAAGGCTGTCTCAGATATTCGATCATCTTCATCTCTGTCTGATGGCTTAGACTCTACTGCTCGTGCATCTCCACCTAATACTTCGATTTGCAAAATGTCTACGTCGGATAATGGTAATTCTCTTGAAAATAATGGCTGTTGTAGTCCTGAGGTTCATTTGCAGCATGAGAAACCAAAGCAGGCTAGCAAGTGGAGCAATAGGGTAGAAGCAAATGCTGCTCTGACATCCTTCGAGGTCATTCTTGGAACACTAACAAGGACTAAAGAAAGCATTGGTCGAGCAACACGCATTGCCATTGACTGTGCAAAATTTGGTAGTTCCGCCAAGGTAGGTTTGCATTTTTCTGGGTGTACATAGGATTATATGTGCTAGTTTTCCTTTTTTAGTCTGAATATCTACTGGTTTACCTGGTTCATTGCTTCTTGCTGTTCCTTTTTTATCAGCGATGTGATCAAGGATCATAATGACTTAGTAGTTGTAGGGCAGTTAACTGTTCCATGGCATGTAAAAAAGGGCCTGATGGTGTTTCAATTTAGCTGCAATAGTATATTTTGTCTGGTTGCTGGTACTTTAGCAATCTGGAAACACAGCCAAAAAAAAAAATCAATATGGAAAAGTTATGGATTGATATTAGTTAATGGATTTATGGTGTAATGGTTACGTTTGGAGATTCATTAAGTCTATCATGTAGCTATATATGTGTGTGATGTAATAGAAAAATTAGTGAAGATTTTTGGGGGAAATAAATACAGACCAGGTTACCATGGCAGGAGGTGGTGGGGTTTAATTTTAAATAGCTCATGGTAATCGAGACTAGTTGCTGGTGCAGATTTCTGCTCATGTGTACTCCAGTCTTAGCGATGATTCTAGTATTCATTGGGTCCAGCAATCCTGTAGCAGCTGATTATCTACTTCGAGGCCATATCAATTACCCAGCCAGATATGTTGCCTTAGGGTTTTTATAGTTCCTTGGAAAATTATGATCCCTTAAAAGGGCCAAAACTGTTGTTGGGGTGCATGATGACTGATAGGGTAAATTGCACGCAGGTCCTTTCACAAGTTATTGTGGTGTCTTATTTTTTTTTTTTCCAAAATACAGACAAGTTGTAATTACCATTTAATCTGATTTATCTTGCATTAATATTCTTTTCTTCATCAAAAGAAAATGACATTCAATCTTTGATATTTGGCAGTCTTTTAGGTGAGTATCCAAGAAGTGTTGACTAGTTGCTGGAAATAAATGAAGTTATTTCCATGTGTTGGATGCATTTCTGGTATTATCCGAAAATTGTCGGTGTTTGATATGTGTTCGACAGTGACTTCTCCCTCTTAGAAGCCTCTGTGCCACTTAGCTGGTGAGGAGTGATATTGAATTATTGAAAATGAGCTTCACTATATGATATGCACGTGGAGATTGAGCTACCATAACCCACGTTCAAGAGCCTCTATTGATAGCCAAAAAGGGGTAGAGAAATAAGGCACATCGAATGCCATACGCATGGTTTTCAAACTTATCTGACCCATTGAGCTCAACAAACTTTGCATGATTGCACCAGCTTTTTAATTTATGTGCACCTAAGCGGATGTGTCTCATTTCGGAGGCTTCCATTTGGGTTCAAGTGAACCCAAAATCCACCATCATAATCTTATGGATGTGCCCGGGTTTGGTTCCTTTGCCTGTTAGCATGAAGACCCATATATCATTTTGGTCATGTTTGTTTCTAGGTTATATTTGGATCTGTTTGGGACCCGGTTTTTGGGCTATGTGCCTAGTCTGTCAGGTTGTGAGAGGTTTTTTTTAGTGTAGACTAGGCGTGTTGGTGGAGCAAGCTCTTTGAGTATTGTCTGTGTGGCCTCCTGAGTGTGCGTGTGTTTTGAACTTCATTGTATACCTATATTTTTTGGATTAATAAAAAATTTTCCTCTGGGAAAAGAAAAAATGGGGAGAACATTTTTTATGAGTTGAAGTAAGCCTTTGAATTTATATTTTGTCTTGTCCAACAATTTTGTGAGTTAGGGGGCCTCATTTTTTTTATTTAGAAATCATACTATTTACTTCTGTTTCTGCCATTTTGCTTCTGCATGAGAAGAGTACCTACTCTTCACAAGTTAACGTGGAGTTTAAGGCTTAGCTTGGTAAAGATTCAGGTTTGAGGATCCACCTTAGTTCATAATTATTGTATTGCTGTTTTATCATCCTTCAGAAAGTCTCTACTTTTTGGTGGTCGAATTGTTTGCCTGAAGACTATGAGGATATGTTTCAAATAAATTTTTTGTTTAGATTATTGTGAAATACTGCATGAACTTCTATTGTTGGAGTCTTGTCCTCTTTTTTGGTATTTGTAATTCAGTTGGATGTTTTTGCGTATGTACAAGGATTTATTTGTTGACACATGAAATTTTTCTATTTAGGTGGTGGAAATTCTTCTGCATAGTTTGGAAAATGAGTCAAGGTTAGACAGAAGGGTGGATTTGTTTTTTCTTGTAGATTCTATTACTCAGTGCTCTCGTGGTTTGAAAGGTAACTTATGTTATGCACAGATGTGTTTTACTCGCTTGAATATTGTTACGATGTCATCTTAGGTTTTTTCTCACAGTATTGATACTAACTAAAGTCTATGCATTCTCATGCATGTGGATTTGGTGATGGTGAAACACAATTTGAATTTCCAGGTGATGTTGGTGGTATATATCCTTCAGCAATCCAGGCAGTTTTGGCTCGTTTATTGTTAGCTGCTGCACCTCCTGGAAGTAGCACTCAGGAAAACCGTAGACAATGTTTGAAGGCAAGTGAAGCCATTTTTTTCCTCTGAAAATTTTCTCCTTTCTCCTTCTTGGTTTTTCTGCTTGTTTGCTCTTATATTTACATATTTATTTACTCTTTTCCCATTCTGCTTAATAGGTTTTGAGGGTTTGGCAGGAAAGAAGGATTCTTCCAGAATCCATTATTCGCCGCTATATTCGAGAGCTTGATTCCCTCAGTTCGTCTTCCTTGGGTGCCTTCTCCCGTCGTCCTTTAAGAAATGAAAGAGCTTTTGATGATCCAATCAGAGAAATGGAGGGTATGTTGGTCGACGAATATGGAAGGTGTGTATTTCTAGCTGCCCTTTCATAAATAATTTCTGTATTCAAAAGAAACATAATATGGGATCTGTTAGTTGTTTCTTTCACTTTAATTTGGTTAAGATTCTTAAGTCTATCTTATTGCTTCAGCAATTCAAGTTTTCAGCTTCCTGGTTTCCGTATGCCTCCTATGCTGAAGGATGAAGACGAAGGAAGTGATTCTGATGTAGAGGGGTTTGAGGCTGTTACTCCTGAGCATTATTCTGAAAACATTGCAGAACGAGAAAGGACACCCATACATGCGGTTGAAAAGCATAGACATATTCTGGAAGACGTCGATGGTGAGCTTGAAATGGAAGATGTGGCTCCCACGTGCGAAGCTGAAATGAGTTCCACCAACAATGTTATTGGAGTGAATCCTGCACAGGCAGCACATCACCAATTCAAACAGCATCTTCCACCACCCTTTGCCCCTCCCTCTACCGAAGGATGTGCCACCAGCCTGTCCTCCCCTGCCAACATCCCCTCCTCCACCTCTTTCCATCCATCCTCCATTGGTGGGGCCGGATTCCATTTCTAATGGTCTAGATTCAAAGTTCTGCATGGATCCACATGTGCGGTGCTATGCTCCCTTTTTTGCTATTTTTTTTTCTAGTTCAGGAAATTGATGGTATATTTTTCTTTCTATAGTAGATGGTATATTTGATGTTTCTGACACATAGATCAACATTTTCGTTTTTATTGGCATGCATTTGCAGAACAACAAAGATGAATTGCAGAAATCTGTAGCACAACAGTCTTTTGCACCTAGAATTATCTCAAACATCTCTGATGGAGTTCAGTATCATGCTCCAGAGGGTAGAGATCTTCACGCGCATATGCAAAGAGAGATACCTGACTCTGCTAATCCAGGCTCTTTCGGCTGTGTACCTGTCTCTCATCCCGCACATCAAGTGGACAATGGTATTCAGCAGTCAGATGGTGCTGCTTTTCATCTACGGCCACCTCATCCTTCTCCGTCAAATCAGTTCTCTTATATTCAAGCTGATCAGCGAATGCCATCACGGAGGGAGATCCCTCTCCCATCTTATCCTATCGGATTCCATTTTGTGCAGAACCCAGACGCCGGGAATTTTCACAGTGACCATGATAGAATGAAATTGGCCCCACATGACACCGGTGAGAGCTGGAGGTTTTCAACAGCCTCTGTTTCTGGTAAAGTTACATGGGCGGCTTCACTGGAAGATTCCAGAATCTCAGGCATTTAATCTTTTGCTTTGGTTTTTTCGTTATTAATTTTTTATACTTGTCCCAGGTCCATGCTATGCTGATAGTGCCAGTGTGTCATATGCACCACATCCATACACTGGTCCCCCTTGTGAACCAGCAGTGGTAAACCATAGGTGGGCTGTTCCTCCCCAGAGTTTGAACCACATAGGACTGATGCCTTATAGACCGCCCTTTGAATGTCCGATTCCAGTGGCAACTAGAGGTTTGTCTTCTGTTACCTGGCTTGCTTGCTTGCTTGCATTAAACTATGGAGAAACTGTAAAGGTTTCATGTTGGTGTTAATTTGTCTTCCCATTTCAGTTGGAGCATATTGAAAACTTGTATAACTCGGGTAGTTTACTCGTTTGCAGCTCTATTTTCATACAGCTAAATCTCTTGGGTATATTTTTCTTTCTACAGCTCCTAACTTTTGGCAACCAAGATGAGCCATCACTGGGAGCTACAATTACTTGCTGGTATTGTTCTCTTATTCTCCCTTTTGGCGCTATTTTCAACTCTATTCCCCTTATTCTTGTGTTGCTTATGGTGCTATCCAATTGTTAGGTGTATGCAAATTTTTATCTGCGTCTTGCCTTGCGGATTGTTGAAATGTTCGAGATATTATCTGGTCTATATTTCAGAATATCAGTGTACAATTTTCGAACGGGAGAGAGCTATGAAAGGGAAGAACACACGCCATTTGTACAACTGTATATATATGTTCTATAATTTCTCCGGCAGTTGCATAGGGTGGGGAGACTGTCCTTGAAGATTGGAGAGAACCTGCCTATGGAAATCTTTTACATTTTTATGCATCTTCTATTTTATTTTATTTTTGGTCAGGATGCATCTTCCATTTCAAAATTGTTTCTTTGTTGTGCTCGTTGCGAAAGTCTTTTTAGGCGGACACAGCTGTGGATCAGCATGATTGGAAGTGTGGAAAAAGAAAAAGAAGCTGAAGCAATATATATATTATTGGGCCATTACTGAAAAATTGCAAAATTGTTTGGGATTTGTGCTGTTTTCAGCTGGAGTGTTATTTATTGGGGATTATTTTTTGGGTTAATTGTTTTTTAGCCCCATGTGGTTTCGTGTGGAAATATCTTACATACTTGATGTTTAAAATTATATACATTATTCCCTTATAGTTATGTATTAAAGTGAAATTTTTACTTTTATCATCTGACTAACGTTGTGCTTTTGTTCAAAAGAATATTGTTTAATAACTAAAATGTCCTTTATAATATATATGATGTAATATCCCAACAGTTAGGCGTCGGTTTTAGATAAAAAAAAAATATGGAAGAGAAACATGAGCAAGCGATTTTCTATTTCAAATCAAAAGCTTCATTTGAGGGAAGAAGAGATTTGACATGTCGAAGAGTTCGAGAATTTTGCCTCAGCCTTGGTAAATTGGTAGTGATTTTTGTCCGTTACACGAGTAAGAGTAAATTAGACAAAAAAATTAATTTTATAGAATGGGTATTATGATAATTTTATAATTTAATTAACGGCGTCAATTACTTGATTTTGGTACATAATTTAAAGTCAAAATTATATGAAGATAAAAAATAATTACTCGTTATTTTTGTATGATCTTCGCTTCTAATATTTTGAACCATACTGTTAATTTGACCAGATGACTAATACCATAGTAAGTAACATCATACCGGAAGTAGAATATGAGCAAGGCAGCTTAATCTTCTGGTCACGAATTCAAAAGACAAAGTTTTAATAATCATAATATATTCAAATTTTAAATTAAATCTTTAAATTAACACTTAATATTATTTTGGTAGAATTACACATAGATCTCTTTAAATTTGTCACTTAAACCCTTGACGTTTAAAATATTACACATAGACTTCTGAAGGTTTGTCCACACGTAACACTTAAATGTTTATCATCAATGTTCACCAGTATATTCATTAGTAAATTACCCTCAGACCCTTTGAAATTTATAGACGTATAATATTTAGACCCCTCAAGTTTAAAATATTATACTTATACTAAAAATACTTCAACCAAAGATAAAATACCAAAAAATACCCCTCAAGTTCTATTATGAATGACTTAGACTCTTTGATTGATTTTTTTATTTTATTTTAATAGATAGTATAATTATTTAATAATTATAATTTTTGAAGAAAAATTAGATTTTTAATTTTAATTTTATTTCAATAAATAATATAATAGAATATGAATTTTAGTTGTAAAATTCATGTTCAATTATGAATGACTTAGATCCCTTGTTTGATTTTTTAGTTTTATTCCTACAGATAATATAATTGTATGTTAATTATGATTTTTAATAAAAAAATTAAAATTAAAATTTTAATTTTATTTAAATAAATGACATAATAGAACATGAAATTTAAGGTCATGTTCTATTATGAATGATTTAAATCCTTTGATTGATTTTTAGTTTTATTTCAATAGATAGTATAATTGTATACTAATTACGATTTTTTAAGAAAAAAATTAGATTTTTATTTTTTGATTTTATTTCAATAAATAATATAATAAAATATGAATTTTGGTTGTAAAATTTAAAATATTTGATATTCTATCATTAATTAGAGTATTTTTTGTCTAAGTATAATATTTTAAAATTAAGGGGTCTAAATATTATACGCTTATAAATTTCAGAAAATCTGGGTGTAATTTATTAACAGACATTGACGATAGAGGTCTAAATGTTATGCGTGTATAATAAACTTTAAGAATTTATGTGTAATATTTTAAATGTCAAGAAATCTAAATGATTAAATGATAAATTTTAAGAAATTTGAAAATAATTCTCTCTATTATTTTTCAGGACAAGGAGAGAGAGAAAGCGCGTTTATAGAAGATCGTGACAATGAGTTGTTTCTCGATTAAAAGAAAAACCCCAACAATCTCTAGCCATCCTCGTTAAATTAACAATAATCACATGTATGCTATCTTTGTGTGTCAATGTTATTTACATCTACATAATAAAGTAGTTTACAATTTAAATTTCAAAAGATAAACAAAATGACTTTTGCTATTCGCGGTTGAAATCATTTTAAATTTTACTTTAAAATTAATTTAACGGTTAATATTAATACCCTTAATTTAATAGAAAAAATAAGCCTCTAAAGGTGTATTTGGAGTGACTTTTAAAAATAATTTTATAACTTATTTCTCATAAATACTTTAAAAAAAATAGTGTTGGAAACCACCCCACCACTATCTCTACCACCACCGTCGCCACCGCCACTGTCGTTATCGGCGCCACCCCCACCACCATTGCAGTTGCCTGCCGCCACACCACCACCACTACTATAGTTGCCACCTACCACAATCATCACTATCTATTTTCACCCCTGTTGTCGCCCACCACCTCTCACCCCCATTATAATAGATGTTTAAATTCATATATCTCTCCTCTGTGTTTGTGATTTGATTTTGAATATGAATATAAATATATTTATTATTTATTATTTTTTACTACTATGTGACTTCTTCAAACATAAATAATAACTAGTCATCTTATATGGTATGATTTTAATTTTAATTTTTAAATATTTAATAAATTAACAGAACTTATTGATCTAATGTTTGATAATAAGATGGTGCATAAAAATTAAAAATGATGTGTGTAATAAATTAATGGAGTTGCAGAGAAGGCAGGCAGTTACGTGACTTTTTCCCCGAGTTGCCCTTCCCTTCCCTGCCAATGGACGTCGAGTGGTGGTGGTGCAGTCCTCAATTGACAAGCTTGAAACACTGATTCAGAGAAAAATTGCGGGCAAGAAACTACATTTTCTGCATCCAAATGGGTGCTTCCGCATCAGTTCCTGAAAAATCAATCCATGAATTCACAGTCAAGGTAATCTCTCTCTCTCTGTCTCACACACATTCTCTCATCCATCTTCTCCGTCTGCCTCGTTTTTCTATATATTTATATGAGGGTGGGAAATTACGGTATGTGTATTTCTCAAAAAATGATAGGATTTGTTTTCGGATGTGCAGGACTGCAAGGGTCAGGACGCAGACCTCAGCATTTACAAAGGGAAGGTTCTGCTTGTTGTCAATGTTGCTTCCAAATGGTCCTCTCGCTTTTCCCCTAATTTTGATTTTACCCTATTCTGTTATCTTTACATGATTATTCTCATTCTCTCTCTCTCTCTCTCTGGACGTGTGTGGTGTGATTTTGGGTTGGTGCTCATACAGTGGCTTTACAAATTCCAACTTTACCCAGTTGACTGAGCTGTACGAGAAATACAGGGATAAAGGTATATCAACTTTTTCAAAAACCCATGATTTCTTTCTTCTGTATTCGAGTTTTAAGAAATGTTTGTATCTATAACGAGTGCAGAGCCAGAAATTTGAGGGCAAATTTTAGCGGTAAAGATAGAGCCCTAATTCAAAGCTAACTTTGAATTGGCAAAAGGACTGTACACTATAATGCAAAGCTAGCTTTGAGGGCAAATAGAGCCTTAATAATAACAGTACACTATGTGCTCAAATTAGATCCATTGGAATAGTATTTTTCTTTTAAAAATAATAAGATTAAAAACTTTGAATAATAATAATAATGAAAGCTAACCCAGGGACTCCCATTATTGTAAGTTTTCAAGATGGTCAAATATCTGCATGTGAGAAGATGTTTCCACTACTTGAAATGCTAATGCTTAGGTTATAATTGAGCAACCTTATCTGTACAATTGTTCTAGACTAATTTTCACATTATAAAAATATTGCATTATAATCTCAATATTCCATATATCCAAATTAACAATAGTGGAAGAGGGGGACAAGGTATAGTGAGATAGAACAAAGAGCTTCAGCATGCTATCTCAAACACATGTTGGGTGATTGAACTAAATAAGATTATTCAAGTTCACTTGATTGAGAGTGAAAAATTTAATCCAACGTGAGAAATAATTAAACAAATTTGAATGAATAATTTTTTTTTGTGGGGGCAAGTTTAGAATATATTGAAATCTATATAAAAAATTTGTTCCAAAAAGAAATTGAGTTGGGGCAAAAGCCCTGTGTGGCTCTGCTCTTGTCTATACCTGGGTGTAAATTCATGCTTGATGTGAATTACAGCATGATCTACATGGTTGCTCACATGATACTTTTCTCCATGTAGTATGCTGTTTTTGAAATATCCCTGCATTTGAGCATCTGAGTGAAACATTAATGTTGAGGCTGTAGTGGCATTGAAAAATTTTAATGCTTGTGTTCTGTGTTTTGTTTTTATGCTACCAGGTTTTGAGATCTTGGCGTTTCCATGCAATCAGTTCTTAAAACAAGAGCCTGGTACAAGCCAGGAGACACAGGAATTTGCATGTACAAGATTTAAGGCTGAATATCCCATCTTCTCAAAGGTAAGCAGTGTCATATGATTATTTTAAATTGGATCTTATTTATTGAATGCTTGGTGATAAGTGTATGAGCACCCATTATCAATGCAAGAAAACTGCATTTATGGCCACGAAACATCTCATAACAACTCCCAGGGATACCATAAGAAGCGTATATTTAACCATAACATAGCATGATATTGTGATTCTTATATGATGAACATGAATCCTTAGTCCAATTTACGATTTGTGAAATCGTAATGTGTACATAGGATCGAAAAGAAGCTATAATGCTGATTTAATGGAGATTAAAGTTGGTTGGTTTGCCATTTTCAGTTTCAGCAAGTGGTTTTGGGAAACAAAAAGTGAAGCAAAAGTAGAAGGCAATGCTAGCAAGTGCCCTAAGGTCACCTGTTAAGAATTAAGATGCATTTAGCTGTGAATTAACTTTTTCTTGATTTTTGCTATACTCAATTTGAACACATTAAGGTGCAAGCAGTTTTTACTAGAGAGTTGATATTTACTGGATCTAGTTTACTGATTAAATAATAAAAGCTGCCAAGGCAAGTCGGAGATATTTGGTTTTTCTTGCTAGCCATGTTGTCGTCACTCTCCAGCTATATGAAAAGTTTCAGATCCAGGAAAAAAAAATGAAAGCACAAAAAAGCTTGTGGATAGAGACAGCCCTCAACCCACCACATACACACAAAATGCCAAGATGAGAAGATGACCTTTGTCAATAAGAGAGAGTTCTAGCAAAGAAAACTAGAAAAGATCCTTGAGCTATAATTTGAATTTCCAATAAAGTTGCTAATATTTGAATATAGCATAGTAACTTTGCGGAGAATCGCAATAGACCTTCTCGATGTACTGACAGCAGAAGGGATTGCATAAATGGTGGCCAGTTGTCAGTTATGAACTGACTTATATATTTGTGTCTCGGGGATTATTTATCTCTGAACTTTGTCTTTGGTAAAAGGCACATGTTCCCTCCAAGGGTCACTTAAACGAAGCATGATGATTACTTTTGTGCACTGATAAAGAACTACTTCTAAGTTCCAGTTGCATCCTTCTGTCAGGGTTTTTCTGATTCAAGTTATCGTAATAGCTTTGGCATGGATTATGGATTGATGGTAGACATAGTTTATATTGTGCTTAGATGTGCAGACTATGAGGGGCATTGCCTGGGTTGGAGTTTCTGGAACCTGTCTTTAGATGAAAGTATCGGCATTATGATAGACTACAGCAGTAGACTGCTAGGGATGTAGTTTAAGGTTTAAGAGTAGGTTTCCCCTCCTCTTTTTTGAAAAAAGGATATAGTGAAATTAGTCTTGAAGCATGCTGAAAAACTCACATCCATCTTGTTTTGTGCATGTCACATAATTAATCTCATATCGATCTTGGTATTCAAGCTTTTAATATTTGAATCTAAGTCTGGATGATATTGCTTCCCTATATTTCTTTTTTTCTCGTTGTTAGTTGCAAGTTATCATATGATCAAGTGCTTGTAAGTTAGGTACGTGTCAACGGACCAGATGCCGCCCCCGTCTACAAGTTCCTCAAAGCGAGTAAAGGTGGATTTTTTGGTCCTAGTATCAGATGGAACTTCACCAAGTTTTTAGTTGATAAGGAGGGTCAAGTCATCTCTCGTTATTCCACAAGCACAGCACCATTAGCAATTGAGGTAACCTCTCTCTCTCTCTCTCTCTCTTGCATGTCTTGCTGTTGCTTGTGGTTTGAAGATCACAATTCTTCTTTCATTGGGGTTTTTATGCAGGCAGACATCCGGAAAGCATTGGGAGAGGTGTGAAAGACATGATCTTCAGCTTAGGGTATATTATAGATTGATTCAATTAAGGGCAAAATAAATGTGTGGAAAGAAAGATGCTAGTGATCCATGCAGTAAATCAATTTATGTTTATTCCTTTGCCCCCCTCCTTTTTTTTTCCTTTTTCTTCTCTTCCTCTTAGATTTTGACTTTTCATGGGATGTTGCAAGTTGTAATGTTTTGGAAACATATTTGAGTCCATAGAATATATGTTTGGCCATGAAAATTTATTGATATCTTTCTTTAAATCTCCTAATTGTTGGCAATGCGATACTCAAAATATATCACTAGTCTAATTATTCCTGTTTGCTTGGCTACATACAAATATATATAACTCGGTGTATGTGTGATCATGCATATCCTATTGTTCCAGTTCCATTGATAATTTGATCTTTTACTGCCCCTCCCCCTTCGCATTAGGAAAAGCAGGAAAAGAATAAGAGCGTCCATTGCCAGTAGTTGATAAAAGTAGTTGCTGGCTCACGTCAAGCTCGGGGTAAAGATCTTGGGTTAAGTTTTGAAAAGTTTCATGGTGAGGGATGATTCAACAGATGATATGAAGACCAGAGGGAGACTAAAAGCTCATCCCAAGAACGTTACACTGGTGGAGTTTCTAGATTATATTCTGGTTAAATCCCTACGTCCAGGTCCTCTTGATTGCCTACCAAGGGTTCGACGAAAGGTCACTATACCAAGAGGGTAGGTAGATACCTGCATTTCATGAACCAACCACTTCAATTGTACTTGCTATAACCCTGAATTATATGTATAACAAGACTTCCCAACAACTAGAACTGTTTCTGAGAAGAGTCAAATTTGGGAGAAATACAACATTCTCATAGTCGGTTATGATTATCCACATGGAAGCAATGAAGATGGACTGTCCCTCTCACTCATCAACCTTCATGCATATCGTACACTGCAGACTTTTGTGTCTGTAGGGACTCGAGACTTCATCTCCATTGTCGCATCATATCCTCTCAAAGACCTTATCTTTGATTCTTCTTCCTCATTTAGATAAGGTTAGGAACTTTCCCATGTCATTCTTTACTACAGCACAGAGACATGGTTTAGCACGTGAAATGGGGCCTTGAAATGAATATTTATACCTTGAAGACGGTGACCCAAAAGAGAAATTGTGCTTTTCCACCATGTAATCCGAAGAAGGCGACCCAACGTGTTCAGTAGACGGGTCACATTTGAGGCCATGTGAAGAGGGGTCACTATCAGTGCTTGCCATGCCATGAAGGAGAGGACTTTGGACCGAAGTTATAGTAGATATGGTGGTGCAATGACTTCGAACTGGTTTGTCACGGCGGGCAATGATAAGTGGCCGGCTTGTCGGGATTGACTAGGACCACAGTTTGGTTCAACCTAACTCGCTCAAGATTCCAAGATTTCTAAAGCTGGCCAAATACCTCAATCTACTAGTGATTTTTTTTTTTTTTTTTTTTTGGGGGGGGGGAGAATAAACTTATTAATTTAATTCATCCCATTTCATTTGTGCGAGTAGAGATTCAGCTGAGCTACAGATTTGTCGGTTAAATAATTTTCGAAATTACCTCTTGAAAAAATAGGTTGTCGGTCCCAAAAAATGAATAAGTGGTTTTAAGTTATTGTATAATTCTCATATTTTCATTCTCAATTTCAGTTTCCAAGTTATTATAACTGATTCTGAATGTGTCATAGATAATACTATTAACACCGTTGGACGACTTTCTCTTTGAATACATGTCATAGATAATACTATTAACGTTGTTGGCTAACTTTCTCTATGTACAACATGTATTCTTTCACATCTTACATAAATGAAATAATATACTCACCCAAAAAAAAAACTTTACGGTAATTGAATTATTTATTCAACTATTGACAGTCTATCGCTCTACATATACTAGCTCAATTTTTTTTATTACATTTTGCCCCTGGACTTATATTTTTTTCTTGATCTTATCTATTTTTTTTTTCATATCCAATTACGTTAGGCAATCATATTAAATTAAAGGATAAATTATATGCACACCCCTAATATTTGATTAAATGACACAAAAACCCCATAATATTTTTAAAATTACACAATAACCCCTTGTCGACGTCCATGACGGGTAATATAAGTGATAAAATAACTATTTTAACCCTTTAATTTAATTTAATTTAAAATAAATATATAATAAATAAAATATATTTTCAAAAATTAAATCAAAAAGAAAAAAAAATCTCTCTTAGCTCTCACATCTCGCTCATCCCTTATCCCACCCGATCATCGCCACCACTCCTACTCCTCCTCTCTCTCTGAGATACCCCCAGGCCCACGCCCCCTCCCCGCAACCCCCCCCCCAAAAAAAAAAAAAAAACTACTTCTCGCATCCCCTTCTGTCTCTCTCTCAATTTCCCTAGGCCCCCGCCCCTTCCTTGCAACAAACCCCATCGCACCCAACCCTCTAATACCAATCCCCTTCTCCTCCCCCACCCAATACTATAAGTCTATGGTTGAACAGCCCCAGATGTGAAGACTCACTTGTCTCTCTATCTCTCTAGATCTGCAAAACGCAGATGAATGGGTGAGTCATCACCCTCGGATCAGTCACTGCCACCCTCAGCCAAAACCCACATAAAGGAGTTGCTGTAAAATAGAGAGATGGTTAGGGCAGCGGGGTGAGGGTAAGGAGTGGTGGTGAAGGTTGGGGTGATGATGAACGATTCTGAGATGGTGGAGATGAGGCTACAGTGATGGGAACGAAATTATGTGGTGATTTTAATCAATGTAATAGTTTATTGTTAATCTTTGATTAATTTTTGTAAGTACATAATTAATGTTGTTAAAATTGTAAATTATGATAATTAGTGGACAAGATTATCTTAGAAATGTTGGACATTTTATAGAGGGGTAGTTTTGGAATTAGGTAAATTTTGTTTCCTGATATAACTATTTTATGTTAGTCACACTGACAGCCGGAAGACGAAGGGTTGCTCTTGTCATGATTTTTAAATCTCAAGGGGTCGCCGTGCAATTTTAGAAATGTTAGGGGATCTCCATGTCATTTGATCAAATGTCAAGAGTTTGAGTGTAATTTATCCTAAATGGAACAAGTATCCCTGTCTGCATGCAGTTAGCTAGGAAGGGTATCAACGTGAGACAGTGAAGGCCCTCTACAGTGAGTAGTTGATAGCAAGTCATTTTCAAGGAGACAAGCTATTAGGTCTGCTGTGTCATCTTTACTCGTACAGTGGACCCGACCCGTTGGCCCAAACAAGGGCCAACCTTAGTCACTCACCACATACTGCCCCTCACATATCTTCCACATCTATATATATAAGGTCTAAATTCCCTGGAATGTTCATTCCACATAACAAACTTCAACACCCTCCCAGTTCCCACCAAAGTTCTAAGCACTTACAGCCATAATCAGAAATTCAGAAACATGGCGGCAAATTCATTCTCTCTGAGGAATTCAAAGCTGCGGTCATGGAACCGGCAAATTCAAGAGCGGCGGGCACGACTTTATATCGTATGGAGATGTACTGTGCTGCTTCTGTGCTGGCAAGACTGAAATTTCATCACTTGAGGCATTGAGGTGGTGGTTGCATAGAGGAGTTAGGTTAGAAAAGATTGATGTTTAACAGAGTGGAGTCTGTGTTGTGTGCTTATGGGTTTGTTACACAGTGCTCTTAAAAGGGATAGAACATAGCGTGAATGTTGGGCTCATTTGTAAGATAGATAGAAGGGTGCATGCCATGTCTGAGGATGGTCACATGTATGCAGTTCACGTTTCGTGACTCAATTCATATCACCCAAGTTACAATGAAGCAACAAATACATGTAGAATATAAACAAAGCTTATAATATAACACCTTTAGAGTTTCCCAAACAAACTGAAGCAGCTTGCTTCAAATCAAACCAGCACACGTTTTTTAAAGCTCAATATTTCAGAGACCAAAATGAGACAAACTCCATATTTTGGAGACTTCCAATGCAATTAACCCTAAAAATGCAATACTAATCACACCAAGCAATGGAGATCTTTGGGTACCTAATTTGCAACAGAACACATCATATGTGGCAGACATCACCACAACAAGCTCCTTTCAATGCCATATAAGAAGAACATAACATGTTGCATTTTCTAGATAATGCAAAGAAATACAAGATACAACTTCACAAAATACCTGCACTATTTATTTTCATATCCATGCTATGCTGTACATAAGAAAACCAGCAATATTATTTGCACCAATGTGTGGCCCAATGCTGTTCCATTGTAATCACGGACTATAAAGTAGTGAAATTTCATAGAGATCTATCACAAACTTACTTAGCAGAAGAAAATAGGAAAAGAGGCTCATATCTGGCAACCTCCAAAGTTGCTAAATATAATCTTTTTGAAGGAGTTTTCTTACTTAGCTATATCCTCAATATTTACAGAACTCACATATCAAATTCACGGTTGTCAAAGAATTCCCATCCATCTTCCACGAGTGCCTTGCGATCATCTTTGTATCTCTCTTCTCCATAGGAAAGCTGCTCATGAACAGAGGATATTGGACTAGTCTTTGGGGTTTCGGATGGATCAGCTCGCTCGGGCACTAGATCAGGCGACATACTCTTCGAAGATGAGCTTGAAGAGGCCAAGATGCAACTTGTTTGGCTGGATGTAAAAGATTTACTAAGTGGTACATGGTCATCAAACTTCTCTTTCAGCAGCTTCACATCTTGACATATAACAGATATTTCTCCCCTGCACAAGATCAAAAAGATGCTTTATTTACTTGGTTTGCCTGGGATTTTTGCATTCAGATTCAAAACCTTTCATCAACTGAAAAATGTACTATTGGCCAAACGTTCCAAAGTCCCTAACCAGAAAAGTACAATCAGAGATGAACTACGATATTGAGATCCTAAAGGTCTCAGATGTACAAGAACTATTAGAAAATGTGTGCAAGGCAGATAGAAAACCTAGAGTTTCCAGAACATGAAACGAACCCACTACCCATATGAGAACATATCATGATGCTTGGCATTATTTTAATTTGGTTAAAGTTCTACATGTCCAACCAAGTTGTACACGATGAATAAAAGGGGGAGAGGAGACACAGAGAGAGGTGTACATCCACAAGAAAAGATAAGCTACAAGGATCACACACTAAAATAATGAAACTTCAAAAAGTGGAAGGATTCCATAGCAATTTACACTCAGCTAACCCTCCTCCCTTTAATAAGGTCGCAGTGCCCCAAATCACAATTGGCAAGTGTTACTACTATGCGTGGGATGAGAAAACCACTTACTGCAACATATCAACAACACGGCCACGATCAATGAGGAACTCACGTAACTGCAATAAAGCAACAATGAAAAGATCAGACAAATGGATACAAATTATTTCTTCTTGGTGGTGTGTGGCATGGTACCATGCTTCCCCATTTTTACTACCTTAGAATTCTCCTCTGTTTCTTGCTTTAGTATATTCGACTCTTGAACCACCTTCTCCATGATCAGTTCTTGGTCGGAAATTGCTTTCTGTGCAGTGTCTACCTTTTCTAGCCTTTCCCGCTCTGCTTCCTTCCTCAATTTCTCCGCTTCAGCTAGGCGTACCTCAAGGGTTTGACTCATCTGCAGAAAAAATCCCTTACATATCCACATATATTCCATATTTATATTGAGCAAAAAAAGCACAGAAGAAAATTATATGGGGATCACATTATTAGTTAAGACTAGACAATCCAAAAGCAATGACCACTTCCGGTTTCGCTTTCAGCATGATTAGACCAGCAGATGAAAGATACTCTATGATTCTCAACAGCTAGCAAACACGATTCTGAAAATCTAAGTAAGGAGATAAAAATAAACATGCTGCCAGAGTTGATGGACAGAGGGAAAGGAGCATTAAACACAAAAACAAATTGCTCATTTTTAGGAGAGCTAAGCTAGTGGTAAATATAAATAATCATGACCACCAAGATAATACTTTTAGGGACAACGACTAATAAACTAATATCTATTCATGTTTTTTTTGCAAACAAGGAACATCCTGGCAAATACATTCTTTCAGGTAACAGGAGGCCCTGCAAAATGCAGCAACTTCTGTAAACTGTATCATGACAGAGATCTGTGCAAAAAAGTCTCCAAGAGCTAAGAAAGGAACAGTTAAAAATTTGAGTCCAATTTAAAATACAAAAATTGGTATACCAATAGTAAAAATGACACATTCATCCCAAAAAGAATTGTTAACACACCACACATTACCACAACATCTAACAAACGTGTATTATTACTAGTGCAACTTAAACCTCTAATCAACTCAACAAAACCTTGTTCATAATCTAATGAGGAAAACAACACACATTCCAAACACCTTTCAAACATGCATTATTACTGATGCAATATAAACTCAATAACAAATTGTCTCAACAATGTAGGGCATTTACTGATGCAAAATGTTAGAACCCATTCCTAATCTTAAACAGAACCATACATTAAAATACTATGCAATTGATTATAGATTGAGATAAGGTATCCAATAAGCACCTCATCAAGAATCGCAAGAGCTTTATCCCTTTCATCTGACAAGCTATGCACACGAGATTGAAGCTCCCTGACTTCAGTAACTAGGATGGCCTTCTCTCCATATACTTCTCCAGTATGCTGCAACATAAGAAAAGGAAATGAGGCTTTATCCTTACTCATTCAGAAACTGACTAATTCTGATAGTATCAAATTAAAGATTTTATATTTAGATTAATAAATGTCCAACCATGTCATTTGCTTCCTTTGCATGACGCAGCATCTGTTTAAGGTCTTCCACCCTTATGAGTATGTCCAAGCCGGCCCCAGCAGCTTCCTCTTTGGCTTCTTCTGCAGCTTTCTCTTGAAGTTCCACTTCTCTCATCAAGCTAATAACTGACTCCATGGCTGAGAACAAGGTTTTCTGCACCAGCACTCAACCATTAGATCCAAATCTGGCCAATTATAAAAGGATAACTTGTACTAGATATCCCACCATACCCTCTCTCTTCTTCTCCCTGGACGTGATTGTACTCTCAAGTGTTATACACTAAAAACCAAAACCGAAGTTGTGTGTTGACTAAACATGGATAGACTCTATACCACCTATCACAAGACTAACCACCGATAATAGGACTAGATTGGGTACCAAACTTCCATCATGGATCATCACAACCCCACAATAGCAATTCAATTGACCCAAAACACTTGTTTGTGCTCCTGCACGGTCCCCGGGATATGTGCTTTCAAGTGTTAAACACCAAAACCGAAACTGAAGTTCAGTATTGATTAAACATGGGTAGACTTTACACCACCTATCACAAGACTAACCACTGATAATAGGATTAAATTGGGGCACCAAATCTCCATCACGGATCATCACAGCCCCACAATAGCAATTCAATTGACCAAAAACACTTGTTTGTGCTCCTGCACGGTCCCTGGGATATGTACTCTCAAGTGTTAAACACCCAAAAACTGAAACCGAAGTACAATGTTGAGTAACCATGGGTTGACTATATACCACCTATCACAAAACTAACCACTTATAATAGGATTATTTCACCTCAGCAGCTTTGCTCATCCCAAGTCCCTAAATACTATTTTTCTACAACAGCTATTTTACATCTGGGTTCATCTTAGTACATTCATGATAGATTTGCCAGACACAATTTGTGGCATATCAAAGACAACCTTTGGTGGTAAACTACAGAAAAGCTGCATTTTCAAGAGAAAGGCATAAGAAAATTATTTGAACACTAATAAAACATTCTGATGGTACTAATACCTAGAAAAGTTCTTATTTAAAAAAAATACCGAGAGAAGTGGATGACACACAGCATATGAGGTCAAAAGCTTGTGAGAATATATAAATACTTGCAATAACCTTGTAACTGAAGCTATTTGTAATACCAAAAATGAAACATTGATTGTGTAATATTTATATTTTAAATAGTAAAGTTTTTTTTAATTAGTTAATTTAAATTTAAAATGAATAGAGAGAAAATAAGAGAGGTAGAGGAGAGAGAAGAGAGAGGTGGGTGTGGATTAGTAGAGTTGTCTAGCATTAGGGAGCGTGTTGATTGAGCAGATGTTTTTTAGGGGAAAAAAATTGGAATGAATTTTATACCAAATCAAAGTACATAAAAATTGAATCAATCTTGACAGTTATTGTGTTTTTATAAGTTGAGACTTGAGAATTCAATTTAGTACCTGTAATATTAGATAGATAATTGCCAGAGTAACCAAGTAAGGAAGCATAATCAGGATGGTATTCGGCAGATTTATGAGAGTGAAATATTTCTCAAACATGAAGCAGCATAAGCGGGAAAAAATCCAAGATATCCATGGTAGTGAGATATTACTCAAAAGGAATAACTCCCTTAAAACTCGTAGTAGTAGTAGTAGCCTACCCTAGTAATGATCTAACATCTGTCAATGACTAAGAATTTGATAACATAGCAACATTTTCACACCAATCTTACCTTGTTACTTCTTGCATCTTCAATGATGTCCTCAAGAAGAGCAATGCTACATATATGGCCAGATCGTGTAATCACATCATTCAAGGTAGAGTCACCATCAAGAAGAAGCATTTCATTAGCGGAAATATAATTCTTGGAAGCAGCATTGATAGAATCAGTTAGTTCTGGTTGTGCAACATCAGCAGTTAGCATATCAGGCATGGCAACTAACTGAAGGCTGCTTTCTGAAGCATTTTGTGTCAATTCTTTAGCAGGTGATGCAGTCAGCTGGACCATAGAATTTTTTGCTTCCAAAATGTTGCCATCCATGTATAACAGCTCTTGATGGATTTCTCCCTGATCAGCCATATCTAAGTCACATGCAGCAGGCCTATCAGAGTTTCCCAAAACATCACGTACACTACTATTCATTCGTCCATTGGCACCAACATCACCATATTCCAATGTGGTTGACAATGAATGTGAACTTTGATCAAACCCAACCATGGGTCTGCTTTCTTCATATTTCCACAACGACGTGATCTCTTCACTTTGAGCAGTTCCCTGTTTGTTATGATGATGATGCTCATCATTTGCACCAGCTTCATGCATCAATGCGACAGACATGGCATTGGAGGACATATCAAGCCCAACTTTGTCGTTGCTCTCATGACATTTCTCTGATGAAACCAATTCGTCATTTCCATCACCTCGAAATACCTGATCATGTCCATCATTTGCATCATAGAATGAAGAACCATTTTGAGTCCAAGCATTTGCCTCATCCAAGCATGTTGAGTCCACTAGAAGGGTATCATCACTCTGAGAAGTTGTATTGGCATCTGTAACAGCTATTGAAATCAAAAAGTCATGTCACTTGCACCAGAGATGAATCCTCAAAGGCAATTGAAAAATCAATACAACTGAATGGTTCCAGATGGGAGTTAACTCTACGACTGACTTAGCACCTAGAACTCACAAAGGGGATAAAAACCTAATAAATCGACTGAATCTAGAGAGTCGAATTCAAACACCGCCCCAGTGTAGCATTCACTAAAACATAAGCATTACCTTCAGGTGAATTTAGCACAATCCCTTTCTCATTAGAAGAACTAGTAACCATAGTTCTTTCTGAGAGAAAAGGAATAATCTCATTGAGGACAGCCTCAACAGCTGCATCAGCATCCTTTCGATGCTCAACAGCAACAGCCCTCAGTAAGCGAGTATCAACCTGTTCAAAAAAGCAGTGAGAATACGAGTGCAGTTGCTCTAACTTTTCTGGGTAACTATAAATGTGGCTTCAGTATAATAACAAAACTCTTTTTGCAGAGATACTATAAATTAATCGTACAAGAAGCACAAATAAAAAAATTCTTCAAGTTTATTCATAGAGAGGCACACAAAAAAATATACACTAAAATTATCTCCCATGAGGAATACAAATTAAAATAGGTAATTAAGAACAAAAGGGTCCATGGTGACATACCTCTGCTACCTGTGGAAAAATTTCCTGCAGCACCCTATAAACTGTGTTGAAACCCATCTCCAACAGCTATAAAATCTGCATAAATCAACCAGACACAAGTTATCCAACAGTAGGAAACATCACTTCATATAAAAACAAATATTAATAGTTAAAAAACGGAATATGAACAAACCAACGCCACTTTGATATATATATATAGAGAGAGAGAGAGAGAGAGAGAGATACTCAGTTAAGTGCGCGCTCACGCCCACAGTGATCAATGCGTAAATGAACTCAAAATCTTGAAAACCTTTTCTTAAGACCTAAAACCCTAACCCTAGGTGTGGTTGCTGAGAAGATAAAGAAATATAGAAGAAAAGAACAAAAATTATTGCAAATTGCTGATAAACTAAGCCAATTAATTGAATTGGAAGTGGGCCTCCGGACTGAAAGATACTTTCGAGTAAAAACACAAAAATACTATTCAACAATTTAGAACTGCCCTACTTCTCTCTCCTTTTTTTCTTTCCCCAACTTGTTTTTCTCGGCAACCAAACAGAGCGTCAACAAGGAAAAACTATCAAGATGAAATTCAATTGTATGTAGCAGAAAAACCAAGAGACGATCAATGGGCTTTAGACAAATACTGACCTTTGGCGAATGCGTTATTGTTCACAGAGACCTAATGAGAGAGAAGGGGAAGGGTTATATAGAGATGAGGTATATATATAAACAGAGAGAGAGAGAGAGAGAGAGAAACATGGCTTCGCAGCTAAGAAATTGGGTATTATTACCTATTTAATTAATTGAAAATGTTTTCTGGATTTATAGGGAGAGGATTTCTTGGTGGAGGGTTAAGCCGTGCAACCATTGGGATTGGGGACTTTGGAAGTGTGGACTGGGTGACCCTTTCGACTTTTTGTGGCCCAACGGATAGATCAATGGAAATTTAGAAATTCATACAAAAATTTATTTTAATTCTTATTATTTGATCTTAAATTTTTTTTTTTTAAAAAATAAAAAATAATTTATTACTCTATTACTCTCTTTCTTCCTCTCTATTACTCTTTCACTCTCTTTCCTATTTTCTCCCTATCTCTCTCTCTCGGTTACTCTCTCATTAATAATTTTTTTTTTCAAATATTATTTGACTTGATTTTTTATCACTCTCCCATATTTTTCTCTCTTTTTTACTCTCTCACCCTATTTTTTCTCACCGTTTTTTTATCTTTTTATTCTCTCCCCTCCCTCTATCCTTACCAATATTACAACAATACAATTATATCAATCAATTATACTAATTAATTATAATTGTCTTATAATATACCAAACAATTATTCATATATTCGAATAAATTAAACAGTTATATCAAACAATTATACAAAATTCTAACATCAACTCAATTTGTCATTCAATTGTGTATATAAATCAAAAATTTATATTATTTAGTATCACGACATGACTACACCAATTATATAGATCAAATTGGATTAATCATTACATAAAAAATTTACCATTACACCAAATTTGGTATATATAATTAGTGTAATCGCGTTGTGATACTAAATAATTTAATTATTTGGTTTATATAAACAACTGAATGACAAATTGAGTTAATGTCATAATTTTGTATAATTGTTTAATGTAACTATTTGGGTTATCATAACACATGAGTAATTGTTTAGTGTATTATATGACAATTGTATCCGATTGATGGAACATTAATATAGAGAGAGAATAAAAAGAGAAAGTAACAGTAAGAAAAAATAAGATGAGACATATGAAAAAATCAAATTAAATCTTTATATATTTGAAAAATAAAATAAATAATCAATGGGAGACATAGAGAGAATAGCAATGTAAGAAATAGGGAAGAGAGATAGCGAAAGAAACAGAATTATGCATGATTTCAGAGTAAGTAAGTAAAATAAATAAAATATCATTTAAATTTAGTACCGAATCACAAGATGTTTTGTCAAATTTAAACTTAACAGAGTAAATAACTTATTCATATACTTTCTTTTAAATAAGCTTAAAAAATATACCCAAAAAAAAAAAAAAACCTTAAATCTAAGTATGTTAATCATGTCCGGTGAAGTGGGTTTATATCGAATTTTAGTGAGTTCATGTCAAAAAATGTTTTACTTTTTCTCAATTCGTCTATTAATTCGTGTATAACAAATCATGTCATATGGAGTTAATGTTGTGTATGAACCGTGTATAATTGATATATAAACGAATTGTGCAATATATTTCTTTTGATTGACTTTATTCATACGTGATTTATTTATTAATCTTGTCATGTCAGGTCCATTCGTTTACTAAACAAGTGACTTAAAAAAAATTTAAATCTTCTAATTTCGTATCGTATTTATATTGTTTTAATAAATCGTATCATATTTTGACACCGTTAATTAAATCTCCATCACCCATAGAGGAAATTTGTATTTTTGTACACAGTCAAGTTCATGATATCGATTGGCTTAATGGGTCATTATTCCGTCTTTAAACATTAAGGTCATAAGTTTAAATCATATCGTTTCTTTTCTTATAATAGTGCATGACGTGAAAAGAAAATACTCGGTGACCTTTTATTTCATTTTTTGGTTTTTTTTTATAAGAACATTTCTAGTCCTTACCTTTTTTTGTATCATTTTTTAAAAAAGAGTAAAAAAATTTTTAAAAATCTTTTCTGATGTTAGACTCATATTCATACCAAATGAAAGAAAATCTCTTTTAAACTCAAATAAAGAAAGACTCAAATCCTTACATTTTTTACTAAATGATAATATTACACCCTCTTTTAAAGATACAATAGTTATATTTATCCTCTTTTAAATTTAGATTTATTCTCATTTAAATTTAAATTTTTTTCCCTTTAAATTTGAGTTTCTCTATTGGAGAAATTTATATCAAATCGAATTTTTTATTTATACTCAAATTTGGGTAAGAGTTTGAATCTCTGTTGAAGATGGTTCAACTTTAACTGGTGTTTTGGTTAAAATTTCATTTAGGAAGATAGAATTTTCGTGTAGAATTTTATGAACATGATGATTTTGGTGCATTAATATTTTTTTATTGTAAAATGGATTATTGTTAAGATAATGGTGCTGATATAAATATCAGTAACAAATCATTTTCTATTAGAATCCTTGTCAAAAATCCTATTTGTGAAACCTGTGTTCAAATGCCTTTTATCAGTTTTTGTTTCCTTTATAAACTAAGGACAGGCCAATTTTGATTTTTTTTTAAAAAATCTTTTGTTATCATTAATATCAACCCTGTCGCTTTTTTATTATTAGGACAGCCATTGATAGATATTAGAGATAAAATATATCATTGTATGTCATATACAATTACTAGAGGTAATTCGTACCTAAAAGTATAATATAATTAAAAAAAAAAACGTGGCTTCTCTGACAACGGAGTGACGGGTGAGGTGAGAGAGGATGGAATGGATTTAGGAGAACTAAAATATTTATGTGAAATAAATTTTTCATAACTTAAACTTAAGAATTATCAAGATTTAAACTTAAAACGTTTTTAGGTCTAGAGGAAGGATCGCCCACGTTTGAATTTGGTTTCCTTCTAGATTCGCAGTTGAGAAGCTTGTGGTGATCTGATTCAATTTTTACATTTCCACCTAACGAGGTTCGAACCTCAAACGCTGTAATTGAAAGATGACGTTCTAGTCATCTGAACTCGACTAGAATGGCTCATGCTTATTATAGGTGCCAAAAAAAAAAAAAATGGTTGGTTATACCATTTAGTATATAGTTTCTTCAAAAGAAATTACTCCTATCTATATTTCTTTTTGTTTACTAACAATTTGTAATTATGACATTGACTCCTCATCAGTATGTAGTTGATTTATGACACTTCAGGATGGCTACAATGGCATCTACTGATGTTAACCAATAAGCTGCCACCTGTAGATCCAATGTCAATAGTTTCAAGTGGGGCATTTTGCTAGCCCCACCCCACGCGAAACTACCCAAAAAAGTGAGTTCCAAACAAAAGCCTGTTCTTTTTCTTTTTCACTTGTGACAAGTTCACATTAACTTTGTTAATTCACAATAATTATAAGAACAGTACATCCCCGTTCAAACCCCACAACAAAGAATGAGTTTCATGACCCAAAACTGAGAACAATTAAAAGCAGCTAGAGGAGAAAATTATTGCACTAGATTCTACAATTTTGCAAATTACACAAAATTAAAAACTGCATTAGCTGGTTAAGGGGGACGGAGAATAAGCCCAAAACCATACAACTTTACATCTATCGTGTTTCATCAGAGCTGCAAAATCATCTTGTGTTGCTAAGAAGCGAGGCGCCTCAAGATTTTCTAGTGCCCTTTTGAATGTTATTCATCCTCAGAGGACTTCTTTGGGGCTTGCCCTTGCTTACCTTGGCCTCCCTGAAGGATCAACCAAAATCTATCAGGCGTTTAGACTTGAAAGAGTACAATAAAACAAAAACAACCCAGCTCTTATATCTAGTTTATACTCAATCTTCTACTAAAAATTGTTTTGAGCACAAAACCTCCCTCGTTCATAGAAACATCAAATTTAGAGCAAATTTTACAGTGTCATCTTGTAGCAGGAAGTTTTAGCATAAAACCTCTAAAAGCTAGAATTGCAAATGCCTCAATCACACGAGGTAACAAAATTAGTATCAGAATATGTCATAAAAATAATTCACGTCTATCAGAAGGTTGTTCATTTGATGTTACAAATTGGTATGGCAATGAGCTTATTTCACAATTAACTTTGATTTTGCGGGAAACTCACCCGCATTCAAGGGCAAGGTGTCCAAAATAAGGTGTTGTATTCAAATAAGCATTCTATACCAACAAAACAAACAGCCCAGGCAACCTCATGATTATTTGTCATTCTCTAATCAAAGAAAAGGAAACAAAAAGGCACTTATGGTTTAATTGCCAATATTACATGCAATGCATAGAAAGAAAAATTTCAATATTTTCCAAAAGGAAAAGAAGAATGCACATGTCTATGAACATATTCTCGATATTAGCATCACGACTAATAAGAGTTCCACAAAGAGTACTACAAAAAATTGAATTCTAAAGACACAACATCCAAATTCCTAATAACATGACACCCAAATACCACCTCAACATGATAATTTTGCTTTACTCTCTTCAATAATAAACAACAGACATGCCACAAATCAAGAGAAGATATTGATAAAGTAATAGCTGTTTAACTTACTGCATGCTTTTGACTGGTCAGTCTCCGACTTGAAGGTGCCCGGGCAACAGATGAAGCGGCAGCAGCAGCTGCAACACGTATCCTGCAACAACCATAATTCAACAAACAGTCGCATAAGTGATTTGAGTGACTGCAAATAAAAGGCAAAGTAGGGTCTGATTCTTCGAACCGTTTATGTACATCAACATATACATCAGTCTCATCTACAATTTCCTCCTGCATCAGTGAATAGATTTATCAATAACCATTCGCAAATCATCAACCTTCAAGGCAATGAGTGTATCACTCCAATCAATGAGTAAAGCACATCAGTTCTTTATTCATTTAATGAGATGACTGAACAGCATATTTAGGAGCACCAAGCTGAAATATTTTCCATGAGATCGAACTGAAACTGATCCAAAAGCCAGACACATCACCTGGACACTCCAGGTTTAAGACGCAATGAAATTGAGTGAAGAAATAGAGATTACTTGCAGAAGTTCTTCAAACACATCCTCTAGTGTGATGATGCCAATGACTTCCCCATCTTCAATATCTTCAGACAGATGAACTGAACTGTTTGTTGCAGCACAGCTTTGTTGAAAAGAGGTTTGCTTGGCAGGTTTTGAACCCTTTTCGACATCGATGGCAACACTGTCCCAATGTTCATCATGTGTGGTTAACAAGGGGGTTGTCAATTGGGAATTCCCATGGTAACTTTAGATTCTCCAAATTTCTCTCCATCACAAGCAGGCTGAGTGTTCTTGTCTTTTCCCTTAATTTTCACTACAGCTGCCATATGACTGCTTCCCTTCTGAAACTCATTGAGGATATCATACAAAGGCATATCAGCTGGAACCCTGGAATATTGATGCATTATAATCCATATTATGGAATGCCAAACAACAGCATAACATATATTGTAAATGGGAAAGATTAGCACACCTGGGAATTTTCCTGATGGAAACAGCACTAACCGGAGTCTCCGTTTCTGCCCGTACCGTGAGAAGACTTTTCACCTATTTCCCAAATAAAAAGGGAAAAAAATCCGCTGCAATCAGTGGGCTACTAAATAATAATAAAAGAACATCATACTCAATAAAAGAGAATTGTGGTGATCCTTGATTTCGAACAGACCAGTAAGAGTCCAATAATGTTCTTTGGATTCCCAGAATAGACGGGAACACGACTATGACCTCGTGCAAGAATTTTTCCTATGGCTTCCCTGCAATATTAGATACAACAAACATGTTAGACAATTATGATTCTATTATGTCACACCTGCATTTAAGAACATTCAACCATGTCTATCCAACAGGAATGGGTTGGAGTCTGACAAACTAATCAATATCCATGACATCATAATAAATGGACTTTCCAAAATGCTTCTAGAAGCATGTTGGACATTTGATACCTGGGTTAGTGTGGAATATTGCCCAAATGTAACTGGCAAGCATACTCAAAAATAGCAATTTTCATTATATGCTTCAATTTGGCGCATAATTGCTTTAAGATGGGTGAATTGACCATTTTGAACACTCCATATCACATTGAACACTGTTTTGGCCCACTAAATAGATGATGATGTTAAAAAACAAGAATGCGTTGGCGTGTCCCCTTGTCTTTCAATTAGGAATTTGATGCATCTGACACCCACCCCCAAAACTCATCTCGAGTCCATGCAACAGCCATGAAGAGGTAAACCAAGCCCAAGCCTCACACAGTAACCACCACAAATACCAAAATCAGAAAAAAAAGAAAAAAATATAGAAACAGATTAGTATTACAATCTATGCTTTATATATACCAAAGAAAATGAAAATTAAGATACAGGGTGCGAGATGATTTTGTTATCATACTCTCAACCGAAATGCATCAATTAGGAAATGAACTCCATGATTTGATTCTCTAGTGTAAAGCATTACATGAAAGAGAAAGAACACTATCACTAAAAACATGGTAAATAACATGAGAAACTTTGGAGTTGTTAATTTACTCATGGAATTCACTCTTTCTGTAGTTTTGTCTAATAATGCTTCTGTTGATTCATTCAATTAGTTTATCAGTGTAGGTTGCCAGTGCATAATGCTTCTGTTGATTCATTCACTTAGTTTATCAGTGCATAAGCCCATTTGCATCAAATGCACATGCTTGTGCCTATTTGCTGCTATGCATTTGCAAGAATGTTTCCTCCATGAGAGCCATTAACAAGAAAAGTCATGCACAGAAAAATGGAAGCACACATATACACAACTTAATAAGACAAATGGAAGCACTCACATGCATTACTTAATGTGTGTACATAACATCATTCTGGGCTTGGACAAAGACGTAGGCAGGAAAAATTTTGCTCAGCTAAACCATGCAAAGAAAAATCGAACCCGAAAAGGATATCTCCCATAACACTACTTGATAGTAATACTTGGCACTCATATGGGGAAGAGATGAAAGACTATAGCTTCCTCCACCACTATCTTCGCGACATAACAAATAGGAAAAGGAAACCAAACGCAATTCCGGGAATATGAAAACCATTATAGAGTCAAACTCACCAGTCCAACTTCGAATTGACATCCAGGGAAAATGTTGATTCAATAGGTGTCATAGCCTCCTCTGCAGTCTGCCAATTACGCAAGGCACTTCAGTCTTATGATCATAGTACGAAACAAAAAATATTGGTACAGGCACACGTGCATAAAGTTCCATGTGCCAGGGGATCCTATTATTAAGAATGGCATGAACACACGCCTGAGAGAACTAAGATTTCAATTCTTTTGAAGATAAAATAATGGGACTAAAGTTGAAACAAGAGTAAATTTTCAGAAGAAATGAAATTGGATGAACTGTGTTATTAAATTTCAGGACAATGCAAATGAATGTGCATTTTTTCAAGTATACTCAGTACCCATGAAAGCTTTAATTCAAACCACTCTCATGAAGAAATTGTTGAAGATTCGGAATTACTTTTCTCAGAAATAAGTGTAATGTTCACTTTCAATTTCAAAGCCTCTTTGAAGAAGTTTTCTTCCTTGTCAGAAGCAGGTGTTAATATACGAGGCCATTCCTATCTCCCTGTGTAAGCTTCAACCATTCAGAATTTGATGGCCAAAATACTGAAAGAAAGCATTATAGAAATGGATGCAAAGGAAAGAGAGAGAGAAAAAAAAAAACTGGAATGATTGTTTAACTGCAATACAAACCTTTTCAGTTAAATCCAATGCTCCACTTATGATTGTAGTCTCATCATGTGTGAGTTCGCCGCCTTTACCAGCCTAAGATGAAAAAAAACATATACATTATAGGAAACCAAAAGGGCCAAGGGAATGTAGATGCATGTTCAATTGCCCTCAAATTCCTTTACACATTACATACAATTCTTGTAAGTTTAACTTGTTATCATATCTTAAGATTATTGAAATTGTGGCAGTGAGTAGCCGTACAAACTACAGATGCAGGAAGTTTACCTCTTGGCCGTGGATAGAGACAAGGGCTTTCAACTGAGCTCGCCTAAACAAGGCATCATTATGCCCCAATACAGTGTCTAGAATCTGAATCCACAACAAGCTAACTATTCAAGAATAGTGACCACATTGAAGTAAACTTTCACAGATATAAGCAACCATCCTTAAATACGTCTGTCAGATGTACACAAAGTAATGGCAACAACGCTACTTACATGAGAATTACCTTTCCAATAGGGTAAGCAATAGGATAGCATATGATCATCAAAATACGCACAAGCCACACAAAATTTGCACCCACAGCAAGTCCGTATCTGCTACATATTGCTTGTGGAATTACCTGATCCAGTTTGGTAAGTGACAAGTTAGTCCCAGTGCAGCAAAAAACCAGTAAGGTACAAACCAAGTTAGCCCCCGAATAGAATAGCAAATTGAACATAATATAGTAAAAGGTAGTCACACATTATGAATAGAATGTACCTCTCCGAAAGCTAGTACAAAAGTAACAGATAGCACAACAGCAACAAAAGGATGAAAAATTTTATCCAGGTATATAGGAAGAGCCTGCAGGAAGCAGAGCACGGATAAACAAAATGCTAATTTGCTCAACCATACTGGGACTTTATAACGTTATCATTTAGAAAGTTAACACTAATAATCAATGTTCGCCAACTCAGAAACATCTATTGACAGAATTAAACAATAAGACATCCATTGACGGAAACAAAAACCTGAAGACTCATCACACCGACTGTCATACATATTGCAGTACTGAACTTGTAGGAATCATCCAATGATAGCATGGATTACCAACCTGCCTACCATCTTTTGTATTACCACATTGGTCAAAATTATTTGTGTTAGTAACTAGACGCAATGATGGGATTTTCCTAACGGAAACAGCACTTACAATTTCACAACCAAAGTAAAGCATTACATGCATGTAATTTTCTCTCTCTATTTTTTCCTTGTTTATGTCTTGCTCTCTCAGCAACAAAAAGCTAACTGTGATATACTTTTCAAGCAAAAAAGCTGACAAAAGTGTTGACAAATAACAGATTATATGCAGTGGCTTAGTACCAATGCATAGCAGGAAATTCAGGTGAGTCCTCACCTCCATGGCGGCAGCATTGCAAAGAAGCAGTGTCACAAGAAGTTGATGTTGCTTTTTGACAACTGGTAGGATAGTAGCTGAAGATAAACAGCACGGCAATCAAAATGTGCTGCAGACGCAGCACCTAATGCTTGTGTATATGTAGAATGAAAGATTCCGTTGGGCTAAAATTTTCAGAGATAGCTAAAGCCAAAATATTTGAGATATATTTCTACTTTTCTAGCATAATCCGGAATATGAAATGGAAATTAGAGCATGATATCCTTTCCCCTTGAGGATGAGGAGTACCATAAAGTGCCATATAAATAAGCCACATCTCTCTAGTAGGAAAAGACAATAAAAAAACAAATAGAAAACAAAACATGATGTAATTAAAGACTGATGCTGAGCAGCTAAGGAACAATATCTTCAATAACTAAATAAAAAATTGTCAGAAGTCCCAATTTAGGAACAATTTGTGTAAAAATAACCCATAACATTCATTCAACAACATGAGATCAATAATTTTGCCGTAATGGTCCACGGAGTGCCCGATCGAGGTGTAAATTAATGGCAGAGGCATCGTTAGCATATACTAGTACATGACAGGGATCAAATTCACCTTAATGGAGATAACGACAACGAGCCTAGGCTAAACACAATCGCAATCGAAGCAAGTGATATGAGTAATTTATGAGATGAATCACTCCAGATTATCAATAGAGAAAACCTGCTTGTTTCTTCTCAGTAGAGGTACCGCTTCTCTGAAGAATCTCGAGTTCAACGAGTCCGAGAGACATCAAACCCAAGGTGAGACCAGACATTATACCGGCGAAGAGAACAAGAAAGCACGAAACTCCGGCATAGACGAACCACCAGGTCGTTCCGAATTCAATATCTTCCGCGTCCAGTATGAAAAATCTCGTGGTCGTCATTCCAGCAGCTAGGGTTAGGGCATTCATCAGCCTCATCGATCACTGAGCCCTTTGGGGAGAGAAAGAGGAGGCTGTAGTAGCTGTTGCGGCACGGAGGAAGAGACAAAATGAGTAAAAAGGGCAAGTTATGACTTAAAGAGGAATAGCGGACACCAGTCCTAATATCATTTATTTGTGTGGGCAAATTCCCCCAAATTTTTGAACTTATTATACTTGGCGTCGTATGATTTTGAGAATTACAGAATGCTCCTTAATATTCTTATCTTTCAATTAACCCCATCAAATTATTTGACCATCAATCCACTAGCTACTACTTTTTGTTGATGTAAGGATACTTTTTTTCCAGGAAACGCTACACTTCCCTTGCACTGGGTAATATTTTTTAGAACATTCTAAAGTGTACGTTGTGAAGCCATAGAGCTCCTTTTATCAGCATTTCATTATTTATCAATTTCGTTTGTTAACCGTTTGTAAATGAAGATTGGCTATATTTTTTTCATTCTCAAGATGTGTGAGTGTGATGTAATAAATATAAATTTTAGGGATGATTTGTGTGATTTTCCCTACTGTATTAGTAACTTTCGAATCCTTATGTGATCCGACGGTCAGGGATGATTTAGAACATGTGGGGACCAATAGATTCCTGTTGGAAAGAGGGGGGCAACTGATTTCTGGTACCACTTTTCTTCTGCCGTACTCACGGAAAGAAATATAATAACATTTAACTTATCATACATGCATTTTTGTTTTTAAAGAGATGAGAACGAATTAATAATAAACATTGGACGTACTTTTAATTTTAAAGAAATTAAAACAAATTAATAATAAAATTAATATTTTAAAATATATCAAAACGTTTTTATTTTCTAAATAACTAAAATAATATATCAAAACAAAATTTTGATCTGTTATGTCCAAAATGATTAGTAGTTAGACTTTATTTTAATTTATCCACAATTTTGTTTTTTACAAAATTACAATAAATTAAAATAATAAAATTTAAATTTTTATACATTTATTTTATTGAATGAAAAGATGATGTATTAGCTCTCGTCGTGGAAACCCTTATGCAGAGGCTAACATTACTTTTTTAATGTTTATTTATCGTTTTTTTGTCTTTTTATAGAAATATTTTATTTTTTTTGCATAACCCTAAATTTAATTTATTGTTAAAAGGTTATTTCTCAAATCGTGTCTAAAGATGAATTACTCATTAATGATTTAGGCAAACATTTGATAATAAACTAGGATGTAAACGTTGGGAATTATGTTTTTATTTTTCTTGTGATTATAACGACAATTTGATTTTTTTTTTTTTGTAAACACTTGCACTTTTATTCGATTTCATCTTTTTTCATATATTTATGTTTGATCACACTCATTCACCGTGTCTAATCTATATCTATATCTATACTACTTATAAATGTCAACATGTGTGAAAAAATTTTGATTTCTTATGTCATCCTTAATTATTATCATTAAGCCAAATTATACCCACATATTTTCTTATTTCTCGTACTTACTTGACTTCCGAAATATTAGCTAGATAAATTTTATCTTTTTTATTTGGTAGATAAACTTTATCAAAATATTACTTAGATATATTTTATCTCTATGACAATACATTCTTTCATCTCCATTCAATTATATAAACTCTACTAAAATTCTAATACCACGTATTGGTAATTTTTAAGTTATACATATACATATATTTTTTTGTATTTCCTACTTATTAGATTTTTAAAATATTTTGAATTCTTTCATATATATATATATAAATTTTATCTCTATGACAATATATTCTTTTTTTTTCATTCAATTATACAAACTCTATTGGAATTTTAGTAGCACATATTGATAATTTTTAGATGATTCATACACATATATTTTTTCTTTTATTCACGTTAGAGTTAGAAGTTGGCCTGTCATAATCATTTATTTGAAGTCCTATGATCTTATGCTCTTCCGTGACAAATTCAATGAAGTCGAAGTTGGAATTTTCATCATAATTGAGGTTAGGTTATCAATTCCTCTATTTTAGTTTATTAATTCATATGTTTTGTGGTACTTAATTTTTTTTGATTTAATGTCAAACAGTTTTCTAAGAGATTGGTGTAACACGTCAAGTATTCGACACAATAATTGAGGTTAGTTTATTAATTCTTATGTTTTAGTTTATTAAATTGGTGTGGTAGGTTGAGTATTCAGCATAATTGAGGTTAGTTTATTAATTCTTATGTTCTGTGGCACTTAATTTTTTTTTAAATTTAATGTCAAGTAGTTTTTATAAAAGATTAGTGTGACAGATCAAGTATTCGACGTAATAATTGAAGTTAGTTTATTAATTTTTATGTTTTAATTTATTAAATTGGCGTGACAGGTTGAGTATTCAGCATAATTGAGGTTAGTTTATTAATTCATTTGTTTTAGTTTATTAATTTCTATGCTTACGTTAAAATTTTCTATGTTAGTGTTTATTTGTTTTATTACGACCTCTCGTGAATCCAATTTTTTATTGCTCATATAACTAATATTTTGAAAGTTTGTCCAAATCTTAATACTCTGTAGTCAAATTTATTAAACTTATTTTTTTATTACTCATATTCTATTATAGCTTTATAAATAAAAATTGTATGTTCTAAAAATTCGTTATTCTAACTATAAGAAAAAATATTTTAAAAAATAGTTAAATTTAGGTACCACACCCAAAAAAAAATCGTTAATGTATTATGTACTATGTTTTTGAGTATTTTTATATGTATCATATTTTTTAGTATTTTTATCATTTATTGGCTAAAATTTATCAAATTTTGAGGTTAAAAGATTAAGTGTCTTTTTTCTTAGGTATTTTAATTATTTACTTACCTTTACAAAAAATAATTTAATTTTATTATTCATCAACTTTGTATTTCAAATAAATTTAATAACAAATTAATAAACTAATTTTTTTTCACGTCACGTGTGCATTGCTAGTCAAAATATGTGTTTACATTAATGACCTCTCTTTTAAGCTAACCACATTGTGCTATGCTTCTTAATCAGGAAACAAATCAGTCATCTACAAATACTTCATCAATTTGTTTTTTTCTTTTTCCTTTAATCTATTTTTAAGGTTGTTCACCGATAATAAGACGACCCATCCCGCCCGTTTGTTAGTTTTATGTTATAACTAGGGCTGTTAATCAAACTGAGTTATTCGAGTTTGACATGAGTTCAGTTCAAGTTCAATTCATTCAAGCTCGGTTTATTTTTTAAACAAACTCAAATTTGAACAAGTTTTTAGGCTGGTTTAATTTAGAAAACAAGTCTTACAAACTCGACTCGTTTATGTGCAAATACTCGGATTCGGCTTGTTTTCTAAACAAAAACTTGAACAATTTTTTATGCTCAATTAAGAAATAAGTTTTTTAAGTTCGACTCAGACTCGATCGATTAACAACTTTAGTTATAACCGTCCTCTAATTTTGTGTCGTCCTCAAGCCCAACTAGTCCAATAACAATTTGAACCAACGGAGTCATAAATTAGGGCCGTTTAGTTTCTCAATAGTTAGTAAAATCATAATCATCCGTTGTTGCATTATCAAACGATCCCAACCCTGAAACAGTGAATCGCTCACTTGTTATCCATTGATTTATAGTCTTGAAATCAAATTATTGACAGTTATTCGTAAGGTAAGAGATCTATTTAAATTATAGGGATTGATGTTCTGGTGGTTGGACTGGTCTTATGGTGTTTTTTCGTATGTAGTTAATTCCATTGTGATTAATTTTTGATGGTGCAAAATATTGAAAGGCACTATCTGGAAGAGCTAATGAGCTATAAGTGAAGTGTATTATCGGCCGAACTTCTCACTTTGAAGTTAGAGGTTCGAGTTTTGGAGTCCCTATTGAGGCTTAGCGGTTAACCGTTATATTAACCTAACTAGGTTCATTCATGAGAAGAGTAACGAGCGCAATAAGAAGCTTCATGATCCTACCAGTAAAAACCTATTAGAGTGGTATTTGGACCCTCTCTTTATCTCTACTCCTTTTTTGACTACTAAAAAAAAGGGCGAGTGTGTTGATCTAACTTAACACAAGTTCAAGCTAAATAATTTCTTCTGGTATCATCAAATTTTGTTTATGTATTTTGCTGGGGAAGCTCTCCTTGTTTCTCCATCACACAAAACAAGCACCTCTCACACAAAATGTGTGAGACATTATAAACCATTCAGAACCTAATTTTCTCCCATAGGTCTACCAACACACTAGACTTGCTCTTTTGGTCATTCCAGTACTACCTTTTGTCAACCTGCAAGAATACCTACTACTTAAGGAACATGAAAAGCTCATGAATGGACTAGTATATAAGTAGAAGGAAGATTACTCCATAGCTACTCGAAGATATAACAAGCATGGATAGAGTTAACATCTTTAAGTTGGCATTCTTCATGGCATTCTTGGTACTCAACCTCAAAACAGAGTGCCAGAGGGTGCAATTGCCACCTATTGCTCCTCGTCCACTTTGTATTTCTCAGTTTGCGCTCGTGAACCACGCCTGTGCAGCGCTGCCGTTCAACACAGGCGCTCCTCCCTCCCGTCCATCCCCACCGCCCTCATCTTTTTCTCCTCCAGAGCACGAACACAGACACAGGCATGCACACGGGCATAGGCATCATGGGCACAGAGAGACAACCATAGAACAGAATTGTTGCCAGTGGTTGAAGGACGTAGACAATGAATGTGTGTGCGATCTACTGCTTCATTTGCCACCTTTCCTTTCCCGGCCCATCCACCAGTACACTGTTATGGTTGATGACTCGTGCAATGTCAGTTTCTCTTGTGGAAGTAGTTTAAAGGTGTGAGTGTTGCATTTTGACCATGACAACGTCTAAATATCTATAATTGGGAGTTGTAATGTCTCAGTTTGTTTAATTTTATTCCCGTTGAAAACCTGATTATCTTCTTCTGCAGCATTATCTTACTGGCAAGGATCAAAATTTTATTTTGGTGCATTGTTTCCCTCACTTAAGAAACGAAAATGTTTCACTGTGTTTTGAAAATATTTTGAACTATTTAAAAAAAATATAAAATTATTTTTCCAAAATATTGGATAAAATATACCAAAATATCTTAAATTATCTTGACACATTTCGACACAATTGTGTAAATGCATTGAAAACATTACAAAATACCTCGACACATTATAAAACACCTTGAAATATTAGAATTTCAATTTATTCGCTAATTAATTTCGGTCTCCTTAAAAACAGAAACGTTTATAGACGATTCGATGGTTTCAAAACGAAAATTTGATCGTTACTTACATGTGACATCTCCTGGTTCACCGTATCATGCTTTGGGGTGTGTTGGAAATGTGTTTCTTTTGGATTAACCTTCATTGATTCTCAACTTAAAATTTGGAAGAGATTAATTTGGTGCCAATTTTGCTTTTGGGCCATTCTACAAGCACCCCAGGTAGAAAAATATATGCTTGCAGTAGCACCTGTTAAGGGACACGGATTGAAAGAATTATTAGACTCGAGAGTTTTAAATACTGATTGAGGGTCATACGACTATTTTCGTAGGATGGCACCATGATATAATATAAATAAATTAGTTATTATTCGTATCTAAAGGCACGGAGTAATAAAAAAAAATAATCAACAATAAACGTATTTGTATTCCCACCCAAAATCAAATTATAAAAGATAGATGAGAGAGAAATAAATTTAAACACTGATTGTAGTAGAGGCGAGTGGTGATAGTGATGGTGGGCGACGATGGTTATGGTGTAAGACGATGATAGTTGGGATGGATAATGACGACCGATTGTAATGGTGGCAGCCGTGAGTAACAATGGTGATGATAGTAGTGGAATAGTAGGGGTGATGGTGAGATAGTGGTAGTGGTGATAAGGTGGCAGCAGTGGTGGTGGGGGTGGCGGCAGTGGTGGGGTAGAGGTGATGATGATTATTGTGGAAGAGATGATGGTGGAGTGACAGTAATGGTGGCGGTAACAGTCATAATGAGGCGATAGGTGTGGTAGGGTGGCGATAGTGGTGGTGACAATGGCAGTGGTGGTGGTGGAGCGGTGGTGATGATTGTCGTGGAAGAGGTGATGGTGAAGAGACAGTAGTGATGGCGGTGACGGTCATAGCGGGGTGATGGGTGTGATAGGGTGGCGATAGTAGTGGTGACAATGACAGTGGTGATAATAGGATGACAGTGGTGGTATTGCTGATTGCGGTAGGGTGGTAGTTGTAGAGATGTTGGTGGAGTTGTTTCTAAACACTACTTTTTTTTAAAATACTTATAAGAAGTTATAAACATTAAAAATATTTTTAAAAAGTCACTTCAAACACACTTTTAAAAGTTTATTTTTTCTATTAAATTTGAAGTGTTAATATTATTCATCGGATTAACTTAAAGTAAAATTTAAAGATATCTCAACTGCGAAGAACAAAAATTATTTTGTTTATTTTTAAAATTTAAATTATATTATATTTTATTATATAGACCAAAAAGAATACCATCCAAGTCTAATGTGGTGATAATAGCGAAGAATGCCGTGGATTGAAATTAGATTGAGTCGAGCACATAAATTACTGCAAATCCTATTTTGTGGCGAGGACGATCTCGTTATCATCTTTAAATGGTTCGGCGACGGATATGAAAAATAATGGAGTTTTATGATGATCGCCATTACAAGTAGTCTTCAAGAATCTGAAGATAGTGATTGATTGATGTGAGCTTATTCCAAACTTATCTTCTTCGTCTTATATTCTATCACGTCTCCTTTAAGAAAGAAAAAAAAACGAAAGACGGAAGGAAAAGAATACCGAGACAAACTAGGATTTCCGCCGTACAAAAATTGGTGTCCGTTAAGTTGGTCAAGGTTCAACAATGTTTAGAATCGTGATTGCAACTGGTTCAGTCAATCTGATTGTTGAGCTCAATTTTTGTTTCTCGGCTCGAGAGCATTTCAGTTTTAATTTGTTCAAACTCGTATAACTTGATCACAATAATTTAATCTCTACAATTGAATTTGACTAATCTAATTCGATTTAACTCTTACACTTAATTACAAAAGTCTAACGTTAAGTTTAAATATATTTAAATTTTATTTAACTGTAAGACCGAACATGACTACTAAGATTAGATTTGAATAAAGACGGGGAAGCTCAATTATTTAAGGGGTCAATTCCGCACCGCGGTAAGGATTCATACCATCAATTTGCTGTGGATTGAAGAGAACTCTTTTCACACTCCAACGGCACAACAGTTTCCATTATTTCAAGCTTAAACTTTCAGATATTAATTTTTCTCCAGACCAAGATGGACAAAAATACAAAGCTGCAATCAACATCCCCAAAACTGCCAAAACAAAAAGGCCTCACAACTTGCCCTCTAGTGACTTGCAGCTGCCATGGCCGTCCCCATCGCCGCTGCTCTCGTGACTGTCACATCGCCATAGACTTTAGGTCCAAAATTGTACAAAAATCGACCCACGATCATGGTGCTCGGTCCTACCACCAGCTTCTCCCACGCTTCTTCCCCCTCTTCGCCGCATTTTCGGAATGCCTCCGTCGCATCAAGCCGGTGCACTCTCCATCCCTTGACATTTCGTAGCCGTTTTATTTTTTCTAGTTGTCGACGAGCCAATATGCATGTGTTGATTTTGATCTCATTCTTAGCTTCTTCAAGCAATATAGCTCGAGTTTCTTCATCTGAAAATGATTCAGCACGGAAGTACTTATCGAATTCTGGAACACCAATAGCTTTCATTATACCCCTTGAATAATCAACATGAGGGGTGACCATTTTTCTGACCTCTTCCAACATTCCCTTCTCGACCATTCGATCAACTCTCTCTGAAACAAATGAGTGAAGAACTGGCAATGAAACATCCACCCATACAAAGCAACACTCGTACCTTGATCGGAATTCATAGTCATCATCATCAACCAGTGCCTCAATGTAAGAATTAGAGCCTCCGGCGATGATTGGAATTTGTTCACGGCTGACGATAGATTTCATGGCCGCTGAGGCCATGTTACAGAAATTTGAAGCTGTGAAATCTGAGGTGGGATCTATTACTCCTAAGAGATGGTGAGGTACTCCACGACGTTCTTCCTCGGTGATCTTGTTTGTGACTATGTTTAGTCCTTCATATACTTGCATTTTGTCTGAGTTCACTATCTCCGCCGGAAAACGGGTGGCGAGGTCGATGGAGAGTCTCGACTTGCCGGTTCCAGTGGCTCCCATGACCACCACCACCTTCTCTTTCGGTGGCTGGGGTCGGAGGATTTGCATGTCCAGCCCTCCGGTGGGAATATTGTGCAGGAAAGGCTGAGTTCTTTTGCACACGATCATGGACGACATTCTCATTTTTCGAAAGATAAACCAAATACAAAAACAAAAAGTATCTATGGATCAAATGACCCTAATCCACTATATGTTTTGAGAAGAAATAAAATAAAAGAAATCTTCACAACCCAATGACCGAACAATTTGCTTAACAAAGCAGTCTAGACATGCACATAAAATCACTAATACACATTTGGCCTTTTAGCATCTCTGATGCGGCAACTTGAAAATGGGTTAGCACATTGTGAACACACGCACACAGTCACACACACACACACACATAGAGAGAGAGAGGGGGAGGGTTCTGGAAGATGGATTAAATGGGTGATATCTACTGAAAAGACTTCCTCCTGTGTTATCAACACCTTATAGATAGTGCACAGCACACACTCAGATCCAATAATGATAAAAAAGAAAAGATAATGCCATGCATGAGAAGAAAATCAACTGCACTAGCTTGCATGAATGAGAGGTGGAGTGGAGTATTTATGGACAACATTCTTGCGTCAAGACCAATAGAGAAGTTGGTTTTCTCTATGTGACCGATTGATGTCTACTACAAGTTGGATGAGTGCTCACTTTTGATCGAATTTTTCCTTTTTTGCCGGGTAAAAAGTTTATTCAAAGGTTGGATTAATATCAGTGATTACAAGTATTCCTCTAAGTAATATTTTGTGAATTTTAATTCGGATGTTTGTTTTTTAAAATTAAAAGTGAGGACTCTCTTCTAACCCATATAGATAAGAAATTTGTGTATTGTATAGAGTCTTTTAATACGCCATATATGTTGATTTATGCCTTTAGATAATCTCTCTTTTTGACAAACAATAGGGAATTTCATGTTGTTTTCAAAAGGATCTTTATTTTAGTGGGTTGAGATTCTTTAATGGGAGTGATTGTACGAACAAGTAGTGGAAGAATATGATTTGTTTAAAGCTTATCTTTCTCTTTGGTTTTTAATTTATTGGTTCAAAATGTCTATCATCTTTCCCACGTATATTATTCTGTAGATAATATAAATAAAATTCCTAAAAAATTTTAGGGTTAACTTATTTATATTACATAAAAGACGGTATGCAAAGTAATCTTAGCCTAACACATTTAAAATAATTAAACAGAATTTGATTGGTAAACTGGGAATTTTCTTTGGAAAAAGGTTACGAAAAGATAAAAAGCTAGCTGATAATTAATCATCTATAATTTCTGCTAATGGAAGCTCATCTTAACCTTAAAGTTGACAAATATTATTAATGGAAAAATAATTTCGATAATGTCAAGTAGGGCATGATTTATAATATCAGCAATGGAACATCTGATTCCCTGGTGCAAAGTGGTGGTGAAGAAAATAATCTTCTTTCTTTCTATGGTCGGCAGTCGGCACCAATTAGAATTAATAAATTTACAAGTTCAGATGAATCTTTTTAATCCAATCTGTTCTAAAGGTGCAGTTGATGATTTGACTTAGCTTAAGAAATCTAATCATTTCTTAAGCAGTGGATTGGGAATCTGATCGAATGAGTGCACACCAAGTAATTAATTAAAATAAAAAATATTCAACGAATTCAAAAGGCAAAGAGATGATATTATTGTTTAACAAGATAGAGCTAACACAAGTATTTTTGTATAATATATATATGTGTGTAAATGGTGTGTTTTGTGGGAGTACACTCCCATGTAAGACTTGTAGCTAAAGGCTTCTATTCAATCGGATCGTATTAATTATCGTATATTAAAGTTTACGTGAACATTTATGTTTGGTATTGATAAAAAAATTCGTATTACAAAAATACTAATTGTGTCTGATTGTTCAATGTCTTATCTAACTACATATCGTCTAACTTTATTTTTTGCAGAATGTACTATTCATGTTCAAAATAAATTTTTAAGCTGAAGTGGTAGTTTACTTATTGGGAAATTCATTACAAATATTGAATTGTAGGTTTATGTTTGTGTCAACCTTGAAATATCACTCAAAGTATAGGAGTGGATAAATTGACTTAGACACATCATAGTGAAACCCATTGGTTAAATAAAATAAATGGTAGTTTTCTTTTTTAAATGCTAAAAAAGGGGATAAGAAGGATAATCTTTTAGTCCCCTTCACCTTCAAAAGGCCAAGCTTAGCAAAGAGACTAGGGGAGTGTTTGGTTATCATCTACAAAATAGTTTTTTGTTCTCAAATTTTAAAAACATTCAAAACCTATTTGCTTAACATTTTTTTCTCAAAATTTTCAAAAAAAAATGAGATTTAGAGCACAAAAACAAAAAACAATTAAAACTTGTTTTCATAGTTTTTTTTGAAAATTTTGAAAACACCGAGACAAACTAAACAAGTTAAATGAGGTTTGTCGCTTGAGTCCCCTTAGCAGCAAAACGTCTTCTTCTTCTTTTTCTTTTTTCCCTCTCTCTCTCTTCACTTTGTCCAGCGTCTTCTTCTCCACTATCTTCACTGCCTAACGTCTTCTTCTTCTTCTTCTTCTTCTTTTTTTCCTTTCTTCTCTTCACTGCCCAACGTCTTCTTTTTTTTTTGTTCTCTAACGTCTTCACTACCCAGCGTCTCTCTCTCTTTCTCTCGCAACAACTCCAAATTTGTGTGTCTACGTGTGTGGAGACAGAGAGAGGTGAGAATTATGATTATTGTCCAAACAAATTTTATAATATTTGTTTTTTAAAATTATTTTCAAAAATATATAACGAAACAGGTTTTGAAGTCTAAATTTTCAAAAATATTTTCTTAAAACTTTTCTTAAAAATTATTTTTAGATATTATTTTTTGTAATGTAAACTAAACATACCCTAAGTTTCGAATGTGATTTATCTTGTGGGTTAATTGAAGGGTGGTAAGCCAACCCCACTAACCATTACTCCAGTTAGGCCCACACCTTTTGATTTTCCTATGAACACTATCATATCAGTACATCCAATAGAAAAATTTGGTCATCCCTCATCTCTAAAGATGGCAGTGGACCAAACCAAGTGCGAAGTGCAGTCCCCATCCCCATATCTGTTTAAAAAAATTTCGTTGATTTTTGATTCACTCCTATTAACGGGTATAATTTTTATCTCCATCTCCATTTGTGGATAAATTTGTAATCCCCGCACCTATCCCATCCTCCGCCTCCACTCCCATCCACCTTACCCGCCCAAATCCAATCCCAAGCCAACATATATAATCTACAAAAATTTTAAATAAATCTAACATTATAAATAATCTAGCATAATTATAGAATATCATAACATAATTAAAAGTTTGTCATTTATAATATAATGTAATTAAAACATTGTCTATAACATAATTCAACATAATATAATTAAAAATTTGTCTCCTTTGTAATTCTAACACAATATCATGCAACATAACATAATGTAATATAACATAATCAAGCAGGGCAGGGCGGAGGAGGGGCGAGGATAAGTATCAGTTCATCCCCGCCTTCATTCCAGCACGAGTTTATACGGCGATCTCCGTATACGTCTACCGTCCAATATGTATGGTTCATCCTCAATTCCAACAGGATGGTTTGAACAAATACTAATTTTTTATCCGGTCCACTGTCATCCTATCCCTTATGAAACATCATCTTTTGTCATTTTATTTTTGAACATTTTATGTTTTTATTTTTTTTCCCAAAAAGATATATATTTGTCAAAAAAAAGATATATTTATAACGGAAAGAGAATGTTATTTGAATTTAAAAATCTGACATAATTTGTCAAGTTAATGATGTAACTTAATTGAAATCATTGAATTAACACCAAGTTCAAATGTTTGATAAGGTTTATGGTCAATTCAAATGTCATACTGAATTAAGTCAACAAATTAGCATTGTTTGGACGAAACATGGTAGAGCAATGTTATACAACTTAAATGAGACTCAAAAAATTACAATTTAAATACATATCATTCATTAGATGAGTGAATTTCACTAAAAATAAATAAATATGACTCACTTATTTAAGCGATAATGTACATTTAAATTTTATTTGAGTTGTATAACATTCCTCGTTTATAATATTATCGATAATGGAGTTCATTGCACCCACAGTATTTGGCACGAAATAAAAGTAGTGTAGCAACAGTTATTACCGCAATACGCATTCAAAGCGGAAGCTTGTCTGCTTCCAACTTGGAAGTGGAAACGTTGATTGTAGCCCGGACAATTCTAGACGTATTCCGTAAATTCAGCATAAAATTAGTATAGAGTTAACAAGTTTATGTTTATTTTCATCAAACTTGGTGGACTTGGATCGACCCATTAAATTAAGAGTAATGTTAGATGAACTTAAAAATTAGATTTGATAATCTCAACCATTAAATAAGTAATAAATCCCAATAAATACTGGGACCTACAATGAAATCAATGGTTGAGAATATCAACTTAATTTTTAAGTCTAGTTTTTAACTTCATATAACATTACTCATAAAGTTAACAAGTTTAAGTTTATTTTCTTCAAATTTAGTGGACTTGGATCGACCCATTAAATTAAATCTATTTAATAAATGTGTTTGACACAAAAATTAAATATATGGGTATGAATTGAACAAAACGGATCAACATTGACATATCAAAATCAAGATTTGCATTCACATGATGATACTAACAAAATTTAGATAGTTGTGAATTCAAATTAAAATTTTGATTTATTTATATTTCTTTTCATTTTGTTGTAGTGGAAGGTGCACAGCTGAAGATAAATACACGTGGCCATTACCGGCCACTGGACTGGGCTTATTGCTAAGAGCTTAGAACTTAGGACCACACCCCGCATCTTTGACTCATCGCGTTGCATATTTACCTTTATGTACTCTTGTTTTTTTTTTTTTTTTTATTTATTAGTAACGCATGATATGCGTTATGTGTCAACAAATTAAAATAATATTATTTTAATAAAAATTATAAATTAAATTAATTAAATAATTAAATAATAAATTAAGTGTCAAATAATTAATTATTAATTTATTTTATAAGTCTTTGAATATTTAATATGTCATTTATTTAGATATTTTTTTTGATCTTTTTAGGTATTTACACGTCTAATTATATTATAAAATTAATATTTTTTATTTTGTTAAATAGATAGATTTTATCACTTATAATATTATTATATTATTGTATACCAAAAAGTCTACTAATAAATAAGTTCAAAATAATTTAAAAATCTTTATAAAAGAGTTCAAAACAAGTTAAAAGTTAATAGCACTAAAAAAAAAAAATAGAAGAAAGTACATATACGGGTATAATTGACTTTATTATAATAATTAAGGATAAAATAAGAAATCAAAAGTCTACTAATAAATGGGTTCAAAATAATTTAAAAATTCTTATAAAATAATTCTAAATAAGTTAAAAGTTAAATAATAGTAAAAAACAAAAATTAAATGAAAGTACATAGGTGAGTATAATTAACTTTATTATAATAATTATAGATAAAATTAATAATTTTTCGCAGATACTAATATTTATAAGTAAAAAATAATATAAAATAAATATAGATAAATATAAATATAGATATAGATTTGGTCAAGGACCTTATTTTTCCTCGACGACTTCTAATTATCCTTGATGCTGTGGTTGCCATCAAAAGATCCTCCATTAATACTGCTAGCCTTTGACTAGTCCGTATTATCAGCAAGGCGTCACGTGTCCACTCTCTGGACTTTTGCTTGATGTGCTGCCATTTGACTTGGGTACGTTAACCGTGACACGATTATTGGCCCACGAAATAACAACTACCATATATTGCTTCCATTGTTTAGGGGTTCGTGACGGTCCGGGCCAACTTACTTGGCCCGCTAATCAATCCCCAATACCCCTAGGATGGCTCACCGGCCTAGTACTTAGACTTTTGAAACACAGGCCAACAACCATGCCACGCTGGCCTACCTATTAAGCCCATCAATTGTTTAGTTGTTGGTGACTGTCCGAACCAACCGACCTGGCGCATCAATCAATGCCACCAAGATGGCCCAAGGGTTTGGTTTGGGTAGTCGTTCTATTGACTCATCAACTATGAAATACGGACTCGGATACAGAATACGAATACGATACGATATAAATATAGTGATACGACAAAGTTTAAAAAAGTAAGATACGGATACGACCAATATATGACTATAATAAAATATATTTAATATTTTTATTATTTTCAACTAACTTAATATTTATATATTTTTGTAGTTCTTGAATATACAATAAGAAAAATTAGAAATTTCTTTTTAGTTTCAAGAAAATATATATCGTATCGCTATAGTATAATTACAAAATGAAGTGACTAATTAAATGAATCAAAACTAATATTTACCTAATATTTATAAGTAATTTTTGCTAAGTACATAATGTAATAGTTTTATTTTATGTCCTTTTGACATATAATTGTAAATAATACTTAAAAACCACTCATATGCCTTTAAAATAATATGAATTTTTTGTTAATGTATTGTATGGTATGTGAATTCGAAAAGAGATGTTAAAAGTTTAACTCAAAAATTATATATGTTGTTCGACCACAAAAGTATCCATGAAGTATCCTAATATTTAATTATTATCGGAAACATAGAAGGTGTATTCAATATGTATATTCGAGTATTCGAAGAATATCGTATCCAATACGATATTAAATACGGATACGTCAACCTCAACAAAATATTAATGTTTTATAGCTTATCAACAACTGGGGGCCACGCTTGTCCCACCTAAAAACACAACGTTCACGGTTTGTCCATTTGATCAGTCTTAAATCTTATAATAAATTAGGCTAAAGTTATTATTTTTAGTGTGTAAACTAATTTTAGTTCTATTAAATTTTTAGTATAAAAAAAAAGTCTTTCGATTTTTTAAATAACTTGCATGTGATCCCTATATTTACGCAAAATGTTAAAAGATTGTTTACTTATTGGTTTTCGTTATCCATTTTGTCCTCATCACATAATTCAACTTATAATATAATTAATTTTTTTTTACGATTTGTTATTAAAGTTTTTGTACTGTTGTCTGTCAGTTTTGAAATTCAAACTCGTGAATCAAGTAATTTGAACATTATGATAACGTCTGACAATTTGTGTTTTAGTGTATCTGTGTGATAATCTATATTTTAGTGTACTTGTCTGATAATCGGTGTTTTAGTGTATCTATCTGATTATCTGTATTTTAATATATCTATCTGACGATTATTATGTACTTATTATTTTTTATTGCGTACCTATTATTTTTAGCTTAAAATTATATATATATATATATATATATATATATATATATATATATATATATATATATATATATTAATTGTGTGCCTATTTTTTTTTAATGTCTGTCTTATGGTTTGTATTTATGGATAAAAATATATATTACAATGACGTAATTTTTTAGAATAAGTGTTTAAATTAGTTACTGTCATTGTCATTATATTTTACAATTGTAAATGGAGTTAGTTATGTCGATTCTTTTGACTTTTTAACATGGATCTAATTTAAAAAAAAAGTTGCCCAGTGAATTTTTATAAAATCCATTTAGACTTAAAGACCGGGCCCTAAATCTTATTAGGTTTCTATTGAGCTGATCCTTTTTGCATTTTCAACAAATTTGACCCCTTATAGGTGTTTTGGTTTTTTTGAAATTTATCGGATCACATATTTACTATGTGAGCCACCTTGTTGGGCCTCAAGCGCGTTTTCCTCTGGGTCCTTTGGAAGGGGCGGTGTTTTTTTGTAGACTTATTTAGATGTAAGTCAAGTATACTCAAAAAATTTATTTAGGAATAAGTTTATTTTGATTTTTATTGTCTAAAATACACTCAATAGTTATATTTTATCAAAACTTATTAACTCATAAATTGGAAATTGTATTAGCATTAATAATTCTTAACTTATAAATTGTGCTACCATTAAAATTATATTTTTATAATACATCAAATGGGCTACATCAAACTCGCATACCCAGTAACCCATGTGTGGTATTTGAAACATTTTCATAGTTATATTGCAAATATTTTAGATAAAGCTCTTAAAGAATTAGAAAGCTTAATATATAATGTCACTCTTTTGCAATAATTAAATTTTTTATTGAGCATATTACTGTTTTTTTGTTGAGCGTGTTATTGTTTAATGTTACTATATATATAAATAATTTTAATACTAGCACAATTTTCAAGTTAATAATTGTTATATTTGAAAACATTGAAAGTAACAAAAATATGCAATATTTGTAGTAAGAGTAATTATTGAATATATTTCAAAAATAATTTGAAATGTTTTAAAATGTGTACTTTGTCGAGCCCATATTTAATCATGTCAGGCCCGATTAATGAAATAAACTCAAATCAACTACAATGCAGGTTAAACCTGGTTCATGGATTTGGTTCACACCAAAGTTCAAGGAGTTTAAGAAGATTAGCGCATGTGGGGATCGGGATAGCCACTCTTCAAGATAAAAACTATTTCTACTTGTACCTATTATAATTGTAACTATTATTCCCGAAAAGCTAGTCACCTATTCCTTCACACTACTGCCTCAACCAAGGTCCTGTGCTTATAAATTATAAGCCCTCTCCTTATGAGAGGGTTATCTCTTTACACGTCTTACATACCTATCTCTCTCATAGCCACCAAAAGCATACCTTGCTCTTTTTTTTTTTTTTCTCTCTCTCTTATCTATTATTTTATAAATAAAGATCATAGGAGCACCAATTACTGTTGTCGTCTGTAAAGTGGAGTAGGTCATTATGATCGAATCACTATACATATTAATGACCACAAGTCATGATTGTTATTTTCAAAATAGAGTAGGTCATCCTGACTGAACCACTATACATTTATGTGTTGATCTCACATTTATATTTACTGCATTTGTTACCTACATTAATTATTCGACAGGTGGTGCATAAATCTACTTTTGTGCATCATCGTACCTATTGACAACTATATAATAATAAAAAAAAAAACTTAATGGAGTATAAGTTTGAAAGTGATATTTAAAACTAAATAAGTTTTAAAAAAAAAACCTACAAACCAGTTATCCGTTTTCGCTTTAGATCTAATAGTCAAAAACCATGATTTATTACCCTACCCATCTAAGATCTCATTCTGTAGCTCTGGTAGCCGGTCTACCGGATCACAAACAAGTCGACACTCAAAAACTGGGCCGACCCATGGCCTAGGAGCCACCGCCCATTGGGCTAGCAAGTAACATAGGCAATTTATCGGCCCTACTATTAGTTTTTTTGAATAATTACACTTTGTATTTAAAAGATTTTAAATTTTACATGTTATACTCTTACTATATTGAAAGTGTTAAAATGTTACATTTCTATTAATTTTCGTTATTTATTTTATTAAAAACTACCTTATTGACATTTGATGAAATAAGTAACAAAAATTAAAAGAAGTGTTATATTACAATATTTTTAGAAAAATTAATCTTTTAAAAGTACAAAATAAAAATTCTTAAATCTTTTGAAATGTAAAGTGAAATTTACCTAATTTTTTTAATTCTACCACTATTTTTTTTATAACAATTCTACCACTATTTAAACGGGTGAATTTTATTAATATTTTTAAAATATTAAGGATAAAATATAAAAGATTATTTTTTGAGGGTGCAAAATAAAAAAATTAAAATTTTTTATGGGCAAAATACGAAAAGTTCTATTTAAACACCGTCAATCCAAGAAAGTATAAAAGCTAAGCAAACTCTCTCTAAGGGGAAGGAAAAAAAATAAGGGGGAGAGAGAGAGAGTGACCGACAGTACAATCGCTAGCCGATAAAGAATACGATCGGCGATCACGTTGAACTGAATCTTGAGAGCCACTGAATAGCTGTGGTCTGCTTGTTTTAGCAGGGGCGGAGTACTTATACTACAGTTCTACTGTTCTTTTTGCCGGTAAATCAGTTCTACTATCTCGATCGATGCACACGTATGTACATAATAATGTATATATTTAGAGGAAAGAATGAGAGGTGAGTTTGGGAATTTTATCATATATCTTTATGCGCAAAATTTGGGGCATCTAAATCTGGCAAACGCAGTGGGATTGAGGGCAAGGTCGTCGTTGAAGCAAGAGATCGCTACCAACGACGACGAGGACTGTCGGCCTTGGCGTCGGAGGATATTGTCGTCGATGGCGGTGTCCATCACTTGGTCCTCCGCCTTACGCGCCTGTCTCTTCCTCCTCCTCTTGTCCGCGATTGCGGTCGCTTGCATTTCCCTCCCGGTTGAAAAGGTCCAATTTGTATCACTCAGCTATCATGTCTGTATATGATCTGGTGGAATGTTTTTTTTTTTTTTCCTTTTATGCGTGTCTTGGAACATTAGTGCTGTTTCATATGATCGTTAGTTGAAAATTTAGGGTTTGGAATTGAGTTCTTTGCATTTTTTTATAGAGTTGGGGTTTTTTTGTTTGTTTTTGGTTGGAATATTTGTTCACGGTATAAAGATTTGAATCTTGATGTTGATTAATGGGAAAGAAATTCGAAAGACATATTATTGTATTTTGCTGCATTATGATAGTTTCCGCAAGTTTTCAAAGAATAAGAAAGATCTGAGTGCATGTTTTATTTGGACTTTAGGCAAGTTTGATGGCCACAACAGGATAATTGTGTCCTATAAAAAAAACAGTATAATTGTGTTTTTAGTACTCAATTTGATATCATTATCAAGAATCACTTACTGATGTGCCATTAGTGTTTACTTCTGCTGTCATAAGCCACAGAGAGAAACCCCAGATTTGGAGAGATTTCGGAGGTTGAGAGATGTCTAGAATCATTGTTTCTTGATTGTGTTTGTTATGGCCACTAATCACATTTTGACCACATTTTCTGGAGAACAACCATACTGCATTCATTTGAGAAAACCATGTGTATAGATGGGGCAGAGGAGGGGAGGCATGAAGAATAAGAAGCTTGATTAAGCTGAGAAAACCTGATTTTGGCATTGTTTGCATAAATTCTTTTCTTCGTTCTGGGCTATACACAACTCAAATCAACTCAGCCTTGTCCCAACTATTTGTGATTGACTATATGAAGGGCTAAATATTTTTTTAAAATTATAAACAAACATATCTTTTTACTATCTACTTGTTAAACTTGGTTTTTACCTTTCCTTCGCAAGTCCATTAATGGTGCTTATGCTAATTCTTTCTCTTCAAATGTTTGTAGTTGGGAGGTATCTGTAAACAATGGTGTGTTGGTCTAGATTGTCAGTAGCAGGATCAAAAAGTTTCCTACACACCACATGAAACTTGTTATGTTTTGACAAACACACCAGGTGCTTGCCATCAGAAGATGGACCACCCATTGGCCTTGATTAGTGGGAGGGGGAACAAATGATTATTTATCAAGAGTTTGATTTTTTATTTAGGAACTTAATGAAATGATTGGAAGTTGCTTTTGTGCATCTTGATGGTTTTCTTTGATTTGTCGGTCTTATGCCTTTCCCTTATTGCTATTTGTTCTTCTTCTTTTTCTGCTGTAAACCATGAATTATATCTTTGCAGATTTTTGCATTGTGCAGATCTTGAAAGCTTTCTTGCTGTGGGTTAAGCAGGATCTTGGACCTTGGGGTCCACTTGTGTTGTACGTCATTCTTGACCCCCAATTATACCAGTTATTTACATTGCTTTGCAACTCATTGTGTTAATTTAATTCTGTCTTCCTTTAACTCCTTTTGATTGTGCTCGTTATATTTATCAATGAAGTTTATGCATTGCAATGCCAAAACATGGCTATTTTGGGTTATATTCATAATTTTTCTTCAGAAAAATCACCTTTGTAACTAGAATATTGCATATTGTAGTGGAGTTTTTTATGAAATGGAAATAGTGAGGTCTTCCCAATCATGATATAGTGACGCATATGTGGAAAATATCACATTTGTTTTTCTACTCATAGTCAACTGATAATCATGGACTCTTTCATGACATGACCAGTGGCTCATTTGATTTTTCATTAATTATGTGATAGTCCTTAAACATTATGGATCATCAAGGTGCGATTAGCTGATGTTGATGTATGGCATTTAGGAAATGCCAGTATAAGTTGTCAGTAATCCTCATGGCTTTTATTCTTTTTATCGACCGTAGTATATTTTTTTTAACGAGAGACCTTATGGTCCTTATCTTCATAAAGATTGAAACCAATCCGCCAGTAAATAACATAAGGATGACAAAGGACTCACCGAAGAAAATAATCCACTGGAAATCAATCAGAAAATCTTCTCATTCAATGCTCAAATTCCAACTCCAAGTCTTGTGCAACTCATAATTATATTTTGGAAAATGAGGCGTGCTAAAATGGTAACAATACTATCCAATAAGAATGGTGTGTACTGAAGTGTGGAGTGACAAAGAAGGGATGTCATAATTGGGGTTTTGAATAAGATGACTTTTTGTTTTTTGATTTTTTTTTCTTTTTCATATTGAAAAAGTAATGAGAATGAGAGGTGTTAAGATTATATAATACGGGCCAGCTATAATTTCCAGCTGGGTAAACAGGATTGCTCTTGCAAATGTGCTTATTTATCACTCTTTTCAGAAATTAACAAAAAGCATATGTTAAAGCAATTAATATCCCAGTGGTGTGTCTCTACAATGGATGTATTTTTTCCAGTTAGTATTTGGTTCAGCTGTGTTATCTTTTAAGATATTATTTTGGGATGTTGCAGGGCAATTGCTTATATTCCTCTTACGGTACTGGCAGTTCCGGCTTCGGTACTTACGGTAGGCAGTAGAATCTAATTTTATGCTTGATAATTTATGTTATTTTATGGAGACAAACCTTTTGTTACTTAAATATGGAAAAGTGTATCTGTCTGGACTCCTATTGTATTTGACATACCAATGCCGTAGTAGAAAACTTAATCAAGCATCAAGGGTTGAGGTGAACATGTTTGTATGTTCATACACAGTTTATCCTTCCTAGCACTGTTGAACAAGGATGTGTTTATGTGGTGGCATTGTTGCAATATTGATGTTTTGCAATATGATTCTTGTACTTTTTTATTGTTGCAGCTTGGAGGCGGTTATCTCTTTGGGTTGCCAGTGGGATTTGTTGCTGATTCTATTGGTGCTACAATAGGCGCAACAGCTGCATTTATTCTTGGTAGAACAGTATGTTACTTGAACAACATCTGTGAGAAGTTTTGGGCTTTGGACCAGTATACGTGTTCCATGTCATGCAATCACTGTGTATTGGTTATCTGAAGCAAATCATCATTTTGCATCATTCAGTTTTTGTGAATGATGTATGGTTTGCATACGTTTTGACATATAGTTTGTTATGTGTAGATTGGAAGATCTTATGTTATTTCTAAATTGAAGAACTATCCCAAGTTTCAAGCCGTTGCTATTGCAATTCAGAGATCTGGCTTTAAGGTTTGACCATATGTGATGGATTACATTAATATCATGCATGGTAAAAAGATCACTAAAGTTATCTGTGTAGCATTGTTGATGTTTCCAAGCCTTCGTGGTTTTGACTATGGTTGTCTAAGCACCCAGCATATGAATTTGGAAGTACTCTTACTTTTGTGCTCCTAAACGTACAATTCTATGGAAATTTTATCTACTTTTTCCCACCTAATTTTTAAAATAAAGACTACTTGTTATGATTTCCAAATCTTTGTTTTTATTCATCTCAGATTGTCTTGCTGCTTCGGCTTGTTCCCTTACTTCCATTCAACATGATGAATTATTTGCTGTCTGTGACTCCTGTTCACCTAGGAGAGTACATGCTGGCTTCTTGGATTGGAATGATGGTATTGTCCTTTTTTTTTTTTCGCCCTTGTATTTGTTACCGATGATTGATTGACTTGATTAGTAATTTTCAGCTTGCTGAATAAACCCTGTATCATTCTAATGCAAAATCACAATGGTAGCTAGCAGCCTTCATCCCATTGTTTGGTTTCAAGTTTTTACGAGATGCTGTTGCTATGAATTCCAGCCTATGGGATGTATACAGCTAATTAGAAGTCTCCATGTGCTTGCTGATAGTTGTGCTCGCACCCTATCTGCTAATTTTATCAGTTTTCTACCATTAATTGTGACTCGACTCACTTTTTGAACATTCCTAGACGTAGATTGCTCCTTTCCCCAGTGCATGCCATTGCCGTCAGTTTTAGCTTTGCACTGTTATTTTGTCATCATTTCATTGAATCTCTCTGACACAATCATTCTGATTCTACTGTCCCTTGATCAATTTCTCCTTTTCAAATGACTTGGTACTACTGGAGCATAAAAATTTACATTTGCCATTTAATGGGTGAAGTACACACAACATATCATCTATTAATTTCAAAGGGCTGCCTTCCCCTCACCCCCCTTTTTCTTTTTCCCCGGTGGAGAATTGTGTAAATTGATTGATAAAATTTTCAGAGGAGAAAATGATAATAGGGTGGAGTGGTAAAACAAGAGTAGCCCCTCACTATACAGACCTATTGATCTTGGAACTATGTAATGTCATATCTTTTGTTGCCTTTAGAAAGGGCATCTCTCTGGTTTTTTTTTTTGTGTTCATTGGTCAGGTCAAGTCATTCTGTCTGATCCCTTCCTTGTTTTGCTTAAGATTTTATTCTAGTTAACGGATATCTCTTACTGTTGCTTTATTCAGCCCATCACATTTGCTCTGGTATATGTTGGAACAACCCTGAAGGATCTTTCTGATGTCACACATGGATGGAATGAGGTTTCAACCACTCGTTGGGTAAGCTCCATGCCTATTATTATTGTTGGAATGTGTTTTGGATCATGATGTTGGAATTATACAGTTATGACCATGTCAACTATGGATAATTTCCCTGATCTAAGTGTAAAGGTGCATGATGCTTGCATTGTTGAATGATAATCCCTTTGAATATATATACAAATTGGAGCTTTAGACAAAGATGCAGTGGACCTGGCTAGACTTGTGGTTATCAACTTTTGAACTGATGTGTTTGCTACTGCAATCTCCTTTCATTTTTCCTTTTTTACTGAAGCTCTTCTACTATTCTCTCTTGGTGGTTGTTAATGTGCCCACAAACGCCTACCTAGGCATAGCTGAGATTATTTAGTGCATATTGTGTTAACTTTGCCCTACCCCTCCCTCTCCATGTGCAATCGAGTTTTGGACATCTGATGATATTGCTACATGTCCACCATAAGGTGGTGATCCTAGAACAACACCCCCCACCCCCCCCACCCCACCAAACAAAAAAAAAAAAAGAAGAAAAAATTAGAATCTCCCAAGCCAAGATATTAGGCCTATCCTCAAATAGGATATGTTATTTCAAACTTTTTGAGTTCTGATGAGCACTCTTGTCCTCAAACACTCTATTTTAAAATATATGTAATGTATTTCCCAGGCGTAAGAAAGTGGTTGCGGTTTAGTAACTCGAATAATCTGAGGTCGTCTCCTCAAGGAACAAAAGCAATTTGATTGGTGATGTTTGTGTGATAAATAGTAGAAATCTTTTGTTTTGTGGAAAAGTGGAGGAAAGAGTTTTAAAGTAGTGAAATCAATTAAGGAAACAGTCGGCTAATACTCAAGAAACCACTCACCATAATCAAACATTTTGACTCTCAACTTTAACTCATCCGACATAGTATTCAAACTAGCTCAGACGAAAAATTTTCAACTAAAATCAAATTTATGCAATATACAATTTTGTAGATAGGAAATAGGAGTTAGAGTAAATCGCACTCAGATGTAAAAATGGTTCCCAAGTATTACCCGTGCCGTTTAACTCGTCGACAGGAAATCAAGGTAGTTATATAAAACCAGGTTTTCAAAATAAGTTTTTCCCTTCTCCAAGACTTTCGATGAGTTAAAAATCATTAGAGAATTAAAAATAGCTTGATCATGGATGAGATTCATCCTTCGGATTATGCCAAAATTCTGGCCGGAACCAAAACACATCAAATTAAACTTGAAAGAATACAACATGAAAGATCAATGAAAATAAACAAGAAGATGAAAAGAAACAACCTTCAATAGATTAGCTTTTATGAACTAAGCTCAAATACAATGATAACTCTTACAACTAAAGCACTTGAAAATGGAAGAAAAATGTCTCCGTTGTCTTCTCTGTAACCCGACAACTTTCATACAATATAAACTTCAGAAAAATTCTCAACAAATCCCTCATGCGTGTAGGAATGTGCATATATATATTATCTTCATCCCTCATTCCCATGGGCTAAGGTGAGCGGCTTGGGTGGTGGAAGCTTCCCCGAAGAATCTCCTCCGTCAGTGTTGTCTAATGAAAATGTTTGCCTTGTTGTTAGGAGATGAAATCGACCAATAAGAGGGCATGCCTAGGGGTTTGGAGCCGCCCCCTATGTTGTGCAAGTGGGTGGGAGTAACTTCGTGGGGAAGGAGCGAAGACCTAGGAGTTTGTGAACTGACTTAGTATGTAGAACTGGTTCTAGACTCTCTAGACTTTGTAGGACCTATTCCACTTGGTTGGAATCGGTTCTAAGCTTCCTGGTCTTCGTGGTACAGGTTCTTCTAGAACCTGTTCTAGCTGCCTTTGTTCGATTCTTTGCTTTTCTCTTCCGGATTCCAATCCTCTTCTCTCCTATGCTTTCCATGATTTTCTAACTCAATTCCTTCATGCTCCTCCTCATCACCTTTACACCTACAAACATAAACACAACAATTAACCCAAACTTGCCGCAATTCGAATATATTAAACATCAAACAATGATAAAACATGGATAAATTAACCCATAAATTATGCAACTTTAAACTCTTAACAAGCACCTTCTTTGTTTATGCCACCAAACTACTCAACATGTGCTAGGTCGAAAATTATGGATTATTCTATATCTGATACTTTCTGATTCCATGACATTAATACTCCTCAAAGGCCTTTAAAGAGTCTCATACCTAGGTTTAGCTTGCACTATAATGTTGGAGATATTGCAGCTTAGTTTATTAGGGTTTATTATAGTTTTTCTTTGTTACCTTTTTTACTCTTATTGTAATTTTCATTGGCTATATATGCGGGGTTTCTACACTTAGTTGGTATCCCTTTTCTCTCTTCTAAATATTTCAAGTTGGTATCAGAGCCAGACCTTAACCCTACCCCAAACCCTAATCTTCTCCCTAACCTAGCCTCTACCGAGACTACTACCTCATCGGTAAACTGCCTTCAAGCAAAACCAGCCACTGTCGAAACCACGTTGCAGCCATCAGCCACCGTTACTGCCCACAATCGCTTGATTAGAAGTCAGCCCGTAACTCCACAGCCTGCCCACGGACCAACATACATAACTGCCCAACAAACATTCCCAGCCAGTGTTATTTAAGGCGTAAAGCGAACCGAAGCGACTAAGGCTCCTAACGCCTAGGCGAGAAGCAAGAAGCGAAACGACACACTTTACCGAAGCAAAGCGAACAGTTAAAAAAAATATATATTTTAGTTTAATTACTTCTAAATAATCTAAGTTCTAATTTTATATATACTAAATATTTAAATGCAAGTAAAACCATAAACATTTAAATTAAAACAAACACTAATAATATCTCAAATCTTAATAACAGTCATAACTTAAACATTTAAATTCAAACAAATACTAACAATTGTATACATTTTCATATTGACAGGGTAGGACAACAAAAGAAGCAGAATCAGGACAACAGCAGAATTAGCAACTAAAAAAAAGAAGCAGAATGAGGATAAAAAAAAACAAAAGCAACACAGGACAACAAAACCGAAGCAGCAATAGAATCAACAAAAAAAAATAGAAGCAGAATGAGCTAAAAAAAAAAAACAGAAGCACAATGATCATGACAGGAGCAGAATCAATTGTAAACAATTTCATATGTAATTATATACTGAATAAAAAAAAGCAGAACAGAGGCACATTTCACATGTACTAAAATAATTAAACATGGTATAAGCATAGACCACTTTTTGGTACCATTTGTATATATATAAGAAAAGAAAAAAGTATAACCAAGACATATCAGAGACACTTTTTTGTAGAAGAATCTATTATTTACCCTCATTCCTGATACTCCTGCTTCCTTTTTTTTTTATCATAATTGTCATGCAGTCGCCTGACTCTCACATCCCACAAATATTCTAAATGAATTCAGCAATACAAGAAAAAAAAAAGAATGTGTTTTGTTTGAAACATTGTTTATTAGAAAAAAAAAATAAAAAAATAGACCAACAATAGTCTAAAAAAAAGTCATTAGTGATTAAAAAATAAAAGAGACTACTAACCTGTAATCAGAAAAAAAAAAAAAAAAAAGTGAAGCAGAATCGCCTTTTATAATAAAGCGTTCGTTTTTTTTCGCTTTTTTCTCGTTTCGCTCACGTTCGCTTTGCCTGGGGTCCTCCAGGCGAGATAAGCTCGCTTCTCGCCTAGGCGAGCTTTTCAAAACACTGTTCCTAGCATCACCAACCGAAATACTGTTGCCCATAAAACCACCGACTGACAACATCCATATAGCACTGACGCCAAAACAAACAACAAAAAAACCAGCTCCACTGAAATAATACCCATAACACTGCCTAACTTCAACCAACAGCCCCAGTGAACCCAACTGAACCGGGCTACCCAACTGCCTAACAAACCAGCCTCCACTCCACATCGACATACATCCAACCCACAAACCAATACAGCCAAGCACCGACAGCCACTGCCCAACCCAGCGACCCACTGCCCAACCTAGGTCACTGTTTAGCCCATTCATCAGGCCACTGCCGGGTTGCTTTTTCGTTGTAGCTTCGTCCTTTGCACACTTCGTCACAGTGCTGCTAGGTTACAATATCTAGGACTTTTTTAGGAGGGAGTGGATTCTCTTCTCCGTTGATCTGCTCTTAATACAGTAGATCAATTATTTATATTTGTTGGATTTCTGGGCACTGTGATATGATTATTTGGAAGCTTTCTGGACCTTCTTTATCTGTCGCTATTGTTCGACTGGAGGTATATTATTCTCCCTTATTTTGTCCCTCTATTTATCTTAGAGCTTTTTTTCTGTCACGGGTGTCCACGTATTGTTATTGTTATGACTACTACTGAGGGATTTGAGACCTCTACTCTTGAGACCTCTGCTGTTAGTACTTTTTCCTGGAAGTACCTCTTGGTTCTCGTCGGTGTGATTATTGTGGCTGACCAGGCCATCTCCGGGCTACTTGTTGGAAGCTCTATCCGGAGCTTAAGCCGCCTCCTCGCAACTGTACTCCTGTTGCTGCTCTTCCTTGGCAGAGTGATATGGATGTTGTCATTTTTCGATTGGATATACTTATGTCTGCCCTGACTTCTCAGGGTCCGACTACTATTACTGCCACCACTATAGGTATACATCGTGCTTCTCATGTTTGCGCCAGTTCGTCTCCCCTTTGGATGCTGGACTCGGGTGTAAATGGTCATATGACAGGTGAGGCCCATTACTTCACCAGGTTTGACGAGCAGTTATATACACAGGTTTAGCTAGCAGATGAGATACATGCCCCTATTGTTAGTAGGGGTATAGTCCACCTCCCAGATGGCTTTACATTACATTCAGTTTTTCATGCACCAAAATTGGCCATGAATCTATTATCCGTACATCAGTTAGCCAGAGATTTTTACTGTGCTGTTGTGTTTTTATTTGATTCGTGTTATTTGCAGGACCTGAGTACCAAGAGGATTATTATCAGGGGACATGAGAGAGATGGATTGTATTATCTAGGCAATCCATCTCCAATTTCACCAGTTCCTCCACCTCTATCACCTGCACCTGCTTTGTCTTTATCTGTTCCTAGCTTGCATGCTAGTATCTTGCCTAGTACTTGTCATTATGATTTTTCATCACAAACTGTTCAGTTGTGGCATGATCGTTTTGGACATATAAATTTTAAATATTTATGTATGTTATTTCCTGCTTTGAGCAATGTTTGTGTTGGTGGTAAACTTGACTGTGTTATATGTTTCCTATCGAAACATGTTCGGACCAATTATATTCCTTGTATGCACCAGTCAACCAAGCCATTTGACTCAATACACTATGATATTTGGGGACCCTCTCCTGTTATTGTTTTGTCAGGTGCTCGATACTATGTGACATTTATAGATGACTATACCCGTTGTACTTGGATCTACCTTTTGCATAGGAAGTTTGATGTACTCCCTGTCATCACACAGTTTTTTCAGATGATTAAGACACAATTCGATGTCATTATTCGTGTTCTTCGTTCGGATAATGCCAAAAAATATGTGTCTGATGCCTTAGTGTCTCACCTTTCCTCAGGGTATCCTTCAGCAGCTCACTTGTCCATATATTCTTGAGCAAAATGGAGTTTGTGAAAGAAAAAACAGGAGTCTAGTAGGGATGATACGTTGTATGCTTAGAGGTATGGGGGTACAAAAATCTTATTGACATTTTGCTGTTTTGACTTCTACCTTTCTATGTAAGCGTACACCAAGTCGTGTTCTTCAACATAGGGCTCCCTTACAGGTCTTATTCCCTGAGCGGACACTTTTTTCGGTCCCCCTCGTGTTTTTGGTTGCACATGTTTTGTTCAGGATCGGCCTCCTACTCGCCATAAACTTGATGATAAAGCAATTCGTTGTGTCTTTGTGGGCTATTGTCATCGGTCTAAGGGGTATCGGTGTTATGATCCTATCAGGCGCCGTATGTATCACAATCTAGATGTTACCTTTCTTGAGCACATTCCTTATTTTTCTTCCAGTTTTGTCTCTGCCTCTCTAGTTGATGATACTCCTTTTGATTTTTCGTTATCGCAGGAGCCAGAGACATTGGTCACTATCAGTACAAAGTCATTAGTCTCTCCTTCTCTAGAGCCACTAATCCTTGTCAGTACAGAGTCGTCAGTCTCTCTTCCTTTACAGGTTTATGTTTGTCGCCCTCGCTCTCATCCCCTGCTGTCCCTTCTACCTCAAACGATGCAAGGTAATACTTCTCAGTTCGTTGAGCATATTGATGCACCTGTTGTTGGTACTAATGAAATTGCAGGTACTGAGCCGGTTACTTTCCTTGATGAGACATTGTCAGTAGGGGATGATGATTTAGGACGTCGTTATTCGCAGAGTAATCGTCGTCCAGTTGTTCGTTGTGGTTGAATTGCTAGGACTTTATATCCGATTTCTGCTTATGTATCTTATGGTGATTTGTCTCCTATATTTCGAGCTTATAGTATAGCCTTATCAGATACGCCAATTCCTCGCTCTGTTTTAGAGGCTATGAGGGAGTCATAGTGGGTTCTTGCCATGCAGACGGATATGGACGCTCTTTAGCATAATCATGTGTGAGATCTTGTCCTTTTACCTTCAGGGGTGAAGCTTATTGGCTGTCGCTGGGTTTATACTCTGAAGTTTCTTGCAGATGGTACAATTGATCGTCACAAGGCTAGGCTTGTGGCGAAAGGCTTTACTCAGGTACCAAGTTGTGATTTTGGTGTTACCTTTGCCTTCGTGGCAAAATTGACTACTGTTCGATTGATTATATCTCTAGCTACGGAGTACTCTTGACCTCTTCATCAGTTGGATGTGAAGAATGCATTTCTTCACGGTGATCTGGAAGAGATTATTTATATAGATGCACCACCGAGCTTTCGTGGTGGGGGGGGAGTATGCTGAAAAGGTATGTCGACTGCGTAAGTCTCTTTATGGACTGCAACAGTCATCACGAGTCTGGTTCTCTCGCTTTAGAGATGTAGTTGTACGTTTAGGGTTCACCAGATGTCATTCTGATCATGCCTGCTTCATTCGGCGGAATACTTATGGACAGTGTGCCATCTTTTTGGTATATGTTGATGATATTATTATTACTAGAGATGATATTTCTGGGACTGCGCAGGTCAAAGTAGACCTTGAAAAGATCTTTGATGTGAAGGACCTTGAATTTTTGCGATATTTTATTGGGATTGAGGTTGCCCGTAGTAGCAGAGGTATTGTTCTTTTTCAGAGAAAGTATGTTCTGGATCTTCTCTCAGACACTAGGATGCTAGGGTGCAAACTGACATCATCACTTATGATTCCAAACCTGAAGCTTATTGCTGAAGGTGAGGAGTTGAGAGATCCGACTGTTTATCACAGGTTGGTAGGTAGACTTATCTACCTAGCCAACACTAGGTCAGACATTTCATTCGCTGTCAGCCGAGTTAATCAGTTAATGCACTGACCATGTCAACCTCATCTTAATGCAGTTTATCATATTCTTCGATATCTCAAGTCTTGTCCTGGACTTGGGTTGTTTTATACATCAGGATCTCAGACTGGTTCTCTAGCCTGTTATTCAAATTCAGATTATGGTGGAGCGTGTGACGGTCGATCTACTACGAGATTCTGTGCTTTTCGAGGGACTCATCTTATCTCTTGGAAGAGTAAGAAACAGTTAGTTGTGTCCCGCTCGTTAGCAGAGGCAGAGTATCGGGCACTGACACTTGACACATGTGAGATTATCTGGCTACGATTGATTCTTGGCGAGTTGGAATTTTCAGTGGCTTTTTCATCTACATTATATTGTGATAATCGATCTGCTATTCAGCTCGCTTTTGACTCTATATTACATGAGAGGACGAAGCCTATAGAGATCGATGTTCACTTTCTTCGGGAGAAGGTAAGCAATGGTATTGTCACTCCATCGTTTGTGGGGACTAGTGATCAGGTTGTAGATGTTTTCACCAAACCTGTCACTCTTCATTTTTCTAGACTCCGTTGTCAAGCTTGGCTTAGTTGATATTTTTTGCGCCTAACTTGAGGGGGAGTGTTGGAGATATTGCAGCTTAGTTTATTAGGGTTTATTATAGTTTTCTTTTTTAACCTTTTTTTACCCTTATTGTAATTTTTATTGGCTATATATACGGGGGCTTTACACTTAGTTTGCATCTCATTTCAAATTCAATATCAGGGACATTTTTTTGTTATACGAAGGTTTGATATGTCGTAGTTGTGTGATCTAGAAGAAATTCACTGCCTTACTTTACAGCACACTAGATAGTGTTTGAACATGTACTTTTGTCTTCCTTTCATCTATTCTGGCTGTTGTTTTTGGATGCAGATATATATAGCATTGGGCTTTGTGATATCTGGTAAGTCTCAATTTAATGTAGTTTCCTAAGCTTCCTACTCGCATGGTTGTCACACTTTAATATACTTTGCTCAGCGTCCTACTTACATCCCTTTGGGGAGTTATTAATTACAGTCGTTTCTTGTAGGAAAATGGTAAAACCTATATGCTATTCAAAATCGACAAAATCTTAATTCATCTTCTATCTGCATATCTTACAACCGTCAATGTTTCAATCATATAATTTGAATGTACATAGAGATCTAGTCTAAAATCCATATTTAGAATGACCTGTGGATTCCAAGGCTTTCATCAGTTGGCTTTACCTAACTTCTTAGAGAACTGTCTTTCACCTTGCTGCCTTTCAGAGTGTCACTTGTTATTGTCCTAAGCTTTCAATGAACTGCATGTTTGGCTTTTCAAACTTGGGAGTTGAGTGTGGAGAACCATGACTTGAACGTAGTGCCTTAGGCAGGAGCCGCAAGACCTCATCTATTTGAGAGGCGGCGTAGGTTTCTTTGGTCGAGATTATTGGCCAAGTTCATGGAACAAACCTTAATGAAATTAACTGCATGAATTAGTTTCTTTTCATTTATGTCCTCAGACATTTACTGATAATTTTTTTTTTGATTTCAATTGGTTTGACATAGCGATTTTGATGGTTTGCATTACTAAAGTCGCAAAGGCCTCCCTGGAGAAAGCACTAGCAGAAAATGATGTGGTAGAGGGTATTTTAGGCTCGCCAGGGCTACCTGTTGTAGCAGAGCCACCTTTGGATCTGCAGAAGCCCCTCATAATCAAGATAGACCCATCCGGAGGAGCGCATTTTAAATAGATGTAAATTCTTTTACTCTTTGCTTCCTAAACTGGTTGGTTTAGATAAAAAATCGTTAGGAATGAAGGATACAAAGAAAAAGAAGGAAAAAAAGATAAATATGTGGACTCAGACTTCATATACAGAAGCCGATGCTTCCACATTTCAGTAGTAAGATCTTGTCTTTTTTTCTTTGTAATTTCATGAGGAAATGGACAGTTTTCAGTGTAATAATTAGATTCTGCATTTAGCTTTGCCCGAACATTAGTGCTGTTGTTCTCTCTCCCTCAGTTGACTAGGCTTTGGAAAAAAAACTCCATTGGAATATTAATGTAGCAAAGAGGAAGAGGATTAGACAATAAAAACTCCAATTTGGGGAGTAAATACTGGGTGTAATACAATAAGAAAATAACAAAAAGACAAAATATGATTCATTTTATATCATGAAGGTAATTATGATTATATGATTGGGTTATTATAAGTTTTAGTGAGTTCTATTTGTTGACTTGTTTATTGGACAGTTGCACCACGTAAGACAGCTAATGTGGTGTAATGGTTATTCCCAATATATTTTGTAATTGGGTTGGGAGGGGGGATCGTGTGTCAAATGAACACAAATGTATAACCCACAAGTGAGGTCTCTCTACTCCAGCCTCCTGGAGCTGACGAAGTGATAAGGAAGGAGAGCAATAGCATAATAGCAACACAATTACCTCGTACCCCATATACCAATTTGCTATTTCATTCACAAGAAGTAAGGTTTGAAAAGAGTACAGTCGTGCAAAAACTCCGTCAGCTAAAAACAGTTTCTCTTTCTGACAACCAAAATTGATTTCTTAGGGATGGAAACTACAATGTACCTTCGGCTAAAACATCAGATCTCTGAAGTCTGTTTAATACAAGGCTGACCAGTGATTCTTGGTTCGTGGAGTTCTCTGCTACAAAAATCATATGAAAATTAGAGAAGCAAATGTGAAAACATAATGACAGAAATAGTGTTAAGCATCTATATGGATTGATTTAATCCTTCAGCCAAAGCCATTGGCATCATAAAAATGCCCCTGCTTTCCAACAGCTGGGCTGCTGCTGACGGATTCACCTCCACCAACTTTCCCATCATCTCTTCTAGAGGCTCGTTCAGCATTTGATCATGGATAAGGTAATGGCCATAGCCCTGAGAATGATTTCAAAAGGAACTATAAAATATCCAAAGCACGGGAGGAAATTATTAATTATGCGAGAGGGTTGAAATGATTCAGTCAAATAATATGATTGCAGTAACTTGTTCCAGCAGGGAATTGATAAATGTACCTCGAGGAATATGAAAGGGTGCAAAGTTGATTCACCTCCCAATCTGCTTCGACTTAAATCCTGCAGAGTCAACTGTCCTTAATCAGGTTTGGCAACAAATGAAAGTGCCATCATCTGATGACCTTGTAAACATGGGACTGAATTAGCCTTGACAAAGGAAAAATGGAAGACACATGTGGATGTTGAAGGAGGAGAGCCAAGGATGGTCCATAAACCTATATTGATAATGCAGAAGTGGAAAACAGATGTAGATATTGAAGAAAGAGGCTCCATGGGAATATGTTGGTTTAAGTAAAGTGGGAAATGGATGCAGATGTTGAAGAAATTCTTTCCATAAGGATAACAAAAGAAATGGAAATTAGGAAAAAAAATGTGTGGCCCGCAATCACATTGGTGCTTATAAGAATAGTTTGCATTCCGATAATCATTCCCTCTGTATGATGAGAATGTCTAAACATGTCAATCAGTTGCAGGTTGCCTCTTGCTGTCTAGATTGATTATCACTCGATCCTGTTTACAGAACACCAATTCTCAGGTTTAAATGGTCACAAGAATGGAAAATTCTAGAAGAGAACACCAAAGAAATATATAGTGTTATGTTTCCTGTTTCAAGATGTCTGGAAGCCACATTATCATGCTCCATGGCATCAAAGAAAGCATTGAACAATCAACACTTACAATTGTTTGAGCAAAACACCATATCTTTTTGTCCATATACCATAATGCATGTCATGTACTAGACATTGTAGATGAGAGCATTCAACATCGGATGAACCCCTACCTTAATTTGAAGCTGCAAATACTTAATGTAGTCTATGACATCATCCAGTAGAGATGCTTTACTACCCTGCAAAAGCACAATTGCACGATTCTAATTCCAGACAGAAATAAGGGCATATTTGCATGACATCAACTACAATCTGAATATAGACAGCTGAATGTTACACACAAAAACAACTTTGAAAATGTAATACATTTTCCTCCGCATTATATACAATCGATATTTGTGTTTCTACTATTATTGAGAACCCCAATACTTATCGTTATTGAACATTCATTGCAAAATTCAGCACTAATCTAAAACATTCTTACCCTTAATCAGTATTTCGTCAACCCCCTTCTGCCTCCCCTAACAAAATGACCACATCTCAAGGTCCAATCACATGGGTAGAATATTTCATTTTTGTGTCTCTTTCTTTTGACCGGATTATAACAAAAATAAATGTTAAGATGCAAAATGAGATGACCCCACCCCCACCCCCCCTAAACATATATTACCTCTTTGTTTTGTGGAAGCAGTTCCTGCAATGCATCTAGTCTCTGAGCAATTCTCAATCTGCGACGCTGAATAGAAACAAGCCAATTAGCAAATTGATACATCCACCAAGAGTTTGATGACTCCAATTGATAGTACTATATATCTTGTACATAATGTATATGACCACTGCCTCATTCAAAAAGGATTCTTAATAATTGCAAAATTGGTTGTTAAGTCTAAGGGATTAGCTTCAGTAAGTTGCAGAGTCATGCTTACACGATCAGCAGAAGTGGCTCTCTGTCTTGCAGCACTGTTCCGAAATTTAGGTTGGAAACTTGGTGCAGCAGCTGCTATGCTCAATTGAGGTTGAGAAACGTTATGACATTCCCCATTTGATTCTTGTTCCTGTGGGGGCATGAGAACATGGAAGATAGTTTACTTATATCACATAATCAGGATAAAACTTTTATTGAATAGTAATGGTATTTAAATAATCTTTAGAGGCAACGAGCTAGACTTAGCTTTGTGTAGAAGACAAAATGAGAGTAAGAAACTTGACCTGGACATGTATCTGATGTTCTGCACTTGTGAAACTGTTCATTGGTGATTCTTCACCATGTGGCCTCAAATATCTTACCTGTTGAAAATGCACAACTTGTGTCAACCTCCCAAGTCATGTATTACATTTAAGTTGGGAATTGGGATAATTGAAGAGATCATATTGGCTTTAGTTTCCTGTACAGGGATTAATTCCCGTACCATATGTGTCTCATCTCAAAGAGTATAAAAACCTGCCAAGATTATGGTGTGTCATAATTGTGGAAATTAAGCATATGGACAAAAGGCTCTACCTTTTGCTCATCCATGTCAAGGGAAGAATTAGGAGGTTTAAAACCAGACATCATGCCAGAATTATCGTATGATACTTCCCTTTTGATTCCAGACACCCCATTTTCTGCAAGAAACTCTACATAATTTCGAGCTGGTTGCTGGTAATGAATCCACTCAGGTAAGAGCATAGGAACATGTAGGATCCCACTCATTTCGGCTTCCATTATGGAGTGCCGGTTCAGATCCTCTTCTGAAAAATGACACACATCACTGGTATTTTTACCAAGAGCCGATGATGTTGACTTCAAAGCATTCTGATGACTTTGTCCATCCATATTACCCGGAAAAATAGATGCTGCAAATTGACAAAAAAAAAAAAAAAAAAAAAACAGTTACAAACAATGAAATGGGATGTACTCTTATACTCAGATTGTCAATGAGAGAAATCGAGACTCACAATACCATTACCAATAACAACAGTTTGGTAATAAAATATGTCAGATAATGGCAAATAAAATAGGTCAGATAATGTGAATCATCTGTTACACTGTCACGTTAACCTACGATTGAGGTCTAGAGTGGAGTATAAAGAAAAAATAAATGCATGAAAAGATGGTTTAGGCAGCAGAGATGAGAGAGATATACTATCCCATCAATATAAGCTAAGGACAGATTAATTGAGGGTAATGTCGCCTAGACTGGATCAGGAATAAGGGAGAAATAAGAACTGAAGACCACACAACACCCTTAAAAGATAGCATTGTTATAACTAATCTCCAATTATCCACGAGGAGGGTGAAAAAAAATACAAGCTACAGAATTAGAGAAGTGTGGATGAAGGGATTTTTTGAATCCTTCAACGAAACCCACGGTTAGGGGTTAAATAAGAATGATGTATAACTTTGTTTAATGTTGAGAAGCATTCTGACTGCAGCTGCAACTGAGCTTTCTTTTTAAAGCGAAATAGACACAAAATTATTAATTCAAACTATCTAATTTACCTTTAGCTCAGATAGTACTGTAGTTATTGAGTCGAGGCAATTGCATGAGGTTGAGTGAAAGTTTTCATCAAATTGTAAGGTCTTTAGCCTGAAGATTGTAACATTTCTGATTCAAATAATTACATTTAACCAAGCATTGAATAAGATAATTCGTCGTAATGGGCAACTTCGTTTTTATTTTGTACAACAATGTACCTGAGAGTCGCCAAATGACATATGAGGATCACATCCAAATCTTCATTCTAATTAAGGATTATACCGTATTTCGACCACATAAATCTTGCCTCTAACAAGATTTGGATTCCTGGCCTCTTCTTGAGGTTTAGGAGTACTTCCAAAACTGAAAGTAATGTGTAATCGTCAATAAAACAGAGGAATCTACTTGAAACTCATGGTCTGAGAACAAAATTAGGATCAGATTAGCAAATAGAAAAAAAACTTAATAAATTTTCTTCCCGTCCAAGTTCTTGATAACAAATGGAGCTTAATGCTAGTATTTAACGAAGAGAAAATCCAAGAAAAAAAAAATTGATCGCATTCCACATGATCCAACAGTTTCAGTGAACAAAATAAATAAGTAAATAACGAAGAAGCGAAGCCTTCAGAATCAGTGACAAAAATTCATAAGTGAATGTAAATTTCAAAAATACGGAAAAACTTGAAAATAGATTTGTCAGTAGAACAACATAAACAATGGCACAGTGAATGCTCATATATAACAACGCTAAACAGCCATTAATAAATTATAAAATCAGATACGAATAAGCTAACTCAACATATAAACTCACACAAGCACACTTCACGCATTCAGAATATACTTAATCAATGCCTCTGGATAAACAGCAATGTTCTAAAGAACATCAAAGACTGTACGGAACAAGTTGTAAATCAAACGAAACGCCATCGCTACATATATATATATATGTGTCTGTTTCTGTGCGTGCGTGCGTGATTTTCTTCAAAATGAAAAAGGACAGTGAATGGCAAGTGAGAGAAACAAAGTAGAGAGAGAATCTAACGAGTTTGCATTAGGGTTTCGAGAGAGCGGCAGGAGAACGAAGAAAATAATGGGAATGAAATGAAAAGGTGTGCTCGCTCGTCGTCACTGTGGAGAGTGGTACGTGTACCTGACATAGCAACAGCTTAATGCAGAGGTCGTGCTTATGGGGTGGAGGCTGGTGGGTGAAATTTCCAAAACACCCCTGGACTTCTCAACTCTGTCGCGCAACTTTTCGGTATCGTACGAAATATATCTATACTATATCTTTTTTTTGGTGCAAAAAGCTGGGGATAAAATTTTATTTTAGTGAACTTGAGTTTACTTGAAATATCGAAGACTCGGAACAAATAGATGTTAAAGAATGGACTAAAGAGTAATAATGAATTAGTCTTTCAACTATTTAGACAATTCAAACTTATTGAGATGAATTATGTCACTCAAAAAAAAATGTTAAAAGGATATTATAATATTTTTTTGCGTGGCCTCTCTAATGATCAAGTCAGTACATGAGAAAGGGATAAGAACCATTGTTCTATTGCTTGAGTGAGAATGTGCGTACCTTCATTTCGAGTTTGTTAGAGATAATTGTACTTCTAAAGAGTTAATCATTGCGTATATGTGGCCCTCAAATGAGAAGACTCCTTATTGACCCATGTGGAAGGTGACCTACAACGCATAGTCCTCGGATAGGGTGTCTTCCTTGTCATGTGAAAAGAAATTTCTGCATTTAAAACTTGCCTTTCGACATTCGTCGAGCAATAAATGTGTATCATTCTTCTGAAAGGTCATTTAATGTTTTCTTATGGTGGCTACGCACGCATAAGAGTACTTTGGTCTGTTACATCACAACTCTGAGTCTTGCACCTTGTGTGTCACTATTGTTGGTTATTGATCTGTCTCTTCTGCAATTTTGATTACTGTGAGAAAGGAAGCCTATGACTGATGTCCAACTTTGCTTCCAAGTTACACTAACTATTGAAATTGCTATTCATACTTCTCCGGTATGGAAGGCTAGGTGATGTGTTCGGCGATGGTCCCTCGGAATGGAACATACATGAGGACACGTGTCTGGTGATTGGGATCTGAGGGCTTTAGACACCGAAGACACATGTCAACACAACAATGCTCTGGGGTTGCCAATGCCTAAGACACGTGTCAATGCATGTAGTGTCTGAGATGCGTTTACGATGAGGTCACATGTAGTGACATAGAGAGATCCGAGAGATTACTCATACTAATGACATGCGTCAATTAATCGAGGGAGCTCCCACGTTCTATATGTTGAGGAAACGTGTTAACTCCCCGTTAATTCTTGCATATGCGGGTTAAAAAATTTATATGAAGAATTATTGAACTCAATCATTTGCAGCTGTTATTTCTTAGTTTTTTGTAACACCTCTCTCTATCTCACACATATGCACTATACCAGCGTTGGGTCATTATATTGATTGTACTGTTTATTTGTCCCGGGCATCACCTAGAGGTGGTGTGCTAAACTTGAATCTAGACGAGAAGAATCAGAGAGTATTGCTTCGAGGGAAAGCCATTGCTGTAATGGAAGGTTCTCTGCCGGTTTGACAATTAAACTTAGTCTTGCATGACGAGAAGAGAATAAATGGGTACCCACATGTGCAGGAGTGCTCGTGAGTTTCAATTGGAACTTCTGTAACTTTCTTACATAATTCCTTGTCCTGTATAAATAGTATATATTTTTTCATTTGGATCCCCTTAATTTCACATAGACAGTTTTGCCCTTTAATATAACCTTTTTTAGTACTTTGTATGCTACGTACTTTCCTACAGAACATTCATTTGTTAGCAATGACTGATGGAATAAAACCTGTTTAGCTATTGACAAGTTCCAGTTGTGGATCTCTTTCAAAACAAGCTCTGAAGTTTTATTAACAATGTGTTTTCTTTGAGTTGGTGCACTGATTCTCTCTTTTTCAAACTTACTCTTTTTTAATGGTGAGGGGTGAAGATTTAAGGAGAAAACTTCCAGTGAGATGTGATCTGTGGCGTTGTCTTTTGTGTTGGGGGGGGGGGGGGGTATATACAGAGGTGGCACCGGGAATCCCTAGCAAGTTTTTTTTTTATTCGATGGTTAAGAGTGTTCGGATCAGTTTATGTGCATCTCAACTAATTCTCTTTCCGACTCAGTCAAAGATAGATCATTTATACCGAAATTATAGAATTTTTGAGAGATAAACTCCTCATGGCCTGATCCCAAGAAATTATTAAGATTCGAATTCAAAACATTTGAGTTTACACTTTATTTTTTTTATTACTTGAGCTGCCCTTTCAGTTAATCCTGGTAAGTTCAAGCCTGTGGGAACGAGTATTGCCAGCAGCTGCTTGGCTGTAATGGGGATTTCATGTCTTGCCTTTTGTTCCACTACAAATACAGCCCATGTCGATTCCATTTGGATCTTGACTAGTGCACATACATAAATGTATACATTAGAAAACCCATGGTTATGAGAGCATTGACGCATTTTTTTTTTATTTATTATTTTGGGAGAGGGGGAGAAGGGAATAAAATTTGAACACTTGACCTCAAGAAATTAAAACGTTTACAAGATAAAGAGTATCTTTGAATCAAAAATCCGTCGACAAATATCGTCAAATATTTCCAAAAGCTTGCGTATAGCTTTGTCAAATGATTTTTTTTTCCATCTTATCCCATAATAGGTTTAGATTAGACAGCTGTGTTGAAGGATTTAGTTTGTGTTCAGATCATATTCCTTCTTTGTCAGGCGGTCACAATTTAAAAGATTTCTGTGGATATGTCAAAGTCACAGCCAAAATCGAATGGGACGGATGGTTTTACAAAGAAGACATGGGATCTGGATGATATAACAAACAACCACTTATCCATTAAATGAGAGAAATGATATTTGGATTCTAAAATTTGATATCATCTGTTTATTCTATCTATTATAACTATTGAATAAATAATAGAATGTTAGGACTCGTAGTTAAATTAATGTTAATGATTAATGGAGTCAATAAATAGTATCGATTTTTAAAGTCTAAGTAGCGTTGCTCTTAAGTGATATGGAGTTTGAGAAGTAATTTTTTTGAAATGAAGGTAAAAATGCATGTTAATTACTTACGATTCTAAAAATATTATTTGGATTTTAATTTAAAGACTTAATTAATTTGGTAACCTATTCAACTAGAGCTAGTAGATCGGAAGTGAATTTCATTTATCATTACAACTCTCAACCTATTTAAAGGTTGTGTTTATGTCAAGTCGCTGATTATGGTTCTAAATTAAGTCCCGATATCATTATTCGATAGACTCTAATATAAGGAGCAACCTTATAAACTTGATGATATCAATGATAATTAGACACACACATTATATATATATAACTACAAATATAGCTTTCAAACTATGACCATTGTATCAATTAAACTTTTGAACTTTTTTTTTTGTGCCTCCCTTAGATTTTCTAATGGAAGTGGCAAAGTGTGTTACCCATGTGACACAAATGAGTTGGAGTAAACTATATATATTGTTCTTAAACTATAACTCTCTTGTCAATTAAACCTTTAATTTTTTTTATTTCAATGAAGCGTCTGAACTTTCTAATTATGTCGATTGAACCCTTATTTTTTTGTGTGCTATATAATCACGTGAGTAACACTCTAACGGAGCTAAATAGATGGATTTACTTTACACAATTGGAGAGTTTAAGGGCTCAATTGACATTAAAAAAAAGTTTAAAGACTTAATTATTTGGTAATAACTATTCAAATTCTAAAGAAAATGTATTTGGGTCAAAGTAAAAAAGTCAAAATTAACATACATCTTTCTGGATGAGTGCGCTGGCACATGAAAGTAGCCTCCATTGACTTTGGACAGCCACGTCGTCTTTTATTATCATCCCCACGCAACCTACTCCTATTGAAGGACCAATACGCTGTGTCCAGTACAAATTACATACAGATATAAATTGAGGTGGCCTGGCAGCAACTCTCCACGCCTGTTTCTTGTATCACAAAATACACGGGCCTTTCATACTTCCTCTACCATGGCTTCCACTATTCAATTTCTTCTTCTCTCTTCTCTCCTCTTCTTTGTTTCTCTCTCCTCTGCTCAATCCTCTTTTCGGCCCAGTGCCCTCGTTCTCTCTGTCTCCAAAGACGCTTCCACTCTCCAGTACTTGACCAGAATCAATCAAAGAACACCTCTAGTGCCCGTGACCCTTGTGGTCGATCTTGGCGGCCAAATCTTATGGGTTGATTGCGAGAGTAACTATGTATCTTCTACGTATCGGCCGGTACGGTGCCGATCAGCTCAGTGCTCGTTGGCCAGAGCTAATGGCTGTGGAGACTGCTTCTCTGGGCCTAGGCCAGGCTGCAACAATAACACGTGTGGTGTTTCACCTGATAACTCCATCACTCACACTGCCACCGGTGGTGAGCTTGCGGAGGATGTTGTGTCTATCTCATCAACCAATGGCTCAAACCCAGGTCCGGTGGTCACGGTCACTCGGTTCCTTTTCTCCTGTGCACCCACCTTCCTCTTGGAAGGCCTTGCTACAGGTGCAATGGGCATGGCTGGACTTGGCCGGACTCGGGTGGCACTTCCTTCACAGTTCGCCGCCGCTTTTAGCTTCCACAGAAAATTTGCCATTTGCCTCTCATCATCAACAACGTCCAACGGTGTTATCTTCTTCGGCGATGGCCCATATAATCTCCTTCCCAATATCGATGCCTCTCAGTCACTCACGTACACCCCACTCTACATTAACCCAGTAAGCACTGCATCGTCTTTCACCCAAGGCGAGCCCTCGGCAGAATACTTTGTTGGAGTCAAGTCTATCAAGATCAGAGACAGAGTCATTTCTTCCAACACTTCGTTACTGTCCATTGATAGCGAAGGCAATGGCGGAACAAAGATCAGTACCGTCAATCCTTACACTGTAATGGAGACTTCCATCTTCAAAGTATTCACAGAGGCCTATATCAAAGAGGCAGCCGCGATGAACATCACTAGAGTCGCATCGGTGGCTCCATTTGAGGTGTGTTTCAGCTCCAGCAACGTCCTTAGCACCAGAGTTGGACCAGCAGTGCCATACATCGAACTAGTTTTGCAGAGCGAGAGTGTGGTTTGGACGATCACGGGTTCGAACTCGATGGTGCAGGTTAGAGACAACGTGTTATGCCTTGGATTCATCAATGGCGGATCAAACCCTAGGACATCCATTGTTATTGGTGGGTATCAGTTGGAAGACAATCTTCTTCAGTTTGATTTGGCAACTTCAAGATTAGGGTTCAGCTCCACACTGCTGGGCAGGCGAACTACTTGTGCCAACTTCAACTTCACATCCAGCTCCTAGATGATATATATCATGTTCTCCTACAAAATAGGCATGGAAATATAAGTGACCAGTTTGAATAACTCGCCATGAGCGATGGCCTCCGTTAGGCCTAGAAGCATATGTGATTTGAAACTTTGCTTGTAACATTTCTATGGAATAAATGTTGTAAAGATCTTCAATTTTATTTGATTGAATTGTCATTCTTAGATGAGTAATACTAGATCGACTTAAAAACTATACTTACAAGTTAGACTTAATAATCTCAACCATTAAATAGGTAGTGAGTTTCAATAAATGTTGGGACCTATAGTAAAATCAATGATTGAAATTATCAAGTCTAATTTTTAAGTCCATATAGCATTACTCTTCTCACATTTATCAATTCCTTTTTTTCCATATTCTGAGCTCGGAGAAGGAGAGATAAGAGGGTCCCTATAAAAAAAATGTGGTCAAAAATCTATAAGGAGAGATAAGATGGTCCCTATAAAAAATGTGGTCAAAAATCTATAAGAGTCGGAACACAATGATTGAATTTATTATCATCAAATCCAAATAATCAAAGTATTTATTTTCTTTTTTTTTTATAATTTGTGGGCCTTGAAGGGGCGTGTCTCCTCGATGCTTCCAGTTAGAAGATGAACACTTCAGTTGAATCCGACTCCAAAATACAACTTCCAAGGGTTTATTGAGCCATTACTAGTAGTCCCATATGGGCGGCCCAAAGTTCTGCTCTTACACTAATTGTTTGGTTGATTTTTTCATAGAATTCTCACATTTGAGTAATTTTAGATGAAGTTAAAAATTAGACTTGACAATCTCAATCATTGAATAGGTAATGAGGTTTAATAAATGCTGAGACCCACAATGAAATCAATTGTTATAATTATCAAGTCTAATTTTTAAGTTCATGTAGCGTTGCTCCTTTGATTTATATGCTTTTCCTATTTGTTAGTATTCCTCCAACTCCTGCTATTCCCGCGTTTTCTTCATAAATAAGGCACAATATATTCTTTTATTAGCTAGATTATCATTTTTCAATAAATCAATGCATTGATCATCTCAAGATACTACTTGAGATTCACTCCTTGTGTCTAAGATTTCTCGTGAGCGAAAAATGTAGCTTTTGGATGATACAATTGAAACAGTAAATTTTAGTAAATTATCGGCGATGAACAAATAGGCCTTTGTTGTCGTCATCAAGTGTAACTTGATGTTTACGATAAAAATTTTATGTGTAATACTCTCAAATTGTCGAGAAGAAGCGGATGAGCTTGTGTCTTGTGTTGCAGATGGAGTCCACGAATTTGTTTATGATAATGAAATAATTGAATTAACCATCCAAGTAATTTAATTAATGGTGATCTAATTGAATATTCAGCTATGATTAAAGTATTTCTAAAAACACGTCTATATATAAACTATTTTTTTCATACGATGACTAATGGACATGGCCCAGGGGGTCCAAGTAAGGTTTCAGATTCTTCTACAATTTGAGTTTGGCCCAAACAAGTTAGGCTTGGAAGAAAACCCAAAGAATGGGCCAGGAGAAAACTTGGATCCAGACTTCCCCCCATCGTCTGTTTCTCAGTCAAAGGTTAAAATTTTGTTTTGAAATAATCGTTGCGTTTAAAATATTTTCGTTTTAAAAAAGATTGAAATGAAATAGTAATATAATCGAAATTAAATTAAAATGTTTCATAATATTTTTAAATGTTATATAATGTTTTAATATATTTATAATTGTTTCGGAATGTTTTAAGATATTTCAAGATTTTTTAATATATTTTGATTAATATTTTGAAAAATTATTTCTTATTTTTTTTTAATTTTTTGTCCAAATCGGAACATTTTTTAAACACGTTGAAACGTTTCTGTTTTTTAGATGATTGAAACAATACACAAAAATAAAATTTTAATTATCATTCTCAATTTTTAATAATTTTTAATAATTACCTTATTTAATAATAGTTAGATTAAAATTATAGAATTTATTAATCTTATCTAATATTTTATAAGTAGACATGCAACAAACAAATGGATAATTATTTGAATGAGTGGAGTCTAAATTTTTTATTTGGTGAATTATTATTAGATAATTATACTACGTGTTAATAGTGATGTAACCTAATTATTACAACCAATATTTAGTTACTAGTCATAACCCGTGCCTGAAAATACGATAAAATATAAAATTTGAGTATCTAAAAAATTGATCTCACTATATTAAAATTTTTCAAAATACATTAATTACAAATTAATTAAATATTAAATAATTAAATATATGATAGAAATAAGTGATATGATATTTTTAAAGAAGAAAAATATAAATAATTAAATATGTGATAAAAATGAGTGATGTAATTTGACGTTTTAGTTTGACAAATAGATGATGGGTGAAATAAGTGATTAATGATGATTTTGAGAGGAAAAATGGAACCAGAATAAAATTCAAAACACAGTCTCGTTTTTATTATATAGATTTACTCCCATCTTTTGAAACTTGGACGGTTGGACCCATCGCGGACGACGTCGTAAAGCGTGGTGTTACTATTCTCCACAAGCCCATCCAATGATCTAAACCCTCCGAGGAGCGGAGGTTTCGATTTTGCTTGAACTAAAGCCCTAAAGACAATCGTCTTCCTTCTGCAACAATGAAGCTCGTTAGGTTTTTTTTTATCTCCATTTTTCAATTCGTTGGGCGTTTTGTTGGTAATGTTAACTGTAATTCATTATTTATAGTTCTTGATTACGTTTTGTATGATGTACGTTTGTGTGCGAGCAGATTTTTGATGAAGTTGAACAACGAAACTGTGTCGATTGAGCTCAAGAACGGAACAGTTGTTCATGGCACCATCACAGGTTTCTCTCTTTTTCTCTGTATGTGTGTCTGACTATATATGTACATCGGTACATGTATCTATTTGTTTGACTGGCGAGAAAAGAAAAGAAGAAATATTCGAGTAATGTGTTTTCTGATGTTATGTTGTTAAACAAACTGGAAAGTGGAGTCGTTTGAGCCAAAAAGAGAGCTGAATTCTGACTCATACATGTTCTGTGTTTTTTTTGGAGTTCTACTAACTTTAGCAACACAATGCATTAGGGTTTAACAAACCTTTAAATGTCGATTGATGGACACACACACACAAACTCGAATAATGGTTTTGGGTTCTTATGGAAACTCGAGAGTTGCTTGTGCGTGTAATATGGGAATGGAATTATGATTGTTGTGCTTCACGATATGCATTATTGGACCCATGTTTTCTGCACTTACACATGTTCGCCATGAATTCAAACAAGTGTAGGTCCATCTGGGTTTGTTTCCATTTTGTAATTTACTTGGTGAGACCTATTAATTAGATCATAGTGATTCCTTTGTATTAGTGCTTTCAAATTGGGTTCTATGGGTCATGGTTGTTTCTTTGTTATTTGGGTTGTGGTTTCTATGGAAGTTTGGAGAAGATGCTAATGCACATAAGACATAAAAGGGGCTTTGGGATATTGCAAGAGCCATAACTCAACTGGCTTCTCAATGATACTTGTCTAGCCCAGTCATTGATTCTTGACTTACGAGTAGAACTAGATCCTACTTCAAGTCAAAGTTTGAACTCCAACCCACATAAGTGGACATTTACTATTGCTACTAGTGCATCAAACTTAAGGGTTTAGGATCCTCTCTGCTTGTTTCTATCTGAGAATAATTCTTGAAATCTTTAAATTTCCATTTTCAAGGTTTTGTTTATTTTGTTTTTTGGGTGGGTGGGAGCAGAATACCGTTTGTCATGCTGTTATGCTCGAGTGAATCTGTGACGTTGCAATGACTTTTATCTTATGGTTCCTTTCCAAAGCCACGATTTTATGGGATAGGGGAATATCTCTAGGGAAAAACCAATTAATAGAGGCACTCGGTGGTAAGATGCTTAAATTGTAACAAAACATAGTTTACCAAAACATAGTAATAGATTATTTTGTTATCCTAGTTTACCAAAACATAGTAATAGTTTTGGGATGATTTTTTTTCATTGAGCTTAAGAATTAAATAAAATTCCATCATCAGTTTTATGTTAACCAGTAGAGAATTAGTTTGCACTTCTTCTTAATGGTTCTTAGAGTGAATTGGAGCCTGACATTATCATGCATGCTTTATGATTTGTTTGAGTTGATCTGTCACAACACTCGTAGTGCTTCTATGTAGTGGTTGGTGAGTTTATGTCGTCCTTTTGCCCCCAGCCCACCCCAACCACAACATTATTGTCGTGTGCATAGCCTCTGGTAGGCTGTAACATTTGGGAAATATTTATCATCCATTGTTGGTGGGAATTTACACCATGCCTAATTTATCTTGAAAAATATAGATAAGGGGGTGTAAGCAGTGCCATAACACTAAAAGAGTAACATGTTTCTTGATGGATCATTGGATCTTTGGCTGTGTTTTGCTGTAACATTATTACTATCTCTGGGTGTTTGGTTTTAGTGGACATTTATAATGCATTTATGAGACAACCACAATTGGAAATGGACTTAGATTTCTGTTGACTCTAAAGCAAAAGTAATGTACGAAACCATAAGTCAAGAGAGATAATGCTTAAAGATTGCCTCCAAAAGGTACAAAAATTTCTGGGTAGTTTATGAATCTCATTTCTTTAATGATGTGGAGGAGTCTTTGAAGTCACAAAATGGGTTGGCTACCTCTACCTGTGATTACTGACTAATAAATGACTTTATTCCCTAGTATCTGGATTCTTGCATGCTTATGGGCACTCATATCATAACTGCTCCAAACCTCCATATTCATCCTTTTAGACATGAAACACTCCAACCCAAACCATAAGGAGATCCCAATAGTCAGTTGATTGCAAAAATCTTGGAAGAAGTGGCCAAATTCATGATGCACTGGTCATTAAGAGGATAATTTCTGCGCTGATATTTGATTTTTAAAATGTAGATTAGTGATTGCTAAAAGGTTCAATTGACGTAGGGATTGCAAGCAAAATTGTTGTGTTTATAAAATAAGTAAGAACTTGTAAGGATTGATCAATTACCATTTTATATTATTAAGATGTTCACTAAATCAATCGTGACAAAATTTGCAACACTCCTGCTTCTTTGTACTCTTCTATGCATTCAGATTTTGGAGCTGCTATGTCAGCTGCATCTTGATTGGGACATTGCTTGTGTTATTTCCCATGTTGTCATGGTGCCATTAAACGTATCTCTGCAATCGTTGAGTTGGCTAGAATACCTTTTCAGGTATATATTTCTAGCTGGTATATTAATCTAGCATATCTCATTATGAAATTTAATTTGTAAATATTTATTTCTTAACTTTTCTCTTTAAGTATTTGTGGGACAAATATCCTAAAAAGTGACACTAAGAAAATCCAACAGAAAACGTTGTAGTTAGGTCCTGTAAGTAAGCATGCCTTGGACATCATATGAACAAAGCGGCTGTGATGCAATCGAAACCCACAAATTTGCTGTTTCTAGATTGACGGCTGATCCAAAAATACTTGGTTGTATGAAATCTGTACCCGTGTGAACCACATTTCTGATGGGTAGTTTGTTGGCATGCTACAGGTGTGGATATTAGCATGAACACTCATTTGAAGACTGTAAAGCTTACACTGAAGGGAAAGAACCCAGTGACTTTAGATCACTTGAGTGTGAGGGGTACCAATATTCGATATTATATCCTTCCTGACAGCTTAAATCTTGAAACGTTGCTGGTGGAAGAGGCGCCTAGGGTGAAGCCCAAGAAACCAACTGCTGGTATCGCAAATCTCTTATGTTTTTTCCATACACAGAATCATATTTGCATTTTGGTCCAATGTGTATCACTTCATCTGAGCAGCTTTAACTTTTTCTCCCCATTCCCAATTCAGGAAGAGCTTTGGGTCGGGGTCGTGGCCGAGGTCGTGGGCGTGGACGTGGTCGTGGCCGCTAATTGTTATGTTGCAGTCATCCTAATTTTTGTGCAATCTGGTTATGTAAACTTCTGTATTGTGGGAGAGTTAGTCCGATTATGTTCCTGTCCTGGAGGAATTATATAGATTAATATCTGGCAATGTTAATTTGCTTCTTTGATTTTAGGTATTGCTATGACATATCTTGGATGTTTCGTTGAAATCACATGATCTATTCCTGTTTCAAACCGAGTATTTTTCACCTATACTATGCTTTGGTAACTCTAGTTCATCCAGAACTAATATGCTGTCTGATCCAGAACTACATCTCAGTTTGATGACCCCAGGAAGTCGTACAATAGAGCAAATGGATTTGTGTGTGTTCATATGGATTATTCATCCTACTTTTTTTAAAAAAAATGAAAAATATCTTTTTAGAGGAGGAGGGTGTGAGTTTTAAGAGCATTTGCTTCTCTATCCATATGATCCGTCAACGAGGGTGCATTTGTAAGAAAAAGTAAGATAATGGTGATATTGAGTCATCGATGACAAATAATATTATCGTTAAATATTGAGGCAATGCTTGTGCGTGAAATGATGTTTATCTACTTTGGATGTCATTTGGGTAGAGAAGCAAATACCCCACAAAAGGCTGATGCTATTAATTTTGGAACTGGCTTAAAATTTCAACTTTTTTTAATTTCAAAGGGAAAAAAAGTCTAGTTTATTTGGATTTGGGTTTATTGAACTGTTTTTTCATTAGTTTTTTGGGCAAAATTAGTTTTTATCATCACAACAAAAAAGTTGAAAAATGGGACTTGTTTAAGGACTTATAAGGAAAAATCGATTTTTTCAAAAACACTTCAAACTTCTATTTTACACAAAAAAAAAAATCAGCTCCAAACGGGCTCATTACATATTTACTAAACCTGTAAGACAAATTACTGGTTCATTCTCGTTGTTTCTCATGTTTAGGGATGATAATGAACAGAAGAAAATAGGTATTTGTCTAAATTCGCTCTGTTTGGACCAAAAAAAGACTATACATATTAGATGATAGACGTATACGAGAATACTTGTATAAACCCGTGTGAGAATAAAAGCGAAGATAAACTGGAACTTACCCCCGCCCGGTGTCACCCTGTTATACCCGTTATTTTACATATATATATATATATATGCTCCCAAATCCCACATGAAGTCCTAACTGAATCACTCTCCAGACTTCTCAATGCCTTCACCTTCATTGAGCGTCTGAGCCCCATGTCCATTAGTTGTTCGTTGATCGCAGGCTCTTAGGACCGTGAAAACAAACACCATCAATTGTGTTATTCTTACTATAACAGAAACTTCAACACTGAAAGCTTTAATATACAACCGTCCAGTCCCAAGTTATGTAGATAGAAATAGTGACTGCTAGTCATCATTTATGAAGTTGTCAGCATGATTAACACTTCTTTACTTACTTCCCCAAATACTGGTGTGGTAATTTCAAAGTCCAAACAATTCTCAACCGCCTAATACTTCTTGCTTTATCCATATTTCATATGACAAATCAACTTCTATCCATATTCCTTACAGTAAGCTACTAGTAAACAAGTGAATTGGGCTGGGGAGGGTACGGGACGGGGCAGGGTGAAGGCGGGAACGGGAATTACAAATTTACTTGTGGACGAAAATGAAGATAAAAATTACACCCGTTAACGAAGATAAGCGAAAATTTTTTAAGCAGGTATGATAATGAAGAATTCACCCCCTTATCCGCTTTGGTCCGCTGCCTTCCCTACACACGATCCTTTTCATTAAGTAAGACCTTAACCCAAATCTTGCCCCATAATCCAGCATGCGATCAGATGATTGGGCCTTTTGGGCTGGGCCCAGCTGGACCACCCGAGTTTGTCGGGCAACTCACAGCCGTCGTCTAGCCCACGCATAGAGCCATGGCCTATGAAAGATAAATGCTCGCTGGATAGTGCCTATCTTGCATCAGAAGCAAGAGGAGGAGAAGAGGCAGCAGAAGATCCATGGGGGAGGGAAAGTCGAGGGCTGTGAAATCTGTGGCTGTTGTATTCGGAGCCCTAGCCTGTGGGTGGCTAGCCATAGAGCTCGCTTTCAAGCCATGGATGGACAAGGCTCGAGCCGCCATAAACAAGTCTGACCCTACTCGCGACCCTGATGATGCCGAGATAGTCAACAACATCGACCCAGCTAAGAAGTCCCCGTACGACAGCGATTCCTCCGATGACCACCATTGATTGTCAGATTCTAAAACCCTATCTGTTCGATTAAAGCTTTTTAAATATGATTTTTTTGTGTCGGATTAAGAAGCTACCGATAGATTTTACTCTTTTATTTGATATGATATCTTTATATTAGTATAAAATTGCTTCCATTGACAGTGAATGATGCCGAATTTTTATTCTTACATCAATTTACTACGATTCATATGAATCTGGTTTGAATTTTATCGTGAAATTTACTGCACGAGCACGTCCTATTTCTTTTGTAACGACGGTATTTTTTTGGGTTTCGTCGAAATTGTATTTTTCTTGATATCTCCAAAATAGAATTTCTGAAAACTGTTAATTCGGCTTAGTAACGTGGAAGGATAAAAATTTGGTTTTTATACACCTAATAACTAAAAAATGTTTTAAAATTAATTTAAAAATAGAATTAAAAATTTTAAAATTTATTTACAAAATATTCTAAAATGTTAGCTAAAATATATCAAATTATCTTGAAACACTAAGAACAATTAAGGTATTGATGGAATTATGTTTATTTATTTCGACTTTATTTAATTTAGTTACGAGTTTTTAGGGTTCTAATGCCATAATTTACCGTTTGATCCCTAGTGATTAAACATCCCGGCTTTATTTTGGTTTGACCTACCACTTTGTAGATAATTACTTCATCCGTTTCTAAATATCTATTGTTTTACACAATTTTTTTTGTTCCATAATATTTGTCGTTTAATGAAATTAAAGCATAATTAATATTTTTCTTCTAAATTTATCCTTAACTTTTCAATACATCAGATTAGGTGGAGGCTAAGTGTCTTTCATATTCCTTTCCTTCCCAATACGTATTGAATAAATATATTTTAGTTTTGTGTAATTATTTTTTTTTTAAATTAGAACTATTTAATAACTTTTTTAATTTTTGCGCAAAAATCTTAAACGACAAATATTTAAGAACGGAAGGAGTACTAAATTACGTGTATAATCAATTTACTTTTATAAAAGATACAGTAACATTGTGCTACAACAAATCTCTGATTGGTGGACTAGTTAGTTAGTTAATCCAAGGTGCCTCGATAGAGAGTTATTAATTTTCTAATTGTAGTTATAGCTAATAATTTCGGGCAGTATCAACATAAATCATACAAAATTTATGAAATTAAGGGAAAATCTCATTTTACCCCCTAAATATACAAAAATTCTTAATTTGTTACCTGAATGATTAGTTTTTTCACATTATCATTTCAAAGAAATAAAAAACGTTATAATATGGTTCACTGTAATTTGTCTTATTTTTTGTTTGATTTTTCGTCTATTTTGTGTCAAATCAACTAATCATCAAGTACAAAACAGACGGATGATCAAACAAAACTAAGACAATAGAGCACATTAAAATGTTTTTATTTCTTTGAGGGGATAATGTAAAAAATATTAATCATTGGGAAACAAACTAAGAATTGTTGTATCTTTTAGGGACAAACTAAGATTTACCCTGAAATTAAATTAGGATTTAAAGGTCAAACTGTAGTATTTCGAGAAGAAAAAAAGAGTAGAAAATAGAGTAGATACGGATGCTGACAAAGTTGTGGTGGATTACACACTCACTTATTAAAACAGTCCAACAGAGAAATAAAAGGATTCTAATCATCAAATGGGTACTGCTCATACCTAATTGTACAGTCGTAGAGGACAGATCGAGCCCCAATCCGGCTCTCACAAGCACCAAACATGGTTGTCTTGGCTGCACCAAGGCAGGTGGAGCAGTCTGAACTTGTGAGATTTTGGTTACAAGCAGCATGGCCATAGGCAAAGGCGTTGGGGTATGGAGAAATGTTGCGATAGTCATAACCTTGGCGGGTGGGCGCGACAGACTGTAACTCTGATAAGATATAAGCTAGACTTATGGCGAAAGGATCGGCTTTTGCATACACCCCGGAGTTGCACAGAACATTCTTCACGTTGGTGTTTGGTTCGGATCTTACAATACCGCATAGCCCCAAACCACCGATTAGTAATCCAGTTATAATCACTGTCATCTGGGTTAGGAGACGACCCATCTCTCTCTCTAGCCTCTCTGATGAGATATGAAGCTTTGGTAGAATTTCCTTGAACAGGTCTTTGCTCTATCGGGTTTTCCACCGGTTTTGATGACTATTATGAGGTTCCTGTCTTTTGTTTGTATAATATTGCAGGGTCATGACCTTTTCTGGTTAGTCTATTATTGGTTAATTACACTAGAAATCCCAAAGATTGAATTTAGTTCATTTTAGTTCTCAATATTTTAATTATATTATTTTGGTCACTGAATTATTGAATAAGTTTTTATTTAATCCCTCAAACAGAAAACATCTAAATTGTTTACATTTTTTTATCATAAATTTATCACGTGATACTTAAATATGGACAAAAAATAATTTGGGTAACTTTTGATTAAAATTTGCATAGCTCTCGATCAAAATTTGGGTATTTTATGTTCAAAATTGTGTATTTTGGAAACTTTTTAACCAAAATTTGGGTAAAAATTTAGTCAAGAGTTATTCAAATTTTTTTTTTGCCCAAATTTAGTTATTACGCGACAAGTTTATAATAAAAAATTGTTAACAATCTGAATGTTGTCTGTTTGAAGGATTATATATATATATATATATATATATATATAATACTTCAGGGATTAAAATGATACAATTAAAATATTGAGGATCAAAATGAGATAAATTTTATATTTTGAGGACCTCTAACGTAATTAACCCTAGTTTATTTCTCTTGTGGTTAATGCCGGACGTGCAGGCCAAATATATATGATTTAAATATCTTGTTTGAATATTAAAATTCGTCTTTGATGGTAAATAATTTAGCAAATCAGTTAGTTTTAACAGAACAAGACACAAGAAAGGGCGGGGTCGTCTTTGTTTTTTTTTTTCTTAATAAATTAGGAGGTATTCTAATTGTTTTTTAGAATAATTGTCTAATCATTTCGATCTTGTTTATTCTCCAATCTCCTGTTTATTATCTATTTACTCGGATAAATCTCTAGAAATGGTTCCAAAAGACCGATAAGATTTTATTATTAGATTATCCCTTTTGAAGTTCTAACTCTCGAAAATTATTAATTTTCAAGCGGGTAAACTTTAGTTAACCCCTTGTAGTCCCAATGTAGGGTTATTTTTCATTGTTTATGTGGTTTCAAACAGTTTTATGTGCTCGCTAGAGGTCCATACAACACCAGATGGCTCATAGGTTAAAATTAATGGCTAGCTTTTTAGTGCAAAATCAGCAAGTTCTCCTAGTTCTTCCACCTTTTTTGATAACACTTCAACTTTCTCCATTGTCTCCATCAATTGTAACACAAAGCTTGCTATGGGAAGCCCTTCGCCATTCTCTGTTGCTCCGAGCTTGAACGGAGACGGGACTCGGCTCAACTCCAGTTTCAGGGGCTGCAATTTTGGTACTATCAAGGCCTCGGCCCTGCACCTCTTCATTGTAAAGATGCTCTCTTCAAGCTCTCTCAAAGTCCATGCAATTAACAACCCAGCCAGTTCACAAGGTTCTTTGATCGACTGTCGTAGTGTTGATGTGGGCTGATGACACAAATTTAATTGTAGTAATAAACCATCTAATTTATGTGAATTTGTAAGAAACAAATTAAATTGATTCATTGTAAAGCATTAAGACGAGTATTTCAAACCTGTTTAGGTGATTGGAGACATGCTTTCAGAGAAAAAATGGTTGCAGCAAGCTCTCTAAGAACCTCTCCAATCTCTAGGTACTTCTCCCAAGGATAAGAGAATCCAAATTTCCCATGCCATGGCTCCCACCTTGCATAATTTGCCTGCCACTTATAGTCAGATTCTTTCTTCTTTTCGGGTTGATTAAAGTCAGGGCTGGCTTAATAGGCAGGAAACTTAAATATTTGAGAGGGCCCCCAAAAAAGAGGGGTCTCGAATAATGTTATGGTCTTTGAGAATTTGATTAATCGCAAATTAAACATCAAAAAATCTCTTGAATTTAATTTATACCCTCAATTTTTTTTTTTTTTTTACTTGTACCCTCAAAGATATAAATATGTATTAATGCGCATCTGAAGCTAACAATTGTCAGTTTATCGTCTAAAATTAATTGGATAAATTATACTTAAATTCTCTTAAGTTTGTCACTTAATCATTTGGACCCCTCACATTTATAATATTACTTCTACACCTCTTGACGTTTGTGCACATATATCACGTAACCTCTTGTTGTTATTGTCTATTAATATAACCGTTAAAAAATATAATGTCATCCTAATAAAAAATTATAATTTTCATACTATTCTTTATTTTGTGGGTTCGTTATACTCTAAAATTAAAATCAAGCTTACTATTTGTATGTCCAATATAATACAAGTATTTATATAATATCATTTATATTTAAAGCAAATTATGCAATACATCACTTGAACAGAATTATTCGAATGCCCAATTGGATGAACATTTTTAGTCATATTTGGATTTTCAGGGAATTTAGGTGTAATATTTTAAATGTTAGGGGTCTAGGTGATTAAGTAACAAACATGAGTGAATCTAAGTGTAATTTATCTATTATGTTTTAGATGACAAAGTGACAATAATTTCAGGTGCACATTAATACAGATTTATATATTTGAGTGTGCAAATTGATATTTTTAATCTTTGAAGATACAAATTGAGATTGAAATAATCTTTTGAGATACAATTTGTAATTAACCTTTGAAAATTTTATGTTATATACAACCTAAAATATTTAGTCTGTACAGGCCCAATTAAATATATATTTAAAAAAAACCTAAACCAAAATAAAAAGGTCCAACCATCTTTCTCTTTTTAATCAATAGTTTACTCATTTTAGCTTTTAGAAACCCTTCAACATAACCTCAAAAGTTAACCCATGCAATTTTACTCGTTTTAGCTTCTAAGAGTCTCCCTCTCTCTAAATCGTAGGTACCCATTACAAAACCATGAGTATGAACAATTTAAAGCACATGAATTTTTTTTTGGCTTCTTATTTAGTTTTAAAATAATATTGTCTTAACATTAAGAACTTCGTAAAATATAGTCAATTTTTCGATATTGATTGATTAGATTTATTTCAGAATTAAAAGTCTTAAGAAAAGTTTTACAAAACTCAAATAGAAACATTAAATTATATTAAAGGATTAGATTCTTTTTCAAATGCATACATTGCTTATTGAATAGTATTGACAATACCTTCAACAGATGTTTCTATTGAAAAAGATTTTTCAAAATTAAAACTTATAAAATCTTATTTATAATCAACTATGTCACAACAAATATTGAATGACCTACAATTATCCATTGGAAATGATATATTAGTAAAACTTGAATGTAAAAGTTTAATCACTAAAAAGGAGAAGAATAATTTTTAAGTAAAATATTAATCATATAATATATTTAAAATAAATTTTAAAAGGCCCAATTTAAAACTCTGCATAGGCACCTATTTATATCAAGCCGGCCCTCGTAAAAGTGATATTCCTCTAATCACAATCTACATATAAATCATGGATCGGGACATGTTCAAACACTCCTCGATATGTAGCAAGATCATCGTACGGTTTAAGCTATTAATTTACGTTTTTTTTTTTTTTTTTATGAAATAATGCAGCAATTCATTTTCTGGGCACCAAACTCCTAGAGTTCCCGTTGTCTTTCTGACAAATTTTCTAGTCATTTAAGTTTATGAAGACTTACTGCCAATCTTTAATGTAAAGTAAATATAGAGTACATTGCGGAAAATAAGTGTAGAGCAAAAGAAATATAATACCAGTGATTCGTCATTGGACTTTGAGTGTAAAACTGACATGCAGCTGGAGAAATTAACTCTTTTTTCCTTTTCACCCACTGTTTCGAAGTACTGCTCCAAGCATTCTACACATTAAAATGACACAACAAATCATCAAATTCTTTTCTTCCTGCATGAATGATTCGTAAAGTGTGAGAAATTGACTTATTTATATGTGGACATAGTGAGATTGTGATTTTTATTATGGGTAAGATGTGATTCAGAAAAAGCTTCTCTTCAGAATTTTTTTGAAAAATGTCGATTAATCTGTAGACAAGATGAATTATAGTAATTTGTTCCAATCCGAGATATAAACAAAGGCATGGATAATCAGACTCATTAAAAGACCCGATGTCAGTAACATATAAAAAGAAGGATCTATTTTGACGCAAAGTGGATGTCCTTTTCGGACTTTTTTTTTGGTATAAAGATGGATGGATATACCTTCAATACAGCATGCGAGTTTTTCAAACTTAGCAGCAGTGGAGTAGTGAAGTTCATCGCTAGCCCACATTGGGAAGATGAGTAAGCTGGTGAATATGCATACTGAGAAACCCATTCCGATGGTTGAGAGACGATGGCGTGCTAATTTCACGAATTCATTGGCACGAACACCAGATACCACAATTAGGTTGAAGGTAAGGATGAAGATCATGGCTCCATAGTCATATCTCCTTCTAATGCTAGGCACCAATCGACAGTATGTTGCAGCAGCACCTATTCATGATCACGACAATGTTCTTTAGTTAATAAATAGTCACTGATTCTACAAACGAAGCGAATTGGGACTTCTCACATATTAGATGTATGATCAATTTGAGAAAATTCTTTCAAATGCTTAATTTATCGTCTAAAGTAATTTTCCATTTGATTCTAATCGAAAAGTACAATTCAAAAATGCTAACGGAAATGTGTAACGTGAAACATGTATGGTGAAGATGGAAGTTTGAGGGGACAAATGAATGGAAGAAAGACAGACTCTTTTCAGTGCCAAATATGCTTTATTCTTACCAAATATAAATACTGAAATGCCAACAACAATGGCATTCCCAGTACCGTCAACTTTATCGGCTAAAATTGCAGCCAAACACCCCAATGCACAACCTAGTATAGTTCCAATTCCACGATTTAGGCCCTTGCTGAGCATTGCACCTGACAGACATATAAATATATCATTAACCTAATCTTTATCATACTCATCATATAAAAAAGTCATACTTAGTACACAAATTGTTTACAAAATCAATCAAAACATTTCAAAAATTATTGCACGAACCTGCGAAGAACTCGAAGACAACCACAACAGTCATTATAGCCCATATGGTATTATCTCCAACTTGCTCGTACAGTGGATCCAGGAGATATAGAAATGAAACCAAAACCAAGGCAATTCCGACCTTGATACTATGAACCACTTTGTTCCTGTCATTCTTACACTTCATACCTATAAGAGAAGAACCAGTACAACGAAAAGAACATTGACATTTCTTCTTCGGATTGAGAGCAATTCCATCTCCATTTGGAATATTTATCATGGTTGAACTCATGGTTAACTGTTTCATTCAACTCTTTTGACCTTTCTACTGAATTTAGACTTGTTGGGAAGTTGGTTTGGGGAGAATCTATTTATATACACGACCATAGCATGAGATATAGGAATTGGCAAGTGGGTGGATAATATTACTCGTTGTCAAAGTAAAATCTCCTTCAATACAATTTATCTCAATTACACGAAGAATTTGTATACCACTCATCGCTTACAAGCAACCCCAACCATATATAATGGGGTGATCTACACTTAAAATAAAATTGAGAAAAAAAAATGTATTACAAGAGATTTAGAGTTGAACAAGTCGAGTAGAGGTTGTAAATGGATAAGTTGAGTTGGTTATGGGTTTGTTTGAAATTGGGTTGGGTGCAAAACAAATCCAATTAATTTTTAACTCATTTAATAAACGGGTTATAATGGATTAAGTTAAACTCATTATCTCGTAAAATAATTAAACTTTAAATATAAAAACATACTAATATATCAAAACACATGCATATTAATATACCAACATACACGCAAGCACAAACTAAATATACCAAGACACACACACACACATAAATACGCAAAAAAACACGCAGTTGGGTCTAAGTCCGGGGCCAAGGCCAAGTCCAGAGTTGGTGTCAGGTTCTAGTCAGCGACTGGGTTGGGTTAAGGTCCAAGGTCGGATTCCGGTGTGTACGTTTTTGTGTATTAATGTGTGTGTGTTTTGAGTATATGTGTGTATTTTGGTGTATTAGTATATATGCGTTTATTTTTTAATGGGTCAATGTGTATTTGATTTTAACACTTTTCATACTTTGCACCCTAAAAGATATCTTAATTTTCAATTTGTACACTGAAAGATTATTTTTTTAATAATGCACCCTAAATGTCATAAATTGGTTTCAATGTGATTCTCGAATTAACATCAGTTTCAGAATTTCTTTAAAATTTAATGCACTTGTCATCTACGTGTATTGCTCTTGGACAAAAGCATAAAGTCATTATTCATATTCTTGGGTGACATGTGCATTAATTTTTAACAAAATCTGAAACGAATGTTAGTCTAATAGTCACATTGAAACCAATTTTTAACATTCAAGGTACAAAGTGAAAAAAATAATCTTTCGGGGTATAAAGTGAAAATCGAGATATTTTTCAAGGTACAAAGTGTAAAAATTCCTTTATTTTATTATTTTTGTTATTGAATAAAAAAATAAATATTCAATCAAATAGGTACCAATTTATAATTTATTTTAACATGTTTAATTAAAATGAGTTTAATTATCCAACTTATTTAAAATTTACATATAAGTATTTAATTTATTTATTTATAAATTAATTAAACAAATTAAAGAATAATGAATTAAGATGATCACTTCTAAAACCGAATGTTAAAAGGAAGATATTTTGGTCTTTGGGCACCAAAAAAAGGAAAAAAGAAATACAAAGGAGAGTGGTCTTCCCTGGCATTAATAGCACACCTCCAAATGATGGTATGGAGAAGGGTCTTTTCGCAACACCACAATGCAATGCCGGCCGTTTAAATCACATCTAGTGTGGGCATTTGGTACTACAAGTTGTGCTATGGTTGTCTAGTCCTTGTACACGATTTGACTCGATGTTTGATTATTAAAGAAAATCAATTCCTAAAAAAATCTTTTAATTTGGCAAAGAACTTTGTCTCTTAATTGGCATACAATTTACACAGTGGTCTTCAAAATTAGGAGGACTTTATTTTACTAATTTTCTTTGAATTATCGTAAATATCATTTAAGGGATCCATTACTTATTTAATAATTGTGATTAATTAAATTAATATTTTTTATTCAAAATAACATTTTCCATAGTAGTATAGCAAAAACGCCAACTTGACAAATAGTCAATTGACAAGTGTACGAATTACTTTGGGAATTCCGAGGTAAATTGAAAACTTATGGTTGAGTATTATTAAACAATTATCTACTTTAAAAACTTGGGGCGTAAGATAAGTATTTATCTAATATTCCCCTTCACGTGTGACCCTACTTTGGGTGGTCTATCCACGTGATTTTTTTTTTAGGGAGGAAATTTGGTGAGATTCAAACTCATGACCTCTAACTTTTATAACATATTAAATAACCATCTACTCCAAAAGGTTAAGTTGTTAGAGAGAAGTGTAACATAAATATTTATCTAATAAACTGTTAGAGAGGGGTGTAACATAAATATTTATCTAATAAGTATGATCTTTGAAAATTCAGAAGTCACAAGTTCAATTTATTTCCTTAACCATAAGGGCTAGCCACTCATTTCTTTTTTTGGTTATAGGGTGTCAAGACTTACGCCGACTATACCCTCAAACTAAATGATTGACCATCGTAATTTGAACTATGTCAGAGAATGCACGCTCAAAGGTCTATCAAATCGATTGAAAAATATTAAAATACCCAAGAGAAGATAAATAATAAGTGGAGAGTCCACTGGTTCATGCATGCCTAGTGTTGTTGGCAGCTAAAGAAAATGGATTGCTGGTCACTGATGCACATTACTATTAATAGTTCACCTAAGTTAGGTTTGGTCATTGTCACTTCCTTATGTTGCTCTAAAAAAGTTTAACTTTTGATCATTTAAACAATGTAGTCGCTTCTACGATAATGTCCCATATTTATGTCAAAAAGGATTGGAGGTCATTCAAGAAATTTGGAAAATCTATTGGGAATTCCTCTATTACTATAATTACATTTAGCTCCCTAAATATTTATCCAAATAATTGACACTCCATCTCTACTTTGTCAAAGATTTTGTTCTATTCCCCCTTGTCGTTACAATCTGTCAAGCACATTTAGCCGTGATTGATGTTAGCAAATTTTATTTACCAAATGTCAAAATTGGTCGTATGGGTTTTGTTTTTATGTCGAATTGAAGTATGATAACATAGGATGTCCTCAAATTTACGTACAAATTACAAAAAATATCTACTTTTGCTATATTATCCCGTATTTTAATTTTTTTTTTGATAAGTTTGACTTTGATGTTTGAAGGAAAAAAAATTAATTGAAGGGTCTAACAGTGTGTTTTTTTTTCTTTCACCATTAAAAAGTTAAGCAAAAAAGGGGGGATTTAGTGTTATTTTTCATTCCGGACGGGACTTTTTGCAATGGAGATAAATATGAAACTGGTCTAGCAATTGCTTTATATGTTGAGACTAAGGCCCACTACAAAAATTGGGCCAAGTCTAGAGAGGACGGATCAGTAAGGCCCAATAAGATGGAGAATTTGTTGGTTTGACTCTTTTTGGGTCTTTTTCAAAGGTTTCAGAAGTTCCAATGGCAGGACTAGTTGATGCCTTGACTGTTGGGTATAAGGTTAATAAAAATATTATTTTAATCTAGAAAAAAATAATGATGCTTTAATGTAAACTTCAGTTTTTCTATTTCTCAGGAATTTTTTTTTTCCAAATAAATAATACAGTAAACTACAGCACAGAGATTATCAAGCTTTTATTTAACATATACAGAATTTTTGATTGAATTTGTTTTTTGAAAACTCAAATTTCAATTTAAATTCGGATAAGAAAGACTTAAAACACCCTTTTCTTGACCTAAATTGAGAGAACGCGAAACCTTTTATTCAAAAAATTTCGAGTTATCTTCTTCTCTCTGTCGTCTATGAACAATGGTTCCCCTGTCAAAACCACAGCCACCTTCGTCTCACAATAAAATTATTTTCTCCATCCGTCCGTGACCACCATGGAAGCAACGAAAGATGGGTTTTTGTTTGCTTTAAGAAGTTACAAATTTTTGTCCGTCTGTTACCACCATAGAAGATGGGTTTTTGTTTGGTATCGAAAGAAATAATGTCGGCTGCTATTTTGTTTTAAAGAAATGAGCTCTTGAGACAATAGAAATTTAAAAAAAAAAAAAAAAATTTGAGTATAAATTTATTTTTACCCATAAAAAAGATTCTTGCCGAACCAAGTTTTTATTCATTTTTTTTTCTTTAAAATTGAGTTTGAGTTTAGGTGAATGTCGGAGATGCCCTTAAATGTCAAACAATGTCCGACCCAATTGACGTAATCTGATTAACTTGTGATACGTGCACGGTTAGATCATTTATGTCGGGTTGATTTGAATTATGTCGAAAATTTCAAAATTTAAATTTGACATGTTTAATAATCATGTTGAGATGTATAAATACTAACCTCATCTGACCATTAAATGGGTTATTCGAACCCGAATTATTTGATACGTTTAGTAAACATATCATTTTCGTGTTTACACACATAACATGATCGATTTAGCCTGTTTAAAACATATAACACATACCTATTTAACACACATAACATATTTTTACACTTGTTTATTACCATTAAATACACCATTCAATTATTCATTCAAAATTTCAAATAATTTTTTCACAAATAACATATCACATCTCATTAATAAAATTAATTAAAATGTATTCAAGTTTCAACCAAAAAATTAAAGTAAGAACAATACTAATATACTGTCATAATAATGTTAAAAACTATACTGTCAATTGCAATAGTAAAAGCAAAAACTAATAAATAATAATGTTAAAATCACATTAATCATATATAATTGACAAGTTATACCGTAATAAACAGGTTAAACGAGTCTACAATGGATTATGTCGGATTCGTGTCCAAGTCATGTCAACCTGTTTAAAATTTACGGGTTAATCAGATCAAAATCGGATTGATCTAATTTTGACATGAATCTGATATGATTTTTTTTGTATTTAAGCTTGTTGACCCATTTTAATTCATTTAATTTTGGGTTTAATTCGTTCGTGCTAACGTATCGTTTTAAAAGTTGACAATAGTAACTGCAAAACATTATTCTACACAACTAGAACAACTTAAAGAAATTTCTTAAGATTTTTACCAAAATTGGTTCTAACTACTGTAGACTCATATGCAGTAGGTCTAGGTCGGATTTTTGAATACAATCAACTAAGGGCAGAGTCACCCTTGGGCTAGGGTGGGCACATGCCTCCCCTCATTTTTTTTTTTCCCTTTTTGTTGGACATGTATTTTTTTGAAATAAAATTTAGATATAATTAATTATGCCAACCCTAATATTGTGTATTGGTAATATTAATTTGAATAAATTCATAAATAAATGATTGCTAACTTTTCGAATAATGCTATTAAGATCTAATACATTTGTGATATTAAGTTTAATAGTGAGTCTTAATATTTAATAAATTCTACTATCTATTCAATAGTTGCAAACTATTGTGTCTCCACCAACTAAATCTCAAATTAGATGGAACTAATATTATTTTTAGCTTTTAGACACTTTAGACATGTTCGAATATTTTTTGAACATATTGAAGTTATTTTATATAATTTTTTTAAATTTTAAGTTTATTTTTTTATTGAATAAAAATGTGTGTCGTTATATAGTAAACTATAGAATTATAAATGGAAGATTGTTATTATGAGTTTATATATAAAAGAAATATTGTTGATAAAGTTGAATTGCAACTCTTTTAAATAATAAAAACATATCAGTGTCAATTCTAAGTGATAATAATTAGTTGCATTCTTGATAAGAAGTTCTAATTTTTTTTTATTCATATTATGTATATAGGTTTTTAATCTTCTATGTCTATTGAACTTTTAAGTATTAAATATAATTTCAATAAATTTGAATTTAAGAATTTTTATGATCAATTAAAAAAAAATTAAAACGTACTAATGTGCCCACCCTAAATTTTTGTTTTTAGCTCCGCCCCTGTTATCAACGGTAACTTGTGTCTCAAGGTACGATATAATATGAATGATTTTGAGAGGGATATTGATGGATGTTAGATAAGTCTATTTAAGACAGTTAGATAAATTTATTAAAATCTATTTAATTTTATATTATAGATTTGGGTCATCTAGACACATAAAAATTTGCACCTTGAATGTTATTTTAAGTCCAATTTTAATTACATTTACGTCGCATTTCTATTTTCATTATCAAGTTTTTGGGTGAGGACTATTCTCACCTTTTATATTTCATTTCTCGCCTTATTTTACTCTTTAATCTCAAAGTATAAAATTCATCTTATCTATATTATGTCTATCTCATTAGTAATTACGTCTACGTTTTCTATAACCACCCATTAATAACTAAGTTCGTCATTTTGTTCTTGCTCATTATATATTTTAACTATGGGTAATCTATGTTTGAAATAATGATACAATATGAATAATTTTGAGAGATATATTAGTGACCGTTAGATGAGTCTATTTGAGACCGTCAGATAGATTTATAGAAGCCTGTCTTATTTTATATTATAATTTATAAACTATGTCTTCTTCGTGATTTTCTCTTACTATCCCATCTCACACATATTTGTGTTGTTTAGTCATATTGTTAATTTTATTACTTTTGTCCCTCTAACTTTTATTTATATAAAAATAACCAATTACGTTTTGATTCGGAGTGTAACTTAAACTGGTTTACTTGAATCTACCTCATTATACTGCATATTTGGACAAAGATTTCTAATTCTCAAATCAATTAGAGTTTTCTACATCAAATTTCTGAAGTGATATCAAGTTCGAAGTATTAACCTTAACAGTTTCCTGCCAAATAATCTTTTATTTTTAGGTCAGAATGCAAATACCAAATAATTTATCAGATTCTCATAACGTAAATATTGGTAATACTATATATTCTTGCCTCATGGATTTTTTTTGACTTATAGTTTGTAAACATATGAACTTAACATGACACGACTCTAATGTTGACATCATCGACAATTTTTTTCGTGGGTATTGACACAAATACGATAAGGTTATGACTATGGTAATTCTTAAAAAAAATTCAATAACATATTAAATTTGATGCATTGATAGCGCTATTAATTACAAAAATAAAAAACTCCCCCCACCCCCCGGGGTCCCCACCAAAATGAAACAATCGACTGTTAGATAGCGTGATCAGGGAAATCTAGTTAATCAATGGATTCATGCCACATATGCTCCGAGCTTGATTTTCACGTTGGCAATAAGATATTAGCAATTTCTTTTAAATTTTTTTTTTTTGGGAGGGAGAGTGGGAAAGAAGCTTGAACTTTTTAAGATAAATCATTCACAAGATAAAGAGTATTATTCGACCAAAATCCGTTGGTTATTTCTTTTAGATAAATAACACCTTATCTTCTAGATTAGTTATAATTATAATTCTCCATTCATCTTAGACAAGAGTAGTCTTACACTAATAAAAAAAAAAGATAAAAAAATAATAATTAAATAATGTGACCCATTTTTATTAGAAAATAGGCACATGAAGCTCACGTGATATATGGATCAAACGGTGCATCTACATTTTTTATGCCTAATTTTAACTATAGATGTGAGAATCAAGAACAATACAAATTGGAACAATTGCAAAGAACATAGGTCCATTTTTTTTTAAATCGATACAAATGAGCTTGGTCAACCGTCTTCCTAAGCACCCTCGTGTTATTCACATGATTCCTTGTTGCAAAACAAGAATACCCAACATAAGGATTTTGATTTTTTTTTTTTTTGGGGGGGGGGGGGGGTGGGGCAAGGTCGGTGACATTGGTTAAGTCCTCTTGACTTTTGAAAGTGAAAATCTAATCCACTAACTAGATATGTGGTTCTGATTGAAAAAAATAAAAATCCAAACACTTTTTATGATGGTGATATATATGGCTGTAATTTTCGATTCATTTGAAACGTGAGATATTTCATGAGCACTGCCACAAAACCTTTTAGAAACATGGGGCGAGGGTTAATATACAGGCACCGGTTTTATTACTTCGGATAATGCACAAAATAGATTTATATATCATCTGTTGAGTAATTAATATAAGTAATAAATATAATAAATATAACCATAAGATCAATACAAATAACACATAGATATAGAATGGTTCGGTCAGATTGATCTACTCACAAATATAGAGTGACTTGATCAGAGCGACCTACTCCACTTTGAAGATAATAACGGTAGCCGGATGACATTATTGATAATGTAGCAAGAGGCGGATGACTTTATTAACAACGTAGCAAGAGGGAGCAAAAGTCCACTCAGAGTGAGGTGAGATGTCTCTGTGTGAGATATAGAGGTATGCCCTTCTCATGGAGAGAGCTTATAATTTATATGTACAAAGCCTTAGTTGAGGCGGTGGTGTGAAATGATAGGTGACTAGTCTTTCAGGGAGAATAACTATAGCTAAAGATAAGTACAATTAAAGATAGTCTTGATTTTCGAATAATTTTTCCGATGCTCATTCTTAACGTGCACTGATCTTCTGGGTCTCTTGAATTTTGGATTGAGCTAAGGTCATGAGTTGGACTTGACTTATCTTTTAGTTGATTTGGGCTTACCCAACCGCATCTAAGCTCATTAACATTACTATTGTCACGTAGTATAATCTATATAATAAAACAGAAGTATATTTGAATTTTATCCCAGTCATATTTTTTTCCTTAAAACAATCATCAATCACTTACCTCACCCATCATCCCTTTGTCAGACTCAAACGTTAAATCATATCACTCATTTTTATCACATATTTAATCATTTATATATTTTCTCTCTAAAAATATAACACTACTCATTTCTATCATACATTTAATTATTTAATATTTAATTAATTTATAATTAAATATATTTTGAAAAAATTTAATATAGTGAGATCGATTTTTTAAAAGCTCGAATTTTATATTTTATCGTACTTTCAGACACGAGTTATGACTAATCGTTTAATAATACACAACCTAATGGATAAGAGTAGTTATTTAAAAAAATAAGAACGATTATACCACATAATAATATTACTATAGTGTAATCTTTAAATAGTTTCTTATAGAAGAAGAGAAGAAGTGAAGAGAAAGAGAGAGAGAGGTGCAGAATAGTTTTTATCTTATTTATTTAGGTGGTTATTAAAGTTATTTTGTTCTCATTGCTAACAGAGGCGATGATTTTGCCACAATTTCTGATTATGAGGGAGGATTAGAGACTGGACTATATGGATGTAAAGTGATATATTTTAATGTTCATTTCATTTTGTGCCATTACGATATAATATTCATCTTTTATGAATTTAATTTTTTTTTAAATTAATATTGCGAGTTAAGAACAGCCGTCTCCCACAATATAATAAAGCCGTTTGAAAATATCACCACCAATCCATGTCCTTGTTGGTGCGGTTCAGTTAAGAACATTAAGTAGATGGGTGTGAAATGAGCGGATAGAGTAGCCAACGTCCGGTCATACCCACCTAATCTTGTTTTTTATTTTATTTTATTTTATTTGATCAAACACCACCAAATCTAGTTGAAAAACAAAAATCTGGTTGGCACTTTCCACCAAAAAAAAAAAAAAAAAAAACACACACATGAACAAAAATAAACAGAACCATATGCAACTAACAAGTCCATGGCCCAAATTATCTGTACCTCTGAATTGTCTACTCTCATACCAACCAGTCAAGTCAAAACTTCATACCCCAACAATACCACCGTACAACCCATATTTTCCTTTTCCACAAGCCCTAGTGCCCCTCTCTCTCTCTCTCTCTCTCTCTCTCTCTCTGTAAAAGACTTGTTCATCTTCCAAGTTAACGACCCTTCTTGCTTTCGGGATCATCTAGTATCATTACCGAATCAGAATCTATCGGTCTCTGACATCCGAGCCTCGAAGTCATCGTCATGCTTTTTGGATCTTCCCATCTGAAAGTCTGCGGGGTGCACATCAGCTGTTCTCGCTTTACAAATCTATACACTTGTAGTCGTATATACTATTTCTTTCTCCACTACGGTTTGGTTGATTAAAGGATTTGATCTTTTAGCTCAGACTCATATTCTCCTTTGAGATTTGTGTATTCCCATATATATTCCATCTACACCAGAATATATTTTCTTTTTTGGTGGGTAATTCCTGAGAATTAATCAGAGAGAAAAACAGTGGAAGACTGAACGTGATCTGGCGGTCCCGGTGACACCTCCGCCACCGAGATGGCCGCACCACCACCTAGTAGCCGGCTACAAGTTATGTTACAGTCGGCGGTGCAGACGGTTCAATGGACTTATAGTCTCTTCTGGCAATTATGTCCACAACAAAGGTAATTGGGTTAAAGCAATAAAAACCATTTGTTGGGATGAATTGCTTGGTTTGATCCTATGTTGGCGTCAGATTTGAACAAAAATCGGATGTTTTTCGGCTTAATCTATGTATTTTGGTGGTGTAGGGTCATGGTATGGGCTGCTGGGTATTACAATGGAGCAATAAAGACTAGGAAGACAGTGCAGCCGATGGAAGTTACCGCCGAAGAGGCATCGCTGCAAAGAAGCCAACAGCTCAGGGAGCTCTACGATACACTGTCCGCCGGAGAGTCGAACCAGCCAACACGCCGTCCTTCTGCTGCCTTGTCGCCGGAGGATTTGACGGAATTGGAATGGTTCTATTTGATGTGTGTCTCTTTCTCTTTTCCTCCTGGAGTGGGGTAAGTTTTGCTGAATCCTCTTTCTTTCATTACTGAATTGAATATTGGTTGTTACATTCATTTTCCGCAGAGTTATAGCTTATATGCTCGATGGATTAAATTTCATTTCATGTAATAATGGAGCTCCATGCAGAAATAAGCAAGTACAAGTAGAAAAGCGTTTTTTTTTCCCCTTTTTAGTCTTTTTGTGGTTAACAACGAGTATGCAAAAACTCTCTCTCTCTCTCTCTCTATTGTCTCTTCTCTTCTTTTTCTGGTCTCTTAGATATTTCTTTCAAATTTTCGATCTTTCAATAAATTCCAGTTCCCATTCAAGGGTAGTAGGACATTCACTAATCCTGCACATAGCCCAAGGATTCCTATGTGGAGGAAGATAAAATGAAGTACTCTCTCTTTCTCTCTTAAAGTCAGTGAGGTGGGTGTGCAAATGAAATGCAGGAAAGCAAGGACACACTAGAAGAGTTAGTCAGAGTGTAAGGACGCTGTGTTAGTATAAGTTGCATTTTGACGTACATATATAGTGGAGTAGTTTGTTGACCAACAATGTTCTTGGAAACAAAACCTGCTTTTGATCTACTTTTTCTTTTTCCATGGACCTCGTAGATAAAATAATTAACGCTGCCCTTAAGTTAGGTGAGAACCACCACCGCCACCACCACCACCACCATGTCGTCTTCTTCCCATTAAGTTCTTCTTGGTTTCTGGTACAGAGTTTAAGTAATGATCAATTTTCTAGATAATGTTTCAGAACAGGTTAAGATTGAAAACTACTTGCGAGACTGTTTATTATATTTTCTCGGACTCTCTTATTATTAAATGACTTGAAGAGAATTAAAATATAGGAAAGAGATTGAATATTGGTTTAGTGGTTCCTGGCACAGGAACGACTGGGGGCGTGCAATATTCATTATCTCTCTCTCTCTCTCTTTGCGGTCCACTTTTGTAACCATATGCTTCTGTTCTTGTCTTTTATATTTAACCTGCAAAAGCTTACCTTCTTTATGCATAATAACAGCTGCCTGTCGAGTTTTGATCCGTACACCTTGATCAAGAAAAAATATTTATTTTTATGGTGATCCATCAGTATTGTTACGTTGTATCACCGATTAATAATATATAAAAAAATAAAAAAATAAATATCATATAAACCAATAACTACCTATTCATACAAATAAATAACTATCCGTTCATGAGTGAATAATTATCCACACTTTTTCGTCAATAACTGTCCAAATATTTGAGATTTATTATTGATTGATGATACTATGCCATCAATACTGACATAATATCACTGTTATATTGAATATTCAAAACCACAACCAAGAAAAAATAGTTGGTACTCATCGAATACCATATTTTACACATCACCTATAAAATAGACATTCCCAATCAAATGTTGTTACTTGTAAAGTTTTTATAATTTATGTTTTAAGAAATCAATACGTATATCCCACAAATTAGTTTTATGACAATTTTTCATTGAATACTCTATGGGTGTGTTTGCTTTAGGTATTAAGAAAGAATGATTGAAAAAAATATGTGAGGGGCCCACCTTATTCCCTTTATTCTCATGTTTGGATACACACTTCGAGTCCAGTATTATCACCTAGAAATAATTTAGTCTCGGATGAATACTGCATTTTCTAATCACATACACGTTCTTAAATATACTCACCTATTTGGTAGGTTTAAATAATCCAATTGAAGTATGTTTTGACAAAAGATATTTTTACCCTCAAGAATTTCTAGAATATAAGGGTCTGTTTGGTTTGTGTTTCAAAAAATAGTATCTCAAAATATTTTTTAAGAAGAGTTTTTAGAAAGTAGTTTTGATATTTGTTGAGATAAAAAACTTGTTTGGTTAGATGATTTCAAAAATAATTTTACAATACAGAAAATAATAAAACTTGTTTGGACAGCCTAAATATATATTTGAACAGTAATTCAAACATTAATATAAAAATATAAAAAAATTATTTTTAGATTGACAAATTCATAAAAAAAAAAATTCAATAAACCAAACTTTAAAATATATATATATATATATATATACACACACCTCACACACAATATATATATACGTATATACGTTTTTATATATACATGTATAAATAAATGTATGTATATATATCTATATTTATATATATACGTGTATGTATATATATTTATATTTATAAATATACGTATGTGTGTGTGTATATATATATATTGTTTTCATTGTTTTCAAAATTTCCAAAGAAAACTCTAAAAACAAGTTACACTTGTTTTCTATTTGTTTGACTCAAATCTCACTTTTTTATCAAAATTTAGAGAACAAAAATGCTAAACAAACAGGTTTTGGGTGTTTTTGAAATTTTGAGAACAAAAAACTGTTTCCGAGATGATAACCAAATATGGCCTAATTTTCTTGAGGATTCTTTAGTAATTTAATATTTATATCATTATTGAATACTTCATCCAAATAGAGTATTGAATGAGATAAATGTGAGACCCACTATTTTTTAATACTTGAATCAAATATGAGATGAGGAAGGATTATAACTATAATTGGTCCAAAGCTCGGATGGATAGGTATGAGATGGACAAATTTGTCTAATTCGATTCTTCCTCATGCCTAAACCAAACACACCAGCACTGACCAAGGTGGTTGTACATTGGCCACACAACACATTTAGGAAGTTTATGTTTTTTATTGTCAAAAGTATTGTTATTTGAATTTAAAAGTTTGCCTTTCAAAAAAAAAAAAATTAAAGTTCAACCTCTAACATTTATTGCTGGATATAGTAGCAGACACTGCCCAATAACATGTTATTATAACGGTTGAAAATTTCTAGTGGACCTCATTTTTAAGTTAAGGTGTTGTGTCAGAATTTAAAATAAATTTTTTTTTGGAAAGTACAGAATTTTGAATTTCAATTGTACCATTTGAAATTAATTAAAAGTTTCTAATTCAAACAAGTTTGTGGATATATTTATTTGTATTCGACAGGCAGTGATTTGTTAACGAATATATGTATACATGTGTTGGTGATATGCAGCTTGCCTGGAAAGGCCTATGTAAAGCGGCATCATGTATGGCTTACCGGCGCCAATGAAGTCGATAGCAAAGTCTTTTCTAGAGCTATTCTAGCCAAGGTACATATCTCTTGCATGGCAATGCCTCTAGTTTGTTCTCGACACCTAGTTTTCCATAGGAAGGGATGTACTTAAACTAAGAAGAATAATAAAAATAAAAACTGAAAAATCTGACAAGTGATATAAATAATATTTAATTACTTAAAAAGTCCAAGTGTTAAAATTCGAGCAATTTTTGTATCTCCCGTCCCATCTAATAAAATTACATATAAAAAGAAATTGATCAAGAATGAATGCAGAAGAATTGAGTTACATGGTTCAGTAAATCATAAGATTTACATTCATAGGCCAAAGCCTAATAGACTATGATCTATCATTAATTTTTAGTACTGATTGAATACATACGAGCTGGGCCCTATACACAAAGTGAAGATACAATCAGATATTATTCAGTTACACAAATATATATATATCCAAGAAATAAATCATAATTTGAAAGTTGATTTGGGTGACCTCGTCAAATCACTTGATCTTATCTTCCTATTTGATATAATCTTCAACCTCAAGGAAGTGAAGCCACAATGTATTCATGGGCGCATTTGATTTGCTATGACATGCAATGAAACTTCTTGGCTGTGTATTGATTTTTAGTGAAATGAATTGCTCTCTGGTCTTTGAAAACAGATGTTTTCACATTTCAACTTGTGTGTATGTAATCCTTGAACTAGCTAGGTAACTAACTTCTTTCTTTTCTTTGATGTATGATGATGTTAAATGTTATGCCACTGCTACAGAGTGCCCGCGTACAGGTATGATTTCGTGCTCACTTCATTAAAACCTCCAAAAAGATTTTGTTTGCGTGATTTTTATCCAACTATTTATACTGTATTTGGCTATCGATTTTGATATGGCATTGCAGACTGTCGTATGCATTCCACTACTCGATGGTGTTGTGGAGCTAGGATCAACAGAAAGGGTAACATCATATACACTGCTAATAAATCTTTACACATGAGGGGTAACTTAGAGAGGATGAGCAAATGTATAGTCTTATCTTTTATACGAGTAATTGGATATGTTGTAAGTTTTTAAATTAGGTCCAAATAATATTTAGGCTCAAACCCCATGGCAGCATGTCACAAGAGAGCAATCCCTCTGATATTATAAAGTGTGACCATGAGCCTGCATTTTGGAAATTGATTACTCCAGCCGACTATTTGAACTTGGTGAAATATAGTAGATAATTTAGTAGTAGTATTACAGCTCTTGTGCTCTTGCAGGTTCAAGAGGACCTTGGTTTCATCCAACAGGTGAAGAGCTTTTTCATTGACCACAACCACCTGCCTCTACCCCCCAAGCCTGCTCTTTCTGAGCATTCCACGTCAAACCCAGCCTCATCATCAGACCATGCACGTTTTCAATCCGTTTCAATGCCATCTACGTATGCAACAGAAGATCCACTGGCCAATACCAATCAAATAGATGCTGAAGAAGAAGAAGAAGAGGAAGAGGAAGAAGATGAGGACGACGAGGAAGAAGGAGAAGAAGAAGAAGAGGCGGACAGAGACTCAGAAGCTGAAACAGTCCGTAACAGTGGGCTGTCCAGGTCTCAACAAAACTATCAAACTGTTACACAAGGTGTACCCGCGGCCCCTGGAGCGTCTGAGCCGAGTGAGCTAATGCAGCTGGATATGTCGGAGGATATTAGGGTTGGGTCACCTGATGATGGCTCCAATAACTTGAACTCGGATTTCCACTTGCTAGCCGTGAGCCAAGCCGGAAATCCAACCGATCATAAACCTCGAGCTGACTTGTATAGGGCAGAGTCCAGTCGTAGATGGCCAATCTTGCTAGACTCGTTGGGCAACAATCTTCAACTTCCTCATTCAGGTATGATTCTACTTGGGCTTTCACAACCTTATAGACACAACATCTAATAAAATAACCCATCTTTGCTCTCTTGTTACTAACACTAATGTTAATGGGACATAAATTAGGAACATTTTACCTTGTAATTTAATTGAATTGATAGTGACTTCATTCAATGCTAAGATTGGTCAATAATTCAGTAGTCACAATTATTAAATCCTAAAATTATATCTTATAATTATATCACAATCATTAATCCATCGGCTTATGGTTAATTAACTTCCGTCCATTAACCTCTTATGGCTTTTTAAAATTGGGTCTCACAGAAATAGTGATATAGCAACAAATGAATGGATATGTACACAACATGGGCCATTCGACGTGGTGTGTACTACTCATGCAAAAAAATTTCATGCACTTGGGTTTCTCAGATGTCTTTCCGTAACCTCCGACTCTATGCTTCACTCAGTATTTTAATGGAGAAATCAAAGTACGACTTCAAGTCAAAAAAAAAAATAAGTGACCACAACAAACCCTAACCTCATAATTCGACGTTTGTGTTCTCTTTTTCTCCCCTTGTTAATGTTGTAGTTGTTAACATGTCCTTCTAATTGTTCGTTTAATGATGATGGTGTAACAAACGTGGGAGAGCAGAATGAGTGATGTTTGTATTGGGTTTTGCTTGGACTACTCAGCTCGATGGAATTACGATAGAGTTATTAGGGAATGGTTCACACAGTAAAATTATAGTGGTTCATCAGTTTGGAAATTCGGTTAATTCACTCTTTAATTGAGTCTCTTGCCCCCTTTGATTTATATCAATGACTTGCGAAATTTACAAAATGTTTTCGATTCTACCAGGGTCACACACCCTGCATCAAAGGTGTTGTACAGTATTTATAGCTTCAATCTCTATCTCTATAGGATCTCCGGCGAGATCTTGGCTGGATTTTCCTTAATTTCGGGAGAAGATCTTGATTTGTTGAGAGTTTGGTGTCTTGATTATAGCTTTCTGTTTCTTCGGGGATGCCTTCTGTTAGCCTACTATTTCCCTCTCGTCTCCTTTATTACTTCCTCCAAAGGGAGACTGAGGTGTGGACCTTTGAGATCTGCATGCCATATCTGACCTCACCTCTCGAGCTCACACTTGGTTAAAATTCTTTCCAGGTATCATCAGATACCCCCTAGCCCTTGGTCCAAGCGTGCTCGGACAAGGGCTGAACTAGGGTTGAGTTGAGGTAGACCTCTATCTGGTGACCTCGATATGCTCGCAAATAGGTTTTTTTTTTTTTTACGATTTCAAGTAATCATTTGTTTGCTCTCGTTTCTTGTGCACGTTCCCTATGTACCGTTAGCTTTAAATGTCTCTGAACTGATGGAAAATGCCTTATTTCTCTCTACGGTTTCCCTCTTTGGACTTTATTTTTTCTCTTTCTTACGATTTCAGCCTTCCAAATTTGTTGCCTTTCCTAGTGTTTCACAGAAAGATGATTTCCTCTGATTTGATTTTGAAGGTTTTGCGAGACTCGCTCTCTGACTTTGTTTTGAGCTCTGGTCCACCATTCATTCTTACTTAGGTATGTTTCTCGCCTTTTACCCATTTTCTCGTTCTGGATCCCTCGAATCTGAGGTGGTTATTGCATTTTTGGACTTTTCAATTCTGTTATTTTAGGGTCGATGTTATTCTCTATCACGCCTTCCTCTCTTTCTTGACCCTTATTCTACGGCTAAGATCTTTGTCATTGGTCACTGGTGTCTTGCCCCTTTGACCCTCAAAGAGTGTTTTTCAGAGGTTCCCCCTTTTTATAGGTCCTTTAAACTCTCTTTCTCTTATCCTAATATGTCTACTTCTTCTGGAGCCATGGGTTCGTCTATATCCCTGATAGGGGATAGGTCTGCCGAAGAAGATATTTGATCTGGGAGATGTGGGTGAGGAGATTGATAATTTCCCAGGCTTTGATTCTATCGACGTCGAGGAAGATGTTGAGGAGTCTCGCCCATCGTCTTCCCTCGTTCCCAAAAATCCTAATAAAGGTAAAACCAAAGTGAGCAGCGTAGAGATCTCTGGTAGTGGTGAGGGTGCAAGGGTTGTCTCTAGAGCTGCAGAGCTCGTGGGCTTTAGCGATGTCACTCCTTCTTATATGAAGGTTTTGGTTGTGCGCTTTGGTTTCCTTCTTGGCATAGAGTACTAGTGTCTAGATATGTACACCCGATATGACTCTCCAGTCCCTAAGAAAATATGCCTTTTCATGGCCGCCTTTGAGAATGGCCTCCGCTTTCCAATTCATCCCTTCATCAAGAGTGTTCTGCAGCATTTTAACGTCTGCCCTGCTCAGCTTTCTCCTAACTTCTGGGGCATACTAGTGGGTCTTCTCATTTTCTTCAAGAAACATGAGCTAGGAGTTTCCTTTGTACCTTTGCTTATGAAGTTTTTCAATGTTAAGTATATCCCTTTTAACGGCTTTTTGTACATTTTAAAATGGGTAAAAACTAAGGTTATCATCTCTGACCTCCTGAACTCTCACAAGGGTTGAAAAAATTTTTTCTTTTTTGTGGGAGGCAGACCATGGGAATACATTTTTGCAGATGTAACAGACACTCTTCCAGTTCCTAGGGATTGGCCTGTCCCAGACAACCTGGGTAAGTTTTCGCCTAAGAAAACTAGGATCAATTTTGATGGCCTACCTTGCTTACTTTATTTTGCTTGCTTTGTCTTGCTTTTTAGGTGTCCGACATGAACTCAGCACTGTTGATAAACGAGTTTTACTAAACTTGGCGGATTGCGATTCGGAGAAATATTCAGAGTTTATTAAGCCTCAGGTTCTAGTAGAGCTCGAATTCAGTCTTCCTAACGTAGGATCCAGACCCCTATTCCCATCTTTGTTGCCAGCGCCGAGGGGGTATCGGGTAACGCTTTCTCTGCCCGTTTTTGGTTTTCATCTTTCCCTCCTTGTTCTCTCTCCTTTTTTTTTTACTGACTCATTTTGTGTTTCTAGGTTCCTCTTCAATGAAGCCTACTCAAGAAGCACTCCAAGCCAAGGTTGTTCTTCTGAAGAAAAACATGAGCGGAAGCAAGCGCAGAGCTAAAGTTGGTTCTGGTAGCGACCTCATTCCTCAAGCCAAGGTGCCAAGGTTAGGGTTGTCCCCTGCTTCACCATCTTCACCATCTTCAACTCAAGTGGCTCTTACTCCTCTATCAAGCTCTCTACAGGCTGTGGAGACCTCTTCTCTCCAAGAGACCCTGCCCTTCACCAGGAATATTTTTGAGCAAGATTCGACCTCTCCTTCTTCTGCTGAGGTCGAGAGGGCTTTGGAGACGATCTCTCGTGTTCAGCCCTTTCTTACCTCTTCTAGGCCAACAGAGAAATTTTCACAGCCGTCTCAAATGAGCTCCAGGGTTAAGAAAGGGAAGTATATCAAGGAAGAGGAAGATGATGGCTCTTTCTTCGACAATGTTGAGCTTGTTGTCAGTGCCCTTGACTCTATCATTCCTACTGTTGATGTTCGGAGGGCTGTTGTTATGTCCCTTGAAAATTCTATTAGTTCAGCACTTCATGGGGCTGCTGCTGTAAGATTCCTTCCTCTTTAGGTCTCACTTTCACCTTAGGTCGTTATTTTATGCTGACTTTCATCTCTAGTTGCATTTGTTTTCAGCTGGCCATTCAAGTGAAGGGTTTGTTTAGTCGAATTCGAGATTTGGAGAACTCTGCCAAAGCATCGAAGACATTCGAGCTGAAAGCCATCGAACTGGCTTTCACTAATAATGACCTCCAAACCCAAATTCAAGATCTTCAAGCACAGGTGAAAGGGCAAGCTTCTACTATGAAAGATTTGGAGGCGAACGAGAAGAGGATTAAAGAGGACCTTAGGTTTAAAACTGATGCCTGGGCCAAGGCCAGCCAGGAGACGTTTGAGGCTCTAGGCTCTTATAGGAGTATGGAAAAAGAGTACGACCTCTTGACTGAGATGAATGATGTTCTCCGAAGCGAGCATGAGGTGCAGAGAGTCACTGTCAAAAAGAGATGATTTGATTGCCAAGTTGATGGATGACGTTACTACCAAATGGGCCACCGGATGGTTTGCCTTCTAAGACAAGGCTGAAGAAGTATATCCCAGTTTGAACTTTGACTTTGAAATCGCAGCTTAGGTGGAAGCAGAGACGTCTAATGCAGAGGGTGAGGGTGGTGCCTTGGCCCCTCTTGCTCCTGAGCACATTCCTGCCGCAGCTATGACGCCTATCAAGCTTGCTAAGGTCCTGACTCAAGATATTCCTCTTTCTTCTGTCATTTCTGCATATCTTTCTTTTGAAGCTATTTATGTTATTTCGTATGCTGAGCTCCCTGTCGTACCTTTTGTTATCCCTTCGGCTATTTCTTTCTCTGCTGAACTTGTGAACAGATCTCTAAATTCGCCAACAGCTGAAGCTGAGATTCCTATTCTTGGGCTCCTTGAGACTTCTCCTCTCTTGCCTACTTCAAGACCTTTGGAAACTTCAGCTGCTGAGTTTCCAAGCTCTTCTCCTGTCTCTACTGCTAGGACTTCAACCACTAAACAGTTGGACTCTTCTTCTCAGACTTAGGGTTTTTTTTTCCACTTCTGAACTTTTGTTGGGAAACGTACATACATCTTTTCTGAGTTACTGATGTAAATATGCATTGTTTTTGAGTTATTGAGCACATTGCTTTACTTTGCTATATATTTTCATTGCTTACTATGCACACTACTTCACTTTGCTTTATATTCACCTTGCTCCTTGCTTTATAAACTGAGGTCCTACACAAGGAGGACTTGGTTTTTGTTGAATTAGTCTTACCAAGAGCTTTTAAAAAGCTGCAGAACTAAAGAGACTATTAGAATTATGTGATTTTACCCTTGGAGAGCTCTTTCCTCTTGTTTGATGCCCTTAAGGGATCATTGGATGGCAAACTTGACCTCCCTCATAGTGACAAGAAGTTTGATGAAAATAGTTCTTTGCTTTTAAGAATAGTTTCAATTCTAAAAACGCGGCTGAAGTCTCCACAAATTGTCATTTACTTGTGAAGCCGAGGTGACTGTCAGGCATGCAGGTCATCCTCTATAATCTAGTTTGAAAAC